CACTCTTCCCCTTGCTTAGCTTTTTATCGCGGTTATAGTGTACAAAAATTATCTGCGTACAGGTACTTCAGGAGATCACCTAAAACAGGTACCCATTTGACACACACCTAGTTGTCTCTCCATCTCCCAGTACTTTTATGCATCCTTATAGGTGTACCTGCATCTACTAGTACTTGTTGCTGTATGGGCGTTATACTGTACAAAAATTCTTTTGTTTTGTAGGGAGGACACCACTTCTTTTGATGGTTCCCATCACTACTTTCGATGCAGGCGCTTGTTCACCGTCAGGTGGTTTCCTAGGGTTAGGCTCACACAGCCACTTCCCCATTTGCTAACAATCAGCGACATGTGTCTCTCAATTTGCAACCACTCAGCGATCCGCCACTACTTCAAATTCGCAAGTACTTTACTTATCCCGATGGACACTACTACCCGACGACATACCCCTCTTGCGTTATCCGTGGCCGCGGGCACATCATTGTTTGCACATATTTCCAGCCCGCTCGCAAAAATCTTGAAAATTTCGTTCTTACCTCTCTGTTTTCCCTCCTCCCTCTATTGAAGCTCCTCCATTGATTTGCGTGCTATAATGCTGCGACATATTGCTATCGACCGCCTTGGCTCTTGCCGCAATGATCCCACCAAATGGAGCTCCTACTGCGGATTCGGCTTTGTTGCCACAGAGACCATCGATGGAGATTTCGACAATGTCCCGGTGTTGAGCGTTTGCGGGGTCTGCAAATGTCCCGCTGCATCTCATATCAAGGATGTACCGGTGAGCTGATAATTTAATCTGCTACTATGATCCTTCTCAATAGACTCTAGGATCATCTCAAGGCACCACCGAAGCTCTCTCCCGTCAATGTCGCCGTCTCTGGCTCTGATGCAACATCGGGGAATATCGAGGTATTTCGTGTTACTGAATTTTGAGTACGCCTATGATTGACATCAAACTTCAGCCGACTTTCAATAGCGCTAGGCCACAGATTGATGTCAACGTGACAAAGGATGCTATCTACAACTCTCGCTCATCCGTAGGAAACCCAGCCTTGCGGAGCCATCCCAACGACACTCCGACTCAGGACAGCGTTCAATCCGGCTCGACGTTTTCAACCATGGCAAAAAAACGTCATGAGGCGATGACCCGCGCCATGATGAACGACCCCACTATTGGCGGAGAGACATTCAATCCTGCCCAAAAGGCAAGGATATTCCCTTTTCTCCACTGTCCGGAATAATTAACTGTGAAACTGACATTTCCTTAGAGCCAGATTTCAGCAATCATCAGCAAGAACGGCAAAGATACGATGCCACCCAAGAAGCGGAAGAAGGCTGCAACTACTATCGAATCTGATTCGACATCTGGCACCAAGCAGTCGAAGAAGACGAAGGCTTCTTCCTCCCAGGACGACGACTCGCCCACAGTATTTATGATTGCCCTAGTCAGCGAGACGTCAGTTGTGTGGTCTGGGAAGTTTGAACGTGTCAGCACGCATGCGTCTGTTCTCATCAATTCATATCCTTGCATCCCAACTAACAAATATGCCAACTACAGATTTATTGCACTTCGTACTGCTCGCTTCGTGCGTGAGGTGCAAATTCCTAAGAAGGCGACAAGCTTTGTGGTGATCAGCCTGATCGAGGATGCATTCAAGGATCTTATTCGTCCTGGCCGCTGGTGTGTATTGCGTGGAGATTCTTCTGCTGAACGCAAAGGTCAGCGCACGATATTTAAGCCTACAATCCTGGTATCCAACAACCAACTTGATTACGAGACTCTCAAATTGTGCGTCGCCATGCTATTACTGGACCACACCTATACTGACAGCTGCCCCCAGTTCCGCTTACAACACCCAGCCTCGCGATGTGAAAAGTGGCGAATATCCGAACCTTGTTTGGATCGGACGTTCACGTAGAGAGCCTGATATTCCTGTTCCTTCTGTATTTGAGCCTGATGGCGACATCGATGATGATGTTTCGGGTCCTAGTGATAAGCATGCTCCCACTGATGATCCCAAAGCTGGGACGAACGGTTGCCAGAATATGAACTCCGTGACGGTACACATCAGAATCATTGTGTTGGGAACCTCTATATGCTGACCTGTTGGTTAGCAACCTCTGTTTTTTTCCGCCTGCGAGTGATTCCGAGGCTGCGTGGGATTGTTCCAGCCTACCGGATGTACCAAGTGAGGCGGCAGGGACATCCAATGTGAGTTTGACTGTGTTATAGCTTGTTCTGTAAATAACTGATATTGATTGTCATCCGTAGCTATCTAATAGCTTCCCCTTTGGTACTGCCGATCCAGATTTCAGTCACCTGGCATCGGATGGAACATGTCAAGTTCCTCCTTTCAAGTGCCTTTGGGAGCTTTTCTGACCCAACGCAGATGCGCCATGATACCATCTGTACTGGTCAATACGGTCTGGATGGCTTCTACTCCTCGGTTGTTGTTCCGGTGCTCGATGATATCGAATATGACACAGATGGATACTCCGACTTGTTGGCTATTCTCGCAAAGCTGTGTAAGGGACTGGCTCGTAAAGCGGGAAATACTATCAAGGTGCGTCATGGTCATCTACATTAATAAAAAATGACCATGCGCTTACGCATATAATCTTCAGTCGTATAAGCCACCATCGGAGGAGAAGCAAGATAAAGACAAGGTTAGACAAGCGAGCGGAGCAGGGAGGTCTCAAAGGCAGACACGGTCACCGAAGAAGGGTGCGACATTAAACTCGAAGTAATTTTTTCCTAGATGTTTCCGTACATAATTGAATAGATATCGCTTCTTAGGACTGGCTATTATCGACAGAAGAAGTCTAGTGAACATGGCCATGATTACGAAACTGACAGTCCTGATGGTACGTGCTATTTAACTGTTATGCAGTCTTACATCATGCCACTATGTTGCAGACATGACAAATACCGACTCACTTGAATCCGACTACTATACTAAAGTTAAGCCAAATCGACCAGATATCAAGTTTCGGCGCCAGGTTCGGCATCCAGAGAGAGTAGTGCCAGACCGTGAGTATTTATCATCCAGGAGGCGTTGTTTTCTCTTACAATTTTCATAGCAAAACCAACATTCACCTATGTCCCAGGCTCTTCAAGCGAAGACCAGTCCAAGTACAACTGGGACGACTTCGATGCAATCTCAGACAAGTATTCACGATTAGGTATATTATTCTCTTGTTAGTTCGCCCTGTCATTAACCCGTTATTTCAGGTAGAAAGCCGAAGAAGGACAGCACGAACACATTCTCATCGAGACACTGGGCGGCTGGTCCACCAGGCTCTGTCAAACCAAAACCCTCTGCACGATATCCAGGAAAGCGACCCTTCTCAGCTTCTTCTGGACGATCTAAGAAGTCATCTGGTTCGTTTCCCAAGGCGTCCTCGGAGAGCACCACCCCGAAGCCAGGATCATTGTCTAAACCAAGACCATCGCCTATCAGTGTCGCCAAGGTGCCACCCTCTCGAGTTCAAGAAGCGCAAGAACTTGCAAATACACACAAGGATCCCGACATCAAGTGGCCACATTTTCTCTCAGGATTACTTAATGATTTCGGCCACCCAGATCCCAACCGCAAACCATGACTGACAGATATTTTCAAGGACGGTATACAGCCAACCGCGCAATGGAAGAAAATTCACCTGGTATGTTCCTGAGTGCTCAGACCGTATACGTCTTCATTGCATCTTTCTAGGTTTATCATGTTGATAAAAACGGCACACAGTCAGAGGAATGGCAGCAAATCTGTTCGGTATTCACACCGGCACTGAACCTTTGGCGAGAACGGATAGAAGGTACTTATGTATGGCCCAAGGGGTATTAGGTCTTTTGTGCAGGATTATCCATATTATCCTAAATAGCATATTGCGTACGGAAAGTAGTACTACTGTGTTTTACAGTATATAATGCTGGTCTTATCGCAAAACATGATGTGTCGTGATACCGAATTTTGTATTGGCTTGGTAACTCTGAGTCTCAATGTCAAACTTGAAACTTGCTACATAACCGCCATGAGTGACAGCCAGGAGGGAGGAAGACATGATCCCGTCTATCAGTTCTTCACAGAGAGCCACAATATTACCTCTGAAGCTCAATTCATCATTGACTCGTTCCCCAATACGGATTCAGCAGCTGTGGAGCGTGTTGTTCACCAACTTATTGCGATACGTACAATCCTCCATTCTTTCCATGATCCTTATGGCGCAACATCTATCGAAGATATCGAAGAGCTTCTCACACTTGTGAACAACTTTTTGCTTCCTCTCGAGCATTTTCTCGCACATCCACCTCCTGCCCCATCTGCCTACCTTCCTCGCATTCACACTGGGCAGCCAGGCCAACCACGGTACGATATTGACCTCCAACGGGCTTGTCTGTTGCATAACCTCGGAAATAGCTGGGACGATATTGCTAAGGCAATGGGCGTCACTCGGGGAACAATATACAACCATCTGAAGCGTGCTGGCATACCATCTGAACGGCAGAGTTCACTGTAATCAGTGATGCTGAGCTGGATGATACCGTGGCTGAAATATCACTTGCACATCCCTTTATTGGGTCGGTGATCATTCTTGGACACTTAGAAGCAAAGGGTATTCATCTTCCACATGAAAGAGTTCAGGAAAGCCTCAGACGAGTGGATGTTATTGGTGTCCTTGTAAGGTATCGCTCTCTTTTCTGAAAAGCGATCAATGAGCTGAGCTGACACATTGGTCATAGGTGGGCTGGAATAATCAAATGTCGCGTCTACAAGGTTAGAGGTTCCAATGCACTTTGGCATCAGGATGGAAATGAAAAACTACGGCACTGGGGCTTTTGGGTTCATGGTTGTGTTGATGGGCACTCCCATCTGATCATATACCTCGAATTCTGCTCCAATAAAAGATCAGAGACTGTTCTCGACTGCTTTAGAAGAGCTATTGCAATATTTGGTTGGCCCAGTCGCATTCGAGGAGACTATGGAACAGAAAACAATGGCATTGAGATGGTGATGATTGAGCATTGGGGGAGAGAACATCGTGCATATCTTCGTGGAAGGTAAGGCAGACATTTCTCCCGTGATCCCAGACAAACTAAACAATAAACATTGACAGATCTACAAACAATGTTCGGATTGAGCGTCTCTGGCTAGATGTACGCAAGGATTCTCTGGAAACATTTCGTCAGATCTTTGACTACCTGGAGACTAATAATCTTTGGGATAAGGAGAATACTGTCCACTGTCTTTGCCTATTTCTGGTATTTCAACCGCGTATCCAGAGCCCTTTGAACAGGACCCGCGATGCATGGAACCATCACAAGATCAGGACAGCCAGCCATCGCACACCCATTGCAATGTACGAATTGAGCCGAGAACAAGCAATCCGGAGGGGTTACTGGATGGGGGATGTAGGCGACGATATTGAGACTGCCAATGACCCTTTTTACGGTGAAGAAGGCGCATTGGGTGGTAATTCCTTGATTCCACCACCAGAGGGTTTGGAAGAGGGAACGGAAACGCATTTGAATGAGGACCTGCATTTAGAGCTAGCGAAGGCACTTCTGGGAGAATTTGACTATGAGAGAGATGGTGGGAATTGGGAGATTGAGGTCTATTGTGAAGCGGTGATTAAGATGGAGAATGTGCTTTGGAGTAATGATATAGATATACCCATGCCATAAATCTGGGCAAATATTATATCCTCTCAAAAACATGCCAAATATATTATCACCCTTTCACACTGAGGTTCTACGTAGAATTCTGCGACCATGTCTCGATTTTGGGTCTGGCTTTGTACTGCAAGTCAACTGAAAGCGAAATTCCGAGGTTTGTAGAGTTCTTTTGTATTTTTATAAAACATTCTTGTCTATTCATTGATTATTATATATATTCTGAGGGTGTTACTGCATTGGCATAGACTTATATTATTCATACAAACTCGAGGCTTAGTGTGAATGTGCCATCAGCGGCCGGTTCGGCGTCTCGGCAATGCCCGTATGGGCGTAATAGCGTGCAAAAATTCACTTCGGCGCAAGTCGCGTTTTTCCGCTCGCAAGTTGGTTATAAGCCCCCAGGTTCGCTTATATCCTTCCGCAAGTTAGTAGTTTTTTCGCAAGTTTGCTATTGGATATAGCTTCAGAATAAGCAAGGCCTAGGCTGTAATATACAAATCTCCGTCCAGCCGTCCGGATACCCGACAATTGGTCACGAAAGATATGAACACTAACATTCTAGGAAGGAATACGGTACCTATGCTGTTCAGCAGGCCATGTCGTGAACCCTTGAACCCTCTGAAATGACGTTCTCAGTGCGCCCCACTGAGTTCGATCTATCGCTGTCTTGCAGAATTCCGAGCATTCAAATCTATAAGGGAGTACTGTCTAGACTGAGTCTGAGCGGCTTTGAATCCAAAGATCAAACACCCAAAGGAAATGTATCTGAATTCATCACTGAATAAGTGATGGAGAAGTAGGTAAAGATGAATAGAATGCTGGAGGAATTCGAGCCATTATAGCAATGGCAGAATGACGGGTGTCAAGCACCGAAATAAAATAATGTCAGATGGTTCAGTGGCCACCTCGTCCCGATCCGAACACGCGCCCCCAGATCTTATTCAGAGATCTATGGTAACAAATGACGCCGGTGTGTACATCACTATAGGAAAACACTTAACTTGCGGGAGGGACGCGAACTTGTGCACTTAAAAGTAACTTGCGACTGGAAAAAATTTAACTTGCATTCGTCGGATTTTTTGCACGCTATTACGCCCATATGCCCGGATCTTTGCGGACCCAACACGGACGTTCTCAAAAAGTACTTGCGAACAGCTTCTTACAGTACAGCGACAAGTACTAGTAAATGCAGTTACACCTATAAGGATGCATAAAAGTGCCGGGAGATGGAGAAACAACTAGGTGTGTGTCAAACAGGTACCTGTTTTAGCTGATCTCCTGTAGTACCTGTATGCAGATAATTTTTGTACACTATAACCACGATATTGCTGTACTGTAACAAGCTGTTCGCAAGTACTTTTTGAGAACATCCGTGTTGGGTCCGCAAAGATCTGGGCATTGCCGAGACGTCGAACCTGCCGCTCATGGCACATTCACACCAAGCCTTGAGCTTGTATGGATAATATAAGTCCATGCCAATGCAGTAGCACCCTCGGAATATATATAATAATCAATGACTATACAAGAATGTTGTAGCAAAATAGAAAAGAACTTTACAAAACTCGGAATTTCGCTTCCAGTCAACTTCCAGTACAAAGCCAGACCCAAAATCTCGGACGTGTGGTCGCGGAAATGCAAGGCGAAACGTCAATTGTGAGTAAGCAGCAGATGTTTAATTAAAGACGTCCTTAGGAACGAGATTTGCGCACACAAATCAATGGAGCTTCAAAAGAGGAGGGAAAGCGGAGAGGTAAGAACGAAAATTTCAAGATTTTTGCGAGTGGGCTGGAAATATGTGCAAACAATGATGTGCCCGCAGCCACGGATAATGCAAGCGGCGAGGGGTTTGTCGTTGGGTGATAGTGTCCATCGGGATCTGTAAACATACTTGTGAACTTGAAGTAGTGGCGGATCGCTAAGTGGTTGCAAATTGAGACACATGTATCGCTCAAACGGGAAGTGGCTGTGTGAGCCTAACCCTAGGAATCCCTGATGGTGAACAAGCACCAGCACCGAAAGTAGTGCTGGGAACCATCAAAAGTAGTGGTGTCCTCCCTACTGAACAAAAGAATTTTTGTACAGTATAACGCCCATAGCTTTTATTACCTGATTTTGGCATATCCGTCCGTGTTCGAATATGCTCCTTATTTCAAAATCTTCTGTTCATTCTCAGGGGAGCTGGATAGAACGATGACAACAGGAAAATTCAGCAGTGCACGCTTACCTAGTACCGACTTTTTCACCCCGACGAAAAAATGGTGTCATTTTTTCCCAATCGGTTACATACTAGATACTGTGGTTACATTCGGCTACTAGTACTTGAATGCAAGAGAATGTTCTGTGTGGTAGTAGAGTGAAAACAACGGAGTTTCTTTCTTCCGAGCCAATCCAGCCTCCTGCTCTTACTATATGTAGCCCTTCATCCAATTTTATTTGTTTCGCTTCCACCCACCTTCATGGAAGAGATTTCATCTTCCAGCGTCAAATGACTCCGAGTTCAATTTCTTATCAATTTCACATCGACGGCCCAAACATTTTTTTCCGGAGTACTACCATCTCTGAGGGCTTCATGCTTCTATTTTTCCTCAAGGGAACGTCCGATGATATTTTGGACAAAAAAGTCTTCGACGAGTCCCCTTTATGGTCAATCCTTAAAAGCGTGCTAGAGATAACAAGACGGCAACACAGGGAGCCGCATAAAATATCTCCCACCTCCTAATCCCATCGAGAGGAACAATTCAACTCAATGATGCACTTCATATGGAGCTGTCAAAACTGGCGCGTCGTTCAAGTGTCCTCGAGATAAGACATCGTGCGACATTCAGTAAGGAAGGAATCATGAGCCTCATCCTCTCTTCCTCCATTGGTTAGACCTAGAATTCCCATGACGATAAATTATCTGCTCCGTGATTTTCAGACACGCGTTCATCAGAATTCATTGTCCAATCCATGTGGCCCAGAGTGATAAGCCTGGGTAAGATGTCGACATGTCGAGAAAGCCATTCGGAAAACGTATGAATTACTCAATCCTAGGGATAGAAAGGACTGATTGCGTGTAAGTGACGATACGCGTCGGTTTGTTCCTCGTCGACGGACTAAGGAAGGAGTTGACGGAATGGATAATAATACGGACGCAATTGCGCCGATCAGCTCTTCATATGCCCAGTAGTAGCTGCATTCCGCTGAGGTTAAGCATTTTGACGCGAAGCTCATGCGGTAGACTAGACTTACTGTAGATCCGAGGACACACACCACGGTCATAATCAAAACAGATCTTTCCATGGCTTATCCAGATAGTAGATTTAGTAGGATAATACCACCCCAGTTTTCTAGATTCGTACTGCATCTTTAAGATGGATCCATGAACCGGTTCATTCATGCCAAGCCTTCAGAATACCATGTCGCCATTGTATCACAAGACGGTCGAAGAAGTCTTCAATCAGAAACGACCCGGAGTCAACAGTGCCTGGGATTGAATCCGGCTGATGAACAGTCCATCTGAATTGGCGACTCCCGAGTTTTTAGGGAGAACAGAGAACCGTCATAATTGAATTCGCATCTATAGAAGACAATTTTACGGAATAGAAGGTACAGAGTCTCCGATGTTTGGAGAGCCCGAACGAGAACATCTTCGACCCGAGAAACGTATCTGTAAAGCGGAATACCAGCCCATTCAAGTGAACTGGCTCAAGAACTTCGAAAACGAGTTTGCGATTGCGGCCATTATGCATATCTCGTTACTTACACAAGGACGTCTTCCTCATCCTGTGTGGGAATAATTTCTTGGATTTCGTTCTATTCCCTCGAATTACGTCCGGGTCTGTTTGAGTCACATGAAGTTAGATTCTATTAGATGTCCGACACCGTTATCCAAACAGGAATATACAAATTCAACACCCTACGTCCTCCAATTCGCCGAGACGGGTACGCTCATTGGGTCGACCTGAAATATCACCTAAATTTCCACCAGATAGATTGGCGGAAGCATTAGCCGGCCGCTCGACGTTTCTATGAAGCATCTTCACAGTGGCCTCGGACGCGATTCGGTGAGCTAACCGCGCCGAGCGAAATCAATATAATTGACACTCCTCGGATAAAGACCGACCAACCTTCAAGACTCTCCGCAATTCTCATCTTTAGCTCCTCCTCAAGATCCCCGTCCGTGGTGTTCTTGGCATCCTCGGGCGACATGTGTTGGGGTGGCACGAAAGTGGAAGTATTAGCGGCCTGTGTTTCGGAGCTCGTTCCTCCAGGTTGCAGTACTGGAGTGGCAGTCGTTGTAGCAGTCATAGCACTAGAGTCGGTCATGGTATCCAGTATAGGATCAGAAGGGTGGAGAATGTCGACGATTATATAGTTACTGTGAACGGTCTTCGAACAAAGTAAAGGCCAAGAAGAAGGACAAGAATGGTGAGTCGCGTCAGTGGCGTCAATACAATGACCGCGCAACAAAGAAACAACGTACAGAATTAGGAATGTCCTTTGTGAGATCGAACATTGTATCAAAGACCAATCAAAAGCACTGGTGGTCTGTTGAAAGCGATAGCGTATCAGGCTACGTGAGAATCATTGTCTCCTCCAAGTGGCCTGGTGAAAGTAGTGATAGAGAAACGTGCGACAAAGACAAACTGGCAGAAGGCGCACAGAGGAATATGATAGATGAGACGGATTACATCCTCCGGGGGATCCTCCTCGGTTCGATATTCAGAAACAAGGTTGAAGAAAAATCTGGTAACAGGAAAGACACCATCGTGAATCTGAACATAGCTCGGTCGCTGCTGAGGATTTGTTACCGACAGGTAAGGCGACTTAGCGATCGATAAGGAATGAACCGACACCTGGGAATACAAGGGAGTTTCCCATTTTACCAGAATACGCGAACCAAGAGACATGTCTAACGTGTAATGTGCGAGAAACGATGGTTCACCTCGTCAACTTTGTCATCCTCATAAGGGCAAATACATGGGAACGTCCGGCGGAGGAATTGCGGTAGAAAAAACAAGAGTCATGGCCTGGCGAGTCGGCCGGTAAGATATTGATGTGTAGAAAACCGACCTTTAGTGGGTTGGTATGCTTTCTAGTTGGAGAAATGAGTATGTCCGATATTCCGGTGGTATGAAAAAAATGCAATTATTTCGTGAGTCTACATCCGCTGCAATAGTGTGAGTGATATGCTGTCCTTCAAAAACAATAATACCTGTAAGCTTCCTATCCACCCCGTAACGCATTTGAAGATAATGAATAAGAGATTTCCTGCCCTCTATTGCTCTATCTTTGCTGCAAGCATCTCCCTCTTAATCCCAATTTCCTCCCTGAGCATCGAGATACGGCTATCCAACCTTGACGACAAATCTGTAGAATTCGGCGCCAAAGCCATAGCTTTGTCCAGCTTTGCCTCGGCACCCTCTAGAACTTCCTCCCATCCATCACCTTCCTTCCCTCCCGCCTCCTTCTCTTTCAAATCAACAACTGCTAATTCAAACATCGCCAGACCACTGATCCAGGTGCTGACGCGGATATCTCCATGCTTGCCAATCGCGTCCTGGAAGAACGCTCGGGAAGACTGAAAGTCCTCTGTCACCCGGTGAACGATGCCGAGTAGCAGCGACCGCAATGCGAGCTCATCAGGCGTATCCAGGTCTAGTGGTACACCGGCAGGGGGAAGAGGTAAGTCGAGAGTTTCCATGAATGCACTCCGTAAGCTGGATCGCGGCGTAAGCGATGCCCAATCTCGAATATGAGCCTTAGCGACCGATTTCGAGATGCGCTCGTGTGTGTTCCAGACTATACGGATGTCAGCTTCATTTGAAGGGTCATCAACAATTTCTTACATATCGCCATCTCTAGATATCAGTCAGAGAGACGCCTAGGCTCAATTAAGAACGAACGTACCTTCGGCCGGACTGATCTTCATGCACTGCACAAGTTTCTTCTCGTCTCCGCCCCGTCGTTTCTGTTTTTCCTTGTAGAACTCGACTGTAGATAATCATGAGCCAAGGTCCTGATACCCAAAGGATGATGATACCAACTCTTCTTCTTGATCAAGACCTCCATCGGCAAATCTTTTCCGCCCATCTTTCGCTTATCAATCATCCCAGGAATGGCGTCGAATAATTCTTGTGCCTTGTCTAGGTCACCGATAGTGATGTAGCAACCTACGATAAAGGGTATCAGGACAAGAATACCAGACAGGAAAAATCTCACCGGTAGCAATGAAATAGTAGGTGGCAGGGCTCCAGTTGTTCAGCTCTGTCAACCGTATGAATTCAATGGCGGCTTCCTCATATCTTCTCTCGGCCAGCAACGTCCAGGCCAGCTCGAACACAAGCAGCGTATCGGCCTGCTTAAACGACGCCTCTCTGTCAGGCTTCAACCCATCTCTCAGAACTGCAATAGCCCCTGGAGCATCGTATGACATACGCTTTATTTTGGCCTTTGAAGAACATGTCAGCAGGAAAAGTAGGCTTCGATAATATGCAGACCTGGTTCAATATCCACAACGAGCCGGCCGGATAGCGTTCGCTAACACTGGCTACCATTGCACCGTATTGCTTGAGAATGTGCGCCTCATCTGCCTGATAGCCGGAAAGAAGGAGAACGACACCGTGATATGTCATTAGCACCAGGGCAGCAAAAACAGAATGCACGTCAGTTTTAGCGGCAGAGACCGCAAGAGCTTGTAAAGCGAGCTTGCGATCATGCTTGAAACCAAAGAAACCGACGACACCCCTGAAAAGGGTGAGTAGGTGACGTGAAAAGCAGAAGCAGACTGACTGTATACGTTTAGGCAGCAGAGAGAAGACGAGGTTAAATAATCCAAAGCCGAAAGCCGTCCCGGAGATGATAAGCTCTTCAACGGGACCTTCAGGAATGATAGGTTGCGGCACCGCCAGTGTGGAACCGCCAGACCATTTGCTGAAAAAACTTGTCTTAGTAGCGTTGGTGGAGACGGAACGGATACTGGGATTGGAAGGCTTTCGGGATACGGATGGTGACGCGGCCGGCGTTCGATACCCATCTAGACCATTGGGGAACACGGTCTTGAATAATCTGCGAAGAAGTCGTGAGATTAGAATTATATATCGAAATTGGGGCCTACTTGGTAAATTTGGAATGGGCGCTAAAACTTGAGAATTAGCGGCTTGGCTTCGGACAGAAGGGATTTGCTTGCCTATTAAGAGAATATCTATAATATGATGAGAACACAAACAAGAGGAGAGATGACGGTATTACATGCATTGAAGATATCCCATATACGATTCGCTGCATGCAGGCCGGTCAACAGTCACCAAATTATCACACAATCCGGTACACGTACCCGAGCGCATGCGTTATCCCCAACAGAACGACAGAATCAACATTCACTATCTCCCACTCAATTCCGGGGGGTAGCCGCGCGTTGGTCCTGCTTTTGACAGCCTTCATTTGCTTTCTGGATCCAGCCTCGGACTGGGCCAGCGACTTTGCGGCTTCTTCCATCTTTGCCGACTGAGAAGAGATGAATTTGTCAAAATCTTGCTGACACGTTGATACATACCTCCATTCCCATGGCGGCCTCCAAAAACACGCAAACGCCAGCGCCCAGGGAATGAAACGGCGAATCGTCGTTTGTGAACTCCGTTTGGGCATCAGCAATGGCATTCGAGAAGAGGAAATCAAAGCCCTTGCTGGCTGAGCGCAGCTGCTCCGTCGTCCTGTCGGGTGAGGACATGGTGGTTAGGAACAGAGAGGGGCAATAATGCACGAAATTTAGTGGCCGATGACGTACTCCAGCCGGCGGCAATGCCGATTTCAATTTGGTGTCAAAATTGTCCCGAAACGGATTACCCTTGCATTCCGGCAGAGCCCGGCATACATCAGGCAAGAATGTAAATTGAATGTAAAAATAACTTCGATCTGAGTGTTTCGTAATACGCAGTGATCTCCAGGGCTATGACATGTGATATATGAAGCTATCCGTAAGAATTTCGTGAAATATGTTAGTTATTCTTCAATTTAGGTTACGCGCGCGCCCCCGTCGGGGTTGAGAAGGAGAAATTATATCTACAGTTATTTACCGGTCATTGGAACGCCGAAAAATATTTTTTATCTCATCTACCACACATCGTCTTTTTCCTCAAATAAAGTAGCCACAAAATTTTTAATATTCCTCAGTGATGTCTATACAAAGTATGAAGTGGATCAAATCATCTATTATTGAGATATTCGTAATTTACGGTGTGTCATTGACTGGTAAATGACCACGTGGCAAACCCCTGCCAAATTTGTGTCACTGTTCGATTTTTCACGGGGTCAGCAGTAGCACTAAAATCCCCCCAAAATCACTAAAAATCCATAACATCTATGTCTCCAATTATACAACAGTTTCAGGCAGCGGAATTGGCGAGAAGGAGGCTAAATCAACTGTTTCAGTGACTGATGGTGTTGCAATGACCTGTCAATAACTGTATTACGGGTAAAACATTAAGGGATCTGAATAAATACTCGCTATCCTATACAAGTAGCTAATGATAACAGTACGACGATGTAAGACGAGCATAAAATGCACAGCCATACTCAATATTTCTTTCACCTGCTGAATTCTCATTTTCTCGTCCTGCTGGAACTTCCGGGTCGTGAAGATGGGCCTGCCTCCCCAATCGCGGGCGAGTCAGACAACTCAGCCTCCGCGTCATCGTCGCAAGGACCAAAACCATCGTCGCAAGAGTCCCAGACATCCTCGAAAGAGTCCGAGTAGTCATCGAACACCTCGTTCACTTCCTCTTCCTTGGATTCCTCCCCGGACCGTATAGGTGGCTTCATTCCAAACTTGATATACGCGCGCCGCGATGCTCTGGTCCTGATAATGGTCTTGAATTGCTTGTGCGTTAGTCCAACCTTAGTCTGAAGATCGCGTTCTTGACTGAGGTAGTGTAGGTACGTGGCATGCAATGCTTGGAAGACTCCAGAACCGTTGTCGATGTGATCCATGCGAAAGCCATTTGCCTCTGGGTAAAGGTGCTTGAACACTGTCTGTCCTCCCGTGCGAAACAACGGATTAAGTTCTTCCGGTTTATTCAAGAGCCTGCATAGTAAAAGAAGTACGTTATGAGAAAATATGGAGGATGAAAATGACGTGAGACCTACGCGTAGGTGCAATTCGCACATACATCCCATCGGCCCTCTTTAATCACGATAGGATCCCCACAGGTTTCGCATTTAAGCTCCTACGGGAAAACGTCAGCAAAGGTGAAAACAGAGTCTCAATAGAGGACGTACACCGCATAATCGTTCCTTTGTAGCCTTCTGACTGGCAGCCTTTGATTTAGCCTTTGACTCAGCCTTCGCCTTCGCCCTTGACTTCGCCTTCGACTTTTCCTTTGACTTTCTTGATCGACGCGTAGCAGGAGCTTCGATGTCGAGGACGTCCATCGGAATAAGACCTTCGGGTAGAGCTGGAGGCAACAATGGCACCGACGCGGTAGGTTGGCTATCACAGTCGCTAGCTCCCAAAACTGATGGCGGAAGCATCAACTTGGACGTCGACTGCGATGGATGGGAGATGCCTTCTTTCGAGTCGTCTTCGTCTTCACCAGGAATAGAAGAGAAACTCGTGCGGAAGGACTGATATAAGTTTGGCCATAGAGCGGGGTCAAATGGCTGATACGACTGCCGATTCTGCTGGTCCAATAGCAGAGGATCAACGACGCTGTAGGGTGGAGGTATATGGGCCTGATCCAAGAAATCCATGACAGAAGACGAGGAGATAAAATGGAAAGAAAGTAAAGATAACGAAAGAATAGAACAAGAAAGCTGAGAAGCGAACGTGGGGAAGCAATGTCATGGGAGAGTATTCATGTTGAGCGGTTTATATAGACGTTCTGCTAGGTGGCAACCACCCACGCTTCCAGAACGCGCCATCGAGACTATTTGAGATATTTTTGATCATTAGTGAGGGAACAAAACGACCAAACACTTCGTAGAGAACAAAGGCACGAAGCATGATATCATTGTCTTCGTGGAACCCACACTTTATTGTTTCAGTAAATGCCACCCGGAGTAGGCTAACGAAGACTTACTTACGAGATTTTAGCAACTTGAAATAGATTGCATCCAAGTATTTTCTAAGAGAAGGTCTGCCTTTAGGAATTCAGTACCGGCGGACTGATGCCGGAAAATGGATTTCAAAGCATAGGATGAATGATATTGGATATCAGTGTTTCCCCAGAGCCTACTTGATACATAGATATTGTATTGATCTGTTGAAAAGGTCATTATCATGAAGAGATCGTCGGTTCGTAGAAAGATTTACACCTTGGTCTTTCCTCGTTGTTCACTGTTCAGAGATTAAGCACTTTCTACGTCGACTTTACATATTGTACCGTCATCTGCTACGAGTTTGAACTTTACTGCAGGAGAGACGTGAGAACCACAGTAGAAGCAGCGGTCAAGAAACATAAGTTTTGACGCACATATTTGAAAAGGTTGCGTCTTATCTCTCCGCATACTAGTAAAGTACACAGTCCCCGAACCTAACCAAAGTGGATGAGATGAGATGAAGCATTCCTCTCCGGCATCGTACCGTTATTTCCTTCAACCCTAAAGCTAAGATCAACGTATCCCTGGGGAATATCAACCTAGACGCCGGAAGTAAATCCGCTCAACCAATGTCCTGCAAACGAAGTCCCCGACACACCGAACCATAAATCCTAGAATGTCCGTTGAGCCACCACTGGGTTTCAGCGACAATCCCATCACCGAGAAGCATCTTCACCCAGTGATCATTTCGAAGCAAATGTATAAGTTCCTGTACAATCGAGCTGGAAATTTTCTCCTTATTCGTGATATATGTCCAGAACAGCGTCCATGCAGATACACCAGCGATAGTACACGCGATGGCAATCGACCAGCGTTTCTGCATCGACCTGTCATCACCATGAAAGAGCGCGCATGAAAAATAAACCCCCACCTTGACCAGCGGCACTCCTCTTTCTATTTCTGGAGATTCCCTCTCCCTGAGGATATAACGTCGTGGACGCGCTGTATCGGAAAACGTCGTGACACGGGGCGGTTGCCTCAGAGACGGTGGAGGGGCAGGTATTTGGCGTCCAAATGTCCTGCTTAAATGGATCCGCCATCGCAGTTGTCGAGCATGTTTGCCTAGATGCATCTCAGCAATAAAAACGAATAGAGGAAGGGATCTAGCCGGAATATCCGGCACGGTTCGTATCTGGCGTTCGGTTCCGATCCGAAAATATCCGTGACAGCATGTGGGTCCATATGGGTGCATCGCTCCTAAGCAGAGGAATTGCTGCGCAATTGCTAATCCGGTACAGGCGCTGCTCACAATTATATGTAAACAGAAGGAATTGAAAATCTGGGATTTGGTTGCTCCGATCAGCAGCTGACCAAAGCTTTTTAAAGTCAGCGCCCTTTCGTTGAACTTGGGGTCAACTTGAGGCAGATAATTTGCTGTACATTCTTCGATACATACATGTGCAGTGAAGTGAATTTCATATACAGTGGACTGTTCCCGGTAATTGAATCCAACAGCACCAATTAATCCAGCTAGTCTGAGTTTTAATATCTGTAACACTCATTTCGGTCGAAATGACCGGGGGCAAATATAGGCGTTGAATTAAGGCGTTTGTGGGTCCAGGTTCACCATCAAAAGCACCGCGCACGAGAATAGGTTGCTGAAATGCATCATAAACCATGGATCTCTCCCGCATTGCTTCCACTTTCTTTGGGAGGTATATTTGTATATTCAATCAAAGTCCAACGCTCTCCTCCCTCTCTGCCTCCGAGGATAAACGCAAAGATATTAATTGCGACAGATGAGGCCGCTACGGCAACTCGGACAGCTCCACTTGTACTCGAACAGAGACAGGAAAACCCAGATTTACCGAAAGATATCCAGGCCGCGGCTCGCGAAATAACCCACATTGTTTGTCCGCGATTGCTTGAGTTGAAGAGCAGAATGGACACCCGTTAAGCAGTCCCGTGGGATCACGGATCCATATTACCTTTGAAAGATTCCAGGCGTGCTGTAAAACACGAGGCCTAGGCCCTATGAAGGGACTCTTGCGTTTTGAATTTAGACGAGAAGCCCGGCGGTGGAACCAGATTACCAGACAATCTGAAGGGTCCATCATTCGCTGAGTGTTAATCTGAGTGGATCCACTTCTAAGATCATCGGAGCTCTAAAACTGACAGCATGGTGTCACGATGCGGAAGAATATTTATCAAGAGTGCGCTGAGTGAAAACATATTCGGTTTTATTGACAGAGGACCGAAGATATACCGAGCGTAGACATCATTGCACTAAGGATTCAAAGACTATCACAAGAAAGCAAGTCCAAAATCAAGGGAAGAGCTTCAGAAATCCGGAAAGATCATATATCCCGGGCGCTCATTGGTACGCTTCTGCTTGCGCGTTATACATCTGAGCATACTCTCCTTCAATAGCCATTAGCTCGGCGTGAGTTCCACGCTCTACGATCTTTCCTTCATTCAAGCACCTACGACACATGACATCAACTTCCCGCTATCATTCAGGATCACATCGATTGAATACTCACAAAACCTGATCAGCACGCTTGACGAGATGTGCGAACCTGTGTGTGACAAAGATCTTCGTCATGCCTTTACCTTGCTCCAAGAAACCATTCAATAAATCACGTTCAGCAACAGGATCCATTGCCGAAGTTGCTTCGTCAGCTATTAGGAGTTTAATTCCTCCGTTCAATAGCTTCATACACGCGCGGGAACTGAAACGTTTTCATCAAAACACAAGGGAGGCAATATCGGAAGGAAACGTACGCAAGAATTCGTTGAGTCTCGCCTCCTGACAGCTTCGTAGGCGTCCGCGGGGGATGTTCCTGTTTCTGTACTTGTATCGTTGCCGTCGAGGGAAACCTGTGTCCACAGCCAGAGACAGAGACGTCAAATGAGCGTTCAAATGCGTCGTTACTGGGAGTGTAAAGGGAATCAAAGCCGTTCTTCTGTTCATGGATAATCGCAGACGATCCACCCATAGTAGCTGCTTTTTCAAGTATCTGGATAGGATGATTTCCCTGGATAACCGAGGTAGAGTTACCGAGAGCCATGAGAAAGTTATCGCCATAGGATAGTGGATAAAGAACGTCTCCCTGCGAGAGAACAGTGATAGACGATCGGAGAGAAGCCAGCCCATAATCTTGTAACGGTCTCCCATCAATGAGTATCTCCCCAGAAGTAGGATCTCTCAAACGAGACAACAGGTTCAAGAGGCTAGACTTTCCACTGCCGTTGATGCCGACAATAACAATAAGCTGTCCGGGAGAAATATCGAACGATACGTCCTTGAGGGCTAGCTTATTGCCAGGGTATATAAACGAAACATTCCTGGACATTGACGTGACTAATATTCAGAAATGATAGCGGCATTTTACTCACCGGAAAGAGATGCTCATCCCTTCGCTGGAAGGCTTCTCACTACCAGGATACTCGCAATTTCCAGTAGCCATAGTCGAAGTGATATGCAGATCTCGGTAGCATAACTTCGCTTCCTGAAGTAAAGCAACGAAGGAACTGGAATAGCATAGTACCATCAAATCGGAACTCTTCCTCAGGTTACTGAAAGCTGCCTGAAGAAGCATGCCTGCAGACAATAGAGATGGCGTCAGAGGAGTCCAGAATAACACAGCGGAACATAATGCCTATGAAATGATTCACTTCAGTAATTCTTTCGGTAAGATCACAAATGAGCACACCGGAAAGCCGTCAACAAGAATTATGCTAGCAAGATCCCAGTACCATGGAGGGGGAACGCTTATCGAGGCGAAGTCTGCCTCACTGTATTTCTGTATACCCAAAGATTCGATTTCTTTCTTGTATTCTATTAAAGTATCAATCATTTAGAACAAGGAGGATTATGATGCGACAGTTACCTTGGTATATGTAGCCTTCTGGTACGGTCTTCACCATGGAGTCGCGATAGACCCAAGGATTGAATATCATTTGATGGAGCCCTATCAAACGATCGTAGTGGGGATTCTTCGTCCAGTATACATATCCTGGAACGAAGATACAATGAGTTCCACCGTGATTATCGAGGAAAGTTTATTTACCCGCGCCTCCAAAACCGTTGATGGGCTTGAGCAAAAGGAAAGTCAGAACGCAAGAACCGAGCGTCGTGATTAATACCACGGGCAAGGACTCATCCAGGAGGATAATGAAAACTACGACTTGAAGGATAACGCTTATGATAGCACGTAGTCGAAGAATAATGGCCTTCAGGGTTGCCCACGCCTGGCAGTACGCTTGGTGAAACTCGCCGGGGTTGGGAAAGCTATTACCACCTAGGAATCATGAGAAAGGATGTCTGTACTTGGTCCGAGAGCGAATCATACCAGTTGCAGTATTCAGATCTAGAGCCAAGCTCGCTGGTAACATAATAAGAATTAAGATAACATATAACACAGCGAACCGATGACTGACTTTTAGCGAACTGAGGATAAAGAAGCAACTTGGTCGCCGAGTCCAGTGCACGATCATTCCCTGTGCTGTGAATTTATCAATACAAAGAGTTATGTTCAACAGCTAGGACCTACATGAGACGCGCAGCTACGACCGACACTGAGGCGGACGCCAACCAATACAGCACAGGATTTTTAAAGTCTTCCATCATTGTATCTGAGTTGGAAAACCCGGAGGTCATCCACATCTCAATCTACGTAGCTGTATGAGCCACAGAGGAAATTATGGATAGTTGGCATCTTACGGTGTGGAGTCCCACTTTGACGAGGCAAATCGCCACAGCCGGAGAGAGGCTCAACCATAGATTCGCGGTGATGTAGAGCAGGAACGTCGTCGGCGCGATGGAGTAGACATCGTTGAAGAGGCGAAGAGCAAAAACGCCGTGTTCTGAGATGCTGTATACCACCGATATGATAGCGTCGTGAGAGGGTAAGAACCCCTCTTTCTCGTACGCAATCTCGAAGATACCCAGTCGCTCTCGTTGGGTAGGACCTTGGGTATCGTCGTTCGGCGTGCAGATGGTAGTCTTGGAGGAGAAAATTGAGTTATCGGTCATTGTTGAGGTGAGCGATCGAGGAAAGTTCTGGGTAGTTGGTTGGAATCCTTTCTGTATTTATGCGATACGTTTCGGCTCTGGCTATCCTTAAGTGGATGAGTCAGTAAATCAGAGCCATCTTGTTTACCTGATTCGGGACATGAATTGTCATAGTAAACATCGGTCGTGTTGCAGGTACAACACGCGTTTTGGCCACACTCATTTCAAGAATCATTGAGATCGAGCGGAGGTTAAAATTCCACGCCCACAGAGAGAACAGAAGTGAATGAGATGGTGGGGATCACTTTGTTTGTTTTTAATGATAATAAAACAAGAAGATTAGTGTATCCAAGCCGACAATTATGGCGGTGCGGGTGGGAAGTCGAGTCAAGAGACGACGTAATCCATTCCTGTCTGTGGATTTGTTGCTTCTCCAGGATGACACATGAGTGACAAGAAGCAAGGACACAATCTCATGGACTAGTAACCTCGCGATGTTCGATGCCGTAATAGTGGCTTGTTAAGGACGTACTTCACAGTCTTCGACAGGGATCTATCGTGAAACAGCTTTACGCAGGCGCTGTACCCACACATGTGGTGTGCAAGAGCTTGTCGCAAGTTACACCCTAGTGATGCTATATGCCACACCCCACGAATGCAGATCTTCGATCGTATTTGCGAGAAACCGTGGCAATAAGAAGCTCTTGTAGCGATTACGACGGATAAAGATGCTGTATGCGGAGTCAGAATGTTACCTCAACAGCGGTTCAGTGGGAATTTTTACCATAATTTGATGGCGCTGTAAGATGCGCCTCGGTGGCGGTAATCAATCATTCCAGGGAAAAGAAACAAAGGAGAAGGGTATGGGCGCTAATCATAATCAGGTACAGTCCAATGATCCATGTTTCTAGCCCCGCAACAGGGTGACCTGACCGTTTTCTGAGTTTGGTAAAAAGGTCCCAGTACCGACGATGTTCATTTCCGTAATTCTGATCCTTCAAGGTGGCCGCTGCGAGCCAAAATCATGGCACGCTGCATAGCTCTTGGAATACAGGTCATGTAAACCGTCGCCATGCCACCATGTGCGTGACGCAATGTTCTCCCTCGGCGCGAAAAGCAAGCGGAGAGGCGTAATCACATACTAGTATCAGGCGTTGGAGGTCTGTTGACACGCCATAATTAGCAACGAGATTTTTTACGACCGTGGTCTATGTCCGCGGGTCAGAGGGCGACCCTATGGCTGTGGTTGGTGCGCAAGGTATGTCCAGAGTGTTTTGTTGTACTCTTTTAGGAAACGATTATTTCAGGATTTAAATAAAACAAATGGGTATGTTTGGGGAATACCTTCGGAAAACCCAGTTAATAGACTTCATGATTGCCTCATGATCTATTGAGAGCGGAAATACCCCGGTAGGTGCACAACAGAAATCACGCCGCAATCGATTTCGGAGCTTAAATGAAGAGATGAAGTGCATGGTTGTGAAGAGCCAAACAATGAACTGAAATCAGACCTCAATCAGACATGACACAAAACGGAGGCACATACTTCCTCGACATAGATGAAACCCACCTCGTGTAACAACCCCAGTGCTGCGGGAGCAATGAGAACTGATTTCAATCTCCAGTAAGTCTGGATTGGCACAGGGATACGAAAGAACTTCCGTCGCAGCTAAATGGGGTAGGTTAGTGTAGGGATACCTTGAGGGCGCGCCCGGTTACCGAGGCCAAAGTGCCTGACCTGATCGATGGGTGCGCTACAGCTGAATAATAATTTCTGAAAGACACTGAGAATGTATTCTCGCATAAAGCAAAAGAAAGGAATAGGAACTTTTGCCAAAAAGAAGTAAGATAACGATAAAGGGAAGGATGGCTGGAAGGATCAAGCCGACTTCGGCAATTGCCGGACCGCCTTCGCTCCGCGCCATCGCGTAGGAATCCTTTTTCCATCTACGCATTCCTTGTATTCCTTTCGCCTCTCCTCTCCATGCTTTCTTTGTTACGGAGTAGGCAGCAGTCAAGAAATACCACCTCTCTGTTACAAGTAATGGCCCGTACGCGCATGTCGAGCTCTGTCTCGGAACAACGCCCACCTAAAAGGGCCCGAAAAACAAAGATCAACGATGAAAAACTGCAGGGTGCTGAGGTTAAAATTGGAAAAAGTCTTGCCTCGTCACACAGCCTTTGGCATGTTGGTGCCCACGTTTCTGTCGCTGGTGGCATTGAGAATGCAGTATTGAACGCGGCATCTATAGGGTGTGTTACAACAGCTATACCTCAAAAATTCTCATGCTATGTTTCACGTAGAGCTGATGCTTTCGCGTTATTCGTAAAATCACCCAGGAAGTGGGCATCTAATCCTTTCAAAGACTCAATGGTCGAAAACTTCAAGGCGCGTATGAGGGAATACCACTACGGACCTAGAGATGTTCTAACACATGGAAGCTATCTTATCAATCTCGGCAATCCAGACTTGTGGGTTCTTCCAGTTGCCAAATGTATTATTTGAAAACCGTGCCTTGTAGTCAAAAGAGAGAAAAGTCATATGAATGCCTTGTTGATGACCTAAACCGTTGCCAGCAGCTCAGTTTGGAGGTTTATAACTTTCAGTTAGTGATATAGTCCCTGGAATCCAATCTTGGTTAACAACATCTAGTCCAGGTTCGTCTGTGGGTGCAGCGACGACCGCGGAATCAATAGGTCTCATCGCGGAGTGCCTGAATCGGGCGCACAAAGCTACAACATCTGTAGTAACTGTACTTGAGAACATGGTAAAATAGTCGGGCAATTACTGTAGCATATCCCTAATGGTCTTTGATAGGCCGGTGGCGGCCATATCATCGGCTCTGATTTCTCTCATCTCGCAGATATCATAGCAGCAGTAGAAGATAAATCCCGCATTGGAGTTTGCTTGGATACATGTATGCCTCACATTGCGTATCGGTTGTCGACGTTAACACCCTGTCTAGGTCATATGTTTGCAGCCGTGAGTTATGAACCATATTGCAAGGCTCCTCTCTCAAACGGCAACAGGGCTACGACATCCGAACCAAACAAGGATGGGAGTGAGTTTCATTCCTCTCGTACTTGACTTCCATTGAGCTTGATATGAGAATAGCGACACGAGTACGACCACGTCTCCTCCTTTATCCTGCCGTTAACTGACACCTTCACACCAGTAACAAAGTTTGATCAACAAGTTGGCTTGTCATACTTGCGCGGAATGCACCTGAACGACTCCAAGACAGATTTCGCGTCAAATCGTGATCGCCACGAGAACATCGGCATGTTCGTTTTATCATCTCCGTTTACATTCCCCGAAACTCACCCTCCGTAGGGGCCGTATAGGATTGGAGCCGTTCCACTACATCCTAACTGATCCTAGAGTTCAAGGTATACCTCTTATTCTGGAGACTTCTGAACCAGAGGCATGGGCCACGGAGATTGAGGTGCTGAATGAGCTCTCCACCTGTACCAAACTCGATGATAAGAAGAAAAAGGCGCTCCTCTGTCGCATTCGAAAGAGCCTGGAAAGAGCTGGTCCTCCTTACAAGGCAGGTTCAAGACGAAGCCAGCGCGCAAAGAAAACCGATGACGATGATAAGGAATGCGATCGCTAAGTTTTGGACCTGAAGATAGCAGTGACTTGTTTACAGTAAGGTGAGATCCTTAGCTGCCCTTGATGTAGCGTCACTTATGTAGCTTTAGGGAGAGGCAATGAGGCGTGATGCTGGCCGCTGTATATTTAACGTTGTGATATTCAGGCTATTTTTACTTTTGGACAGCTCAGTGTCTTATCACATATATGACCGCTTCTTCGTTTTCGCTGAATATGTCCCCCCCCCAATCCACCGGCACATAATTCACAAGCCCTCATTGAAAGCGGTAAAAGAGAACGAACTTGGCTCTTTTATGCGTTTCGTGCAGCATTTGTAGCATATCTTTATGTTCATATTGAGCAATGACTGAAATCTCCGAAGGGTACTTCGCCAGCCTTCTTTTCGTTTTTCCTGTATACCCTTATCCACTCGTGAACCGTCCCGACAGATACAATTAACGCAGCAATACAACCAACGCCTTGCATGTATGACTCGCAAGCGAGTTAATTATATGTTTTCTCTGTACCACAAATCCGCCGAACTCATGCATTCTGAAAGTGTCACTGGCTAACAGTTAAGTTAGGTGAGCGACTTTCGATTATAACCAACATCCCGCTGGGAGCGTAGGCGAGAGGGGACGAAGGCGGATTCGGACCGGTGCACGTGATTGCTTAGGGCAGGTAGACATAGCTTTTCCCGGCTAGTCTTTCCCTATGGTCGGAGGAGATGGTGCTTTCATTTCTCAGGAGTCAACAGTGATAACTCCCAATGGGTTCCGTGTTTCTGGTACCTTTCGAGGTCTTTGTTGCATAACGTACCAGACAGCTATTAGTTTGGTGAGCTGCAGTAGTCAATTTTGTTGGGTTTCGTTTATACATTTTCAGCGAATTAAACTATGTCAAACGACTTGGTCTCTGCTCGTCCTTAGACGCCGATTTTCACACTCCCCCACTGCCGGTGAATCGGATACAATGCCGGATATCCTTGTAGATCAAAGTTAATTGGGCATGGGACCACTGGGCGTCTATTGAATCGCCTATCATGTCTACCATCACCTCAACGCCGAACCATCCCACCATGTCAACCTGCTCTGCTATATTACAGAAGGATTCACCGACCGAGCAGCAAGGAAACGAGGCCGGGGAAGAATACATGCATCCGATCACAGTCGCCATCGAGCAATCTGGGTTCACAGAACTAAGATATCTGAATAGTCTCAGAACCCTGGTGCTGTACAATATTCCCTTTCGCTTGTTCATGATATTAACTAGATTTAGGGCCAAGAAAGTGCAGTTATGGAACGTCACTATGAAAGACAACAACACACTGCTGACGGCGCCGACCACACTATGACTCGCTCGTGGTTTTTGCGGATGAAACAGATCATGCAGGAGATCGACCGATTTTGTCCTGTATGTGGCATTATGAGCGGGGATTTCCGATTTTTGGATCTAGGGTACGCCAGACCTTCACAGTTACGACTTTCCTCCCCATCTTTGATCCACAGTTGCTGCCCCGGCGGGTTTTCGTCGTACATTCTTGATAAGAACACCCAAGCCAGTGGCTTCGGTATTTCCTTATCTCCTCAAGAAGGCGGTCATCCTTTTCTGATGGATGAAAGTCTCCTGAATCGCTACTCCATCGTATTCGCAAACATAGCTAGGTTCGAATTAGGCCCCAGCTCCGACCCTGAACTTCTTCCCACCCCTGCCAGGACCTTCGACCTCGTCGTTATGGACGCCAGCCACCTTCGCAATCAACCGCAGAGGGCGGCTCATAAGGTCTATATATCTGAGCTGATCCTAGGACTCAGAGCCGTAAAAATGGGAGGATCGATTGTTCTTAAACTTCACCGTCCAGAATCAGATTACTCAGCGCGTCTTCTTTACCTCCTCGATAAGGTGTCTTGGAGAATCAAGACGTTCAAACCAATGTCCATTCACAAGGATCGTGGTTCGTTCTACGTTATCGTCCGCGGTGTTGGTTTGGATGTGCACCACCGGCCCTCATTCGAACGGCAGGCTCTGTTGTCTCGCGCGGTGGAATCGTTCCAGATGCTTTGGGTCGATTTGGGCGAGGAGGGGAGAGAAAGGGATTTAGTTCCGGAGGATTTGAATTTTATCATCACCGTAGACGATCTCGTGAAAGAGTATACAGATCGTTTGGGATGGCTCGGTCGTAAAGTCTGGGAGATCCAGGCAAGAGCACTTGTGGCGTTATTCAGGAGGGAAGGGATTGCAGTCGATTAGTCCTATGATCTATCAGCGATAGGTAGGTTTTACATTCCCAAGCGTTTTAAGTGTGATTAATGTGGTCATACCTTCGCAGCATGATTCTCGTTTTTCCGTTATAATCGTACACTTCACGGGTGTAAGCAATTGTACAGGGCACCTCGTTTCATCTCCGCTGAGACGAGCAGCACACAAGGACTAGCAGTGTAACGGGCTTACTCCAAAACCTATCATCCTCTAGTATCCAATCATCAATTCCCATTCTCTTTCCTTCATTCACTATGTACTAGTATATCACTCTTATGCGTAGCGACATTGTAGGAGATTATACGTACCATGAAATGCCATTTCTTCCTTTCCGTTGTTTTCAATTCTATACTGTGAGTTGCATTGATGAGAAAGAGAAAGAAGAGGCAGGTACATCGAACTACGCGAAAAGCACTACTCAATTTCATCCTTCATTACAAATGTCGTAGCGGAAGTGTAATCAACACATGCTAATGAATACACTGCATGTCGAAACCATCCCCAGTCCGTTCTTCCAAATCTAGCGGGCATTCTTCTTGTGTCTTTTTCTTATCATCCGTTACTTCGAAGTAGATGCGGTGAGTCGTACCGCAGATACCCTTCACCCTCTTCGTGTCAAGACGTTCCGTCGTTGCCTTGCGCTTTCGGGAGCTTCCCCGCCACTCATCATCGCTATAGCATTCATTCTTGCACCAATCAAACCCCTTTGCAGGAACCTTCATACCCTCGGCATGTCTGCGCAATGTTTTGCAAAGCCACGTGGGGTTGTTCAACTTCTCCATTCTTGAGAGACGCATTCCCTTCTTGCTGCGCGCGGCCCTCTGGGGAGCCGATGATGCCAGATACTCGTAGTCATCTTCGTCTTCTGCACTAAGTTCTGGCTCATACCGGACAGCGAAGACATCGACCAATTCTCGTATCAACTGACCGAGATCGTAGACGTCGAAGACAGGCAGCACCTTATGAGGGCCCGTCAATACACCGTACTTGCCTTCACCACCTGTCTCCCCGCGAGCTTCGATTACGGAGTCCTCAAACCATAACTTCAAGTTGTGGTGTAACTTCGTCGGTAGAAATGAATTGCGGGTATGTCGGAGAGTTACGTAGAGGAGAACCCATACGGATGATTCTCTGTCATCTACCAGCGTGTGAACGGTCCCATAGGAAGCCAAAAGGTGCGCAGACATGAACTGCCAGGTACCCTAGAAGATGGGAGAATAAGGAAAGAAGGTTGTGACAGGTTGCGTAGAAAACCTACGGTTCGGCATATGCGTTTGTCGTCACCTCTGTTGTTGAGAATAACACAGTGATCCCAGTCAATGAGGAACCCTCGGTGATCTGGGGTGATCATAATGTTTCCGACGCTGATATCTCGGTGCAGAATGCATGCCCTGTCGAACGCCGCCTGGTGAGCTATGCGCAACAATAGAACGGTTAGATCGGAGGAAATGGACAGGAAAGGATGTAACGCACCTTCCATGGCATCCGCTATACAGGTCACCAAGCCTTTAACAGAGCAGAAAGTCGTGAGATCTCTTCCGACGGTTTTCAAGAAGATTCGGTGGGCCTGCAAGGTCGGGAGCAAGTAGACCTCGTCGTCGGGGAATCTGTGCGACAACGACCCTCCTACATGTTCCTGTGTGATCGTGATCATGTCAGGGATGTCTCCCCCGGCCTCCATCTCGGCTACGTATGGCACTTTGTGCTGGGCAAGAAGACCATAGATATCCGATTCTTTCGCAGTCCGAGCCGAGTCTTCACGCCAATAATCTTTCATGAATAATATCCCCCCACGACGCTTCGCAGGATCATGCAGATCAGGACTATCCAGATCAATAGCCAGAGAACGACGTGTCGAGCGCCCAAATGGAGAGAATGCGCCGTCATCGAACTTGGGAGCACACACCACGAATCGACGAGCCTGACCGTTGAGGGTCATGTTTATGCGGAAAAGCTTCTGATCCTCGATATTGATCTCTCTCTTCGCCTTAGGTCCCGATTCACCATGCCACATATCCGTATCGTACAGGCCGAATTTGGTTCGAGCAATTATGGCATCGGGGTCGTTATCAACAATGGGAGAGACCGTGGGGTCTTTCCCTCGCTGGCTAGGTGTTAACTGCCCGAAACGTTTGTAATATTCGAAGATCATGTTCGGGTCCTCGGTGTAGTCGAACCGCTTGCTGACGATGGCCCCGGATCGGTCCCAGCGTATGAATCGGGCGAAGCGGCCACAGATGAGAATCGTGAAGAGGTGAGAGCGGTATTGGAGCATCATCGTGATGCCGGCATAGCAGGATATCTGTCCGCGTGTCTCGCATCCCTTGACGGAGTTGTTCTCGAAGGGAAAAGCCGGTCGCATAGATGAAGTCGATTGCGTGAGCTCTGGTACCTCCTCACCGGCGCGAGGATCTTCGTCAGTTTCTTCTTCTTCCTCCGATTCTTCGTCTTCATCGTCATCCTCCTCCTCCTCCCCTTCCTCCCCTTCCTTATCCGTTTCCTTGGCGGGGGGTTCGTCGTCTTCCAAGTCAACGAAGGCGTCGTAATTATCGTAGGACTTCAACTCTGTCTGCGTCTCCATAAGCGAGTGATCGGTGATCCGGCCTTCAGGCATGTTGTCCGCGCCGTACACTCCGATATCGACTGCAAGATTTCCACAGTTTGTGTCTGGGTCGCGGAACTCTCCAAGCTTCGGGCGTATCGACAAGTAAGCCGGCTTCTTGGCATTAAGCGATATGGGCCAGTTATTGAGAGCCTTGATCTAAGCAGGAGTAGTCAGTAGATGAAATACTGGAAACCGTAGACCGACGGACATATTTCTTGTACATGTAAGGCTCACGAAGGCCTGCCATGGAAATAAGCATATTCTTCCTGTACCTGCTCGGTTGCTTGCGCCTGTAGTCGTCCGGAGTAGCATCGTTCCAGGGCATGTATTGCTCCAGAAAAGCTTGCGCTGAAGGACCAGAAATAAAATGACCGCCTGCTTCGGCAGCGATATCCCTGTGTCTTTGTCGAATTTCCGGTGTGTCAACAGAGAATTTACTATGCCCTTGGGCCTTTTTGACGACGGGAGTGTGGTCCATGCCGTACTCAGGGAGCCAAGGACGGTTCGGAGGAGTAACGCGACCGGTGTCGGTGGTGGTGGAGTCAGCTGGTGACTGAGGTGGGGGATCGTTGGTAGCGTCTGCCATGGGGGAAAAGTTTGTGAGTGATGAGAAACCGTCGCAGTATATAAAGGAAATGAGAACAGGGAGAATCGCCGCAAAAACAGAGCGAACAACGATAATCCATTGTCATAAAAGAGAATTACCTAGATAGCACTGTAGTTTGTCCTTTGTCGCGTTCTCTTGCTTTCTTCAACGGATAGTTCGGCACAATGAGTGGCGTAGTGGATCGTGGTAACAGTTCAAGTTCAAGTTGGCGATTCAAAGTCCGACCACGTGTTCGCGTTGTCCTATCACGTGCTGACGCGCCGACAAACTGAATTTGGAATAACTACGACCCATTGTTCCAACTTCATGTTTGCTGCCAAGAAATATGCAGATCTGGACCTGATATGAATATAAGGTCTCATAACCAGGTTGATTCCATTCAAAATCAATTGCAAATCGTGCCGCTGCTGCAAGTTTAATCAAGGTTGAAGGCTGGCTGGATGGCTATCAGCATACAAAGTACTTAGATTCAATTTCATTTTTTTCCGGTTTCTATACTATCACTCATTGTAACAAAGTAAGTAGCAGCGGATACAATTTTTTTCAAGCTTCCATTGTAAGGAACCAACACCCTGAGATTGTTCCGGGAGATTATTTCGGCATTATCACACTGCCCTATCAGGTTATCGGAAATAGAACAAGGGTCCTTCCTATTCTCGATGTACAGCGGGCGCTCTGGTTTAGGTAGGAGCTCATGTACATCGATTATTTTAATGTGAAGGAAACTTTGAGGAAACTGGTTGAGGATGATCTGTCGAGCTGGAGAGGTTTCCTCACACACCTTTCTGTCTGCCGGAGGTAGGGAGGTAGTATTACATTGCACGGTCCACCGGGGGATGCCGGACGTACATATTATACTGTACACCAACACGTTAGTACAACAACGATGTACTTAATTATATACTGACACCGAAAATCGGACTCTGGTAGGAAGAGTTCTGTTTTCGACTTGTCAGAAATTGTATATAGAAAACTTTTAGTGCTATTGCACATTTTCTTCACGCAGAAGCTTGTAGCCTGGAGGAGGGCGTAGCCTTGAGATAAAATCGTCATTCCGGAACATTTCATTCTTCCTCTGAGGCAATATGACGCGTAACTACCTTGAAGTGACGACGCCAAAACACCGAGACGCGCTTGTCTCTATTGTACTGTCGACGCATAAATTAGCGGTGGAGTGCCTAAGATGGACTACACCCACTACCGAGCATGAAAATAGACGGTGTCGCATGTGTATGGCTAACGTCGAGACCCACGAGTATGTATTATTTCGTTGCATCGGGGATAAAAACAATGACAACGAACTGGGGAGAAGGCAGTGGTAGTGAGAAAAATGCAAGACTTACGCAAGAGCGTCTGGAGTGATCTCGCTCGCATGGCTCCACTCTCCGCACCCCGCGAGGATACAGTACTATTGAAATCTTTGCAGGCTCATCGTCCGTCTATCGAGGTAAACGTGAAATATTGCTACCGAGTGCTGAAAATTTTGTACAAGCTACCAATGTATCGACCTTTAGGAGGGACTGCAGATAGCAGTCCTGGATGCCTTCAACTGGACCCTAGGTTCTACCCAGCAACTTAAAGTTGACCGTGAGCTCAGCCTTGGGTTCGGTTGGGGGTATGAGTGGATAATTAAGTACGTGATTGTGATATTAAAGTGTTAGTGTACTAATCATGTATTATCTACGGCAGGCATTCCCAGCTGGACAGTGCCGTGTAATACTACCTACCCACCTGCGCGCGTGAATGTTGGTCTTACTACTGAAAATTAATACAACTTGAAACGAGGCGGCTCTGAATCGGCTCATATTCCTCTGAAGGTACTACAGAATAAGATTAAGGACCCAATTCGATAACAAAAAACCTCGCGTTGTAAGAATTGCTGCAAAGACTGAGAGCCAGGAGTGACGCGCGCAGGTTCCTCACGTAGATAAGGTAACCATCCTGGATCTTCATTTAAAGATAGACTAACAAAGGCATATTCTCGATTTCGTAACATCCATAACGGCGCAGTAATCCTGCATTTTGATCATTCCTCCTGGAGTAAATACATCGGCGATAACTGCATAGCATCGCGAGACTTTCAGCCGAACTCCACAGGGTATTTCCCCGAGCAAGTCCGGAATGATGGACTGGCTGAATTGCTGCGACTGAGGCATTGGATACGGTTGCTAAAATGAAATAGATTTTTCTGGAGGCTAAGTATATTGTCCCTTGTAATGACGCGCCTGCCGGTAATCAAATCGTCCTGGAGAGTTAACAGATATATGGGTATCGATACAAACGTTTCAGAGAGAGATTTAAAGGCTGAAATAAAAACTGACCTGCCGTGGGATTTACCGTAAGAAGTCGTTGCTCAGAACTGCGGGTTACCATTACTAGTTGGCATGTCCCTATGGTAAGAATGATAAGGATGTTCAGCATATTAAACAGCTATATAATAGTATATTCACCGCAAGAAAGCTAGAGATAACGAGCACATTAAAGGACTCAAGTGATAGATCGACGGTGTTTGAAGCCTGAATCTACTGTGCGTGCAGGACTGGCTACGGAAGAAAAACTGAGGGGAAGATCAATGAAAACGTCGGTCAACGTCGGTGTTCGGACCGACTTCCCGATGGGAAGAAAAAAGTCACAATCACGTGACTACGTGACAGTTCTGCCGGCCGAGCGGCACGCGGGTCACCTCGCTACCACCACAACGGTCAATTCATATAACGCATCCAGGGTGCTGATATCATCGCCATGCTCCTTGGCGAGGACGCTCTCATCTACCACTAGCACGACGAGATGTTGTTCGACAAATTATGGTCGCGTTCCCATCATCGTTCCGAGGTGCCAGCAACGACCACTCTATTCAAACGACTACGGCCACCTAGGGCGCGATGCATGAAGAAGGGAATCCTTGCTATCGGTGCATCACAAAAATTCCGCAGCGGATTGACAATTACTGACAGACATTATTCTAGGATTGTCCAGCCTCATCTACAGCAGCGGCTGTCCTACCTCCATCGAGTACTACCGGGGGGTCTGCATTATCCTGTGTCTCTTCCATGCCCACCAAGTCGACAAGCACGCCTACTCTCAAGTCGATTTTCGCCGACTTCCGCACCACGGTGGCGTACTTCATCAAGCTGACCGGAGCCATATACCTGAGGATGCGAGTGTGGTTCCCCATAGCAGGTATGGAGACTCCGGGCCAAGTGCATAAGCATCTAGGCGTGCTATTTGGGCTGCAAGGGGAGGCAAGGACGACAGCCCACCATGTCGTGCACCAAGCATGTGTCGAAGTTCATCATCTCGTCCGAGGCTTCGACCCGGACGTCGGGGTCGCGGAAGATCCACTGAGGTGGGGTGAGGCAGCGGCAAAGGTGGTGATACTGCTGGTTGATCTGATGGGTGAGACGGCTCTTACAGTGGTCCCGCCGACCCAGACACAGACGATGCTAAAATCAGATGGCGTATCGGATGACTATGCCTCAACGGAGCACTATGAGTTTGCTCGTGAGTATCTCGGTAGCTCCGTTGGTTCTGTGTACTAACCTTGCGCGAGTCTCGGACGAAAGCTTCTAGGTCGTTCTTCGACCTGGATCGAAATGATATGGGTCCGCCAAGGCCGAGTTAGGCCTTTTCTCTTTTTATCCTGACGCTTGACCGTACTTTGTGTAACGATTATGGGTAATATCGATGTCTATACCTTGTAGCACTATTACTTCCATTCTTACAATGATTCTCTTGTTCGAAGGCCCGAGGCCTCAGAATTCACGAGCTTCGCTCTGATGGCCGAACAGCAAAGGTTTATCGAGGTGCTGGGCTTCTTTCATTTCAGTGTTCTAACGATGAGTAAGATACGTAAAGCAGCCATATTAGTGGTATCCACTCTGACGCTGCACAAGCAACTTGGACTCTCCATCTCCTTCCGAGAGTACCCTATCGAGTACCCTTTACCGAAGGGATAAACAGCGTATTCAATCATACACTGAAGTCATCAAACAGCACCGACTAATGCGCCGATAAAGGGATTTTCAGCGTCTGCTCGAGTCGTATACCATCTGTTGAATCATCATTCTGTTCCCTCTGTAATACTGCTGGCCTTTTGTCAGCATTTGCTCATTGTTTTTTCTTTTCTTGATGAAGAACGAACACATGTTTTTCCCAGAAGTCTAACTAATGATCATCACCCTCGCAAGTTTGGGTTCCCAGTTGATCCCCCGGTGAGCTCATTAGGACATGTTAGAAGGTAGATATAATGGCATAGATAAACACTGGACAGTCTGAAGTAGCTGAGCTACTAGCATACCGTCATGAGCATTGAAGATCGACTCGGCGGAGAATCCTATTACAGTTCTTCCGACATGGATGGAAGACTGAGGTTCAAATTGTCGTGATTGAGGATATGAGCGACGGCGAAACTGTCGATTGAGAGAGAGAGTGATTGTCATGATATACAATTCAATCCGAACGAACAGACGGCGACTCAGATTCTTCTGAGATTCTGAACTTGGTTCAGTGGGATTGAAAGTGGGACCTGGGTAGATTTCGCGTCAGCACGTGATCAATGAAAGAAGGCACGTGTTCGGACTTTGAAATCGCGACCTTGAAGTTAACTAGGACCCGTGTTTATGCCCTCAGAGGTTAGGGCCAAATCCAACATTTTGTCCGAACTTTTCGCCTGCAGAAATATCAAAATCTGTCCGGATTCTTCCCCTAAGCTAGCCCTACCGACTGATTTGTCCGGATTTCTCCCCTAACCTTCCAAAATCCCGAAAATCGTAGAAAATCGTAAAAAAATCGCTAGCAATTGTTTTATACATATATACAAAAGTTTAATTAGCGAGCCCATCGAGTTCATCATCGGCATAGAGAGGTAGTATTTCGGGCATAGTAATACTAACAGGGCGAAGGATTGTAGTAAAATTCAAAAGGACAGTATTCTACAGTACTTATTCAAATTCAGCATCTTTTTTGTCATCATTCTTTGCCAGGAATATTGATTAAACTCAGTTGGGCGCTGATGGAAAATTTGCAATAGGACAAAGGAACAAGAAATGGCTTCGAACAAAGTAGGAACCTGTAGGAACAAAGTCTAACGGTTAATAATAGTCAGTAGTATAAGTGGACAATGGTTAGTTGGCACATGCCGGCTGTTGTGTCCGGACTATGGCCTAACCTTACTGTAGTTGTCGTCACTCGTCCGGATTGTTGATCTAACCTCTGGCCACCTAGCAGCCATTTTGCCCAGATTTGCCCTCAACCTCGAGTCCAAATACCACCGATTTTGTCCGGACTTTTGCCCTAACCTCGAGGGGTATAAACACGGGTCCTAGTTAACTGTTTCTTTATGCACCCTTTGTGCACCCTTCCGACTATTTTATATATCTTTCCGTTTCTTAGCACCCCACACTTCTCTCCTATTGCAGACCTTATATAATTAACCTTTACAGTCCCAGTGTTGGAAAACGGGGTATCGGTTCATTCCCAATGTCACATGCGCGGTAGCAAGCCAATAGTATTGCGCTTGGCTGAGCTCTGCAAACGCATGCTACTTTTATACTAAATGTACTTTTACTAGAACTTTCCACGCTTTTCCTCAGACTTCTTCCTTAATAAGCAGACTCGGCATGATGCCGGATTGCCAAATCCCAACACCCAGAAATCTCTATCGCTGCTGACTTTGACTGTATTACTTCTGGACATGAATCACACTAGGACTGCCCTCGAAGGGCGCAGCAAGTCCTCCATCGAGTCGCCTGAAATCCAACAACGGTACCTGGAGATCACTGCCGAAACGCGTGGTCATTTCATCTGTGGTCCTTCAGCAGAGGCATTTGTGAAGGAGCATATGCCTTGGAACGATACCACCCCAGAAAGCTTCAGACAAAAGGAGCCAGCCAAGTCCCAGCAGGATCGGCTGATTTCTATGGCAAATATTTCAGAGTGTGAGATGTACGAGAAATATGTATGTCCTTTTTATAAGTTAGTGTACTTTATTGGCTGACCACTTCCACGCGTAGACTACGGCTCTTGATAATTGGCCCTTACCCATGGATACAGCGAAACCAGAATACCTTTCGATGCGTCCCCAACTTGGGAATTTCCGTGACCCAGACGCAGACTGTGGTAATCTCGCAGTTGATATCGCTGTGTACGACGCTGACAATATGCCAGAGAGCCGGACCGCCGATCACTCGTTTATGGAGATGCAGACAGAATTGATGGTACATGATGATGACGATGCTTTCATTGACTTAGACGATGAAGAGGAGTTAGAGGATGAAGATCAGCAAATGGCAGGAACCGACAGTCCATTATCCCGTGGTACGGGTGACATCTCAGAGCCTATACAACCGCCAAAATCTGTGCCACCCAATTTTCCCTTCGAGAACGACACCCTCAAAGGGCGCGAGACACGCGGGCAGATCTCTTGCTACGCTGGCGCCACAATGATGTTCCAATACCGCTCTCACCTCTTTACGATCTTCATACACGGAAGATTTGCGCGTATCTTACGCTGGGATCGATCCAGTGCTATTGTTAGCAAGCGCTTCAATTACACCAAAGTTCCCGCCTAATTTTTCGACTTTTGCAAGCGTTTCGCTGGACCAGCCATCGTATAATCGGATTGGGCAAAGCGATTTGCAGAAAAGTCGGCAAACGCAACGACCCTTGGCTCGGTGGGCTCTTTGAAGACGTATTTCTTGATACGAGTAAAGTCGTCTGTTAAGGGTCGTCCATTATAGACAAAGGCGTGAGAAAGGAGACAGTATACCGGCCATGTGGAGTAGTCCTGGATGTACGAACTCCCTCGGGCTACGGGAAGAGTGAGCTTCGAACGGGCTGATATTGGCCAATTGTGCTTACTATCTCTTTGTGAAAGGGAGGTCAGTACGGGCCGACTCTAGATTGATATGTCATCACGAAATATACACGAGAAAGGATGTACATACTGTGCCAAGACCAGTCGACAAGCGCATCCAAGCAAAAAGAAGCGCATAGTAACTGCTACGTGGAAGGAAGAGACTTGGGTGGTATATATGAGGTAGAACGAGGGTCTGCCCGACCGAAACAGAGTAATATCGGGAGGAGCCATGGGATGTTTCGAACGTCGACGTGCTGGTGCCATGGATGAACAGTGCCATCCTAGTTGGTCACCCGGAGAAAGAAGCATGAGAGTTCCAAACGGAGTCTCATGACGGATTCGCGTGCTTGGCCGTCGTATGAAAGAGGTCCGCTTGAGAGAAGTAACACATGCACATGAATTCTTGTGAACTCAACGACCCACAGGATGGCTCTGGCCGTTGACTGTTACGTGGTCTTCAGGATAATGCTTGTCAATCCAATACCAGCTGAATGACTAAACGGACGCCGTCAATCTCGGGATATCAAAGAGATCACTAATACGCACCGAAATCTCCGTGAAGACTTTTCCCTAGAGACGGTAATATAAAGGCGAGAGATTACTCTTCTCTTTTCTCGACCACCATGACAGAACCGATTCACCTGGGAGTTATCGGTCTATCAACCAGAGGATGGGCATCTACTAATCTTGTACCTCCCCTTCTTGCCCGCCTCTCTCGTCGCGTTACAAGCTTCTTGCCGTATCCACCACAAACCCCACGTCTGCAGAGGCAAGTGCAGTGAAGTATTCCACGGCCGAAACCACTGTGAAGGGGTATCACGCTCCCGAGTCTATCGCTGCAGATCCCAACCTTGATTTGATCGCCGTGTCAGTGAACACACCTAATCATGTAGAGAATGCCACAAAGGCCATTGAGTCTGGGAAGGATCTCTTCATCGAGTGGCCGGCTGGGAGGGGATTGAAGGAGACGAAACTCCTCGCTGACCTAGCAAAGGAGAAGGGAATCCGGACGATCGTTGGACTTCAAGCCAGACAGAGCCCATTGTTTCGCACGGTAAAGAGACTAGTCGAGGCGGGGGAAATCGGGAATGTTTTGTCTACGAGCATGGTGCGTGAACTTTTGTAATCTCGCATAATGTCCTTCTCATTGATGGTAGACATCGCGAATATCCGGTCCGTATGCGCCGTGGGGACCGACAGTGTTTAAAGGACACGAATACGTGTTGAAGAAGGATAATGGTGCAACACTTCTTGATATCCCCGAGGCCATTTTTTCGAGGCATTCACGTGTATTCTTGGACCGATTGATACCGTATCCGCGACCGCAGTTGCTCAGCACGCCTTATGCCAAGTAGTCAATCTCGATGGCGCGCCCACCGGCGATGTTGTCCCTGCTGATGGTCCGTCGCAGGTAGCTGTATCGGGGACGCTAAAGAGCGGTGCGGTAATGAGCTTGCACTGGCGTGCAGGCTTCCAGACGCCTGCCGATGTGAAAGCTGCGACTCCGCTTGTATGGGTTATCGACGGGACGAAAGGAAGTATCAGGATTGAGAGTGACAATCCTTTGGGAGCTTATGTGGGGGTGTACGAACCGACGCAGCTTTGGGTGAATGGTGATGAGGTGAAAGTTGAGGATGATGGTAAGACGAATGAGGGTAGGGCCTGGGAAGAATACTTGAAGGGCGAAGGCGTGGGAGACTATGCCGACTTGCAGCATGCGGTTCAGATCAAGAGCGTCATCGACGCCATTTGGAGAAGTGCTGAGGGAGGCGTTAGGGTGAGTCTGTAAGTGTTGGAAGGACATACAGCGCACCGATGTACAATACATGCAGACGAAGTCAAGCTAGTCAAGTTCCGTGCTTTTTGTTCATCTATGCTGGCGATGGATACCGTTTAGGTACAGCTTTGGTACAAGGCAAGGATATACACACCTTAGAAACTGTCGTCTTCATTCTCAAGTTTTCTGGACGATTTTCTCACCAGTTTGGAGGGATATCGAATAGTTTCGATGTAGATATCACATACAGGAGCAGAACGCTTCCATGGTATTTCCAGAAAATCATGAAAAGGCCATGAACATCGAGGAGAGCAGGTCCTGGAAACTAACACATCGTAGCATATTATGGTGATGGAGATGAGGATAAAAAAGTCGGGTAAACGAATGCAAGAGATATATTTGGACAACGACAGTCAAGGAAGGAAGAAGAGATAGCGAGTCCCAAAAAGGCAGGTCAGGAACTCGGACTGGTGTACCGTACTCGCCCTCTTACCCTCATCCTCACTGAGAGTGAAAATCCAGTGGCGATATACATCCAAGTCAGTGAAATTACTAGCATGTCACTATCGAAATAGCTCGACACCAACAGCAACGACAACATATTCTGACATATCCAGCTTCGCAGTATTCTTGGACCAGGCTTAACCTCAGCAACTGGACTCTGGCGATACTCTGACCTGCGTAGTGGAGTCGCGAATCCCGTCTCTTTACAAGGAATTTATTCCGTGACCATTGGTTCAACTACACATCATAGAACATCATATGTTCGATGGTTAATTGAGTGGGCTGAGGTATATTGTATTAGAATTGGAAGATGAAGGCAATACCATCCGTGCAAGGTCCCTAGCATGTCAGTGATTATTCTATCTCATTCGTGCTATTTTTTTTTATCTGTGTTTAGTTCACTGTTATCTTGAAATATGCGTCTCCAGCTGCCGAAGGACCCAGATGACCTTCAGATTCTAACCGCACCTGATCCCACGAATTCCCTCACACGGTTCGTCAATTCCAGACAGAAATTCCTATGCACCACCTAGCAGGCGTTACCCCGCTCATAAGGGAACTCGCTTTCCTCGACAGGTTGAAGTAAACGTGCTTCATCTGCTCTCCGTAACCCGTTGGCTTTGTGATACCTTGCGCAAGCATGTCAGGACGAGGTATGGTTAATAAAGATATTGTTTTGAGATGAAGAAGTCCGAAGACTGAGACGCGTGCTCGTACTGTACAATTGGATACATCGAAGGCTTCGTTCTGCCTTACGGCGTTCTAAGGTCGCTCAGATGTTATCTGCGTATCATCGTTAGAACTAGATGGGTATCCTCCGCGGCTACCTCTCTGTCGCTGCAGAGTTACTCCTGAACCGTCGTTCTAGTATACCGGTCTATTCTTATTTGTGGACAGCTAGTGGCGCTTCGTTGAGCGAAAGATATATCTTTTCAATATTCTATGGACAATGTAGAAATGTTGTTTTAAGTAACAATAAAAAATTGGGATTAATGCGAAGGGTATGATTTAGATGAATAAAAAAACAATAAGGGAGATGAAACAGAGAATGTCCGTGTCGTACAAGGGAGGTTAGACAAAGGAGAAAGAGTTCAGGCTCTGCTTCGAGCTTTAAAACATCAAGTCGAATGCGGACGGCGATGGCGATGACGATTGCTCCGCTTGGAAGAACGGTGGTGTGGAGAGTTGCTCATACGGAAAGAAGGAGAAATCCTCCATCGACGAATCGAACGACAGGGCAGGTGATAACCGTTCATTTTTGGGGGATGTCGATGAGAAGGGAGAGTCAGGGGAAAAATGGGTCTCGGTGACATCAAAGTTCAACGGGCTCGAGCTTGTGGACATCGAGTTGTCCCACGAGAAGCTAGATATCAAGGATTGATCGAAATCAAAGCCGAAGGGGGGTGAAAGCCGCTCATCGGTAGCGGAGGATGTCGACGACACCGGCGAGCCGAAATCCGACCATGTAGGTGATGCAACAGAGAAGGTGGTGTCGAGGAAGAACGGATCCGTGAAGCCGCCGCCGTTCGTATTCATGAACAACGAATCGTGTGTAGCTGACGTCGAGGTGACCATTTCGGGAGAAGGCGAGTGGTTTGCATGCGAAGAGGAGATCGTGAAGGAACTCAAAATGCCATCTACGTCAGATTGCGATAATGTCGAAGATGGCACGAGGTCCTCAGAGGACCAAGATTCGACGTTCGATTGAGGGAATGTCATGGATGTGGTGACCTCTTCGAGTGGCATTCCAGCGTCGACAGCGGGGAGGAGCTGTTTGGGGGGAAGTGGCTGTTGCATGAATTCGGGAGGAGCGTTCAGCTTCTCGCACTTTTTTTTGTGACGATAGAGGCACGCAGGACTGGACGCAGCGTAAGTGCAGTCTGGGGCAGGGCATGTGAAGGGCTTCTCTCCGGTACTGAAGGAAGAAGAGAGTGAGAAGGCGAAAGGGAGTGGAAAATGAAGAGGGCTTACTGTTGCGCACGGATATGATCTTTCATGCCGCCTTTTTGCCAGGCGCGATAGGGACAGACAGGGCATCTCAACTTGAGGCTGAGGAATGCGAAGATAAGTAAAGGTATGTTGGAGAGAGAGAGAGAGGAGGCGTACTTTTCAGCGTTTGGGCGGTGGATCTTGGAGTGGCGGCTAAGGCCAGTCGCGTCGGCGTATTCTTTGAAGCAAACTTTGCATTGGACTCTCTTCTGCGTAAGGGGGGATTACATCAGCGTTGGGACAATTGGGCTGCCACTTGGGCCCGATATAGAAGGAAGAGGTACTCACGTTCGATTTATTTGAGGAGACGCGAGGCATCTTGGTCGAGGATGGGTAATGCAAGGACGGGACAAGGGACTAGTAGGCTGTGAAGGGGAAGGGAGGCAGCGAAGGATGAGGGAAAACATGCTGGGATGCCCCGCCTTATAACGGTTTTCGAGGGATGGTGAATTGGTTGTCGGGATATTGACTTTTATGGACAGACTTACTCGTTGGGCATATGTGGAGGACAATGGTTGACAGGATGTCGCTTTTATGGCTATTGGTCGTAGTCAATTGAGTACCAATTGGCAAGAATAGCCGTTTTGAGTAATTACGGGGCGGTGCTTTGACCACCCGGGTGGTAGGGAGTGGCACCCGAAGGGAGGTGGCGACGAGAGAACATAGCGCCCGATTGAAATAATTCCGAATTTGTTTTTGGAGGAAAATATCAAGTCGTCGAGATGAAGGAGTATATCTATTGATATATTTTGGTTCGAAGTAGTGCAGTAGGGCGACGATAATTGTCAGCAGAGATCGCGTCTGAAGAACAAAAGAAAGCTCTCGGCCCGGACAAAAGGTTCTTAGCTCTCTGTTCCTTGCAACTTGTTCGCTTCGATCATCAGGGGTTGAGAGATACAACCTCGAGAATGGCGAAGAAATAGCCGCAAAGAAGCCTGCAAGGTGCTGGATTCGTCATTTGGATGCTGAGAGACGAAGTGCAACCTTTCTTCCGTTTAGGAACATAAAATAGATGGAGAATGTGCAGAAAACTCCCTTTATATGGAGTCCAGATTCTATAGGCCTTATTCATGGAGAAAGCTGCCCAAGACTAACCGAGTTGAAGAAGTTTGAAAAAAAGTATGGCACAATGGCGCTGATGAGTCAGCGCGCCCTTTCGGATACAGCGGGCCGTCGGGATGTCACTGTGACAGTCACAATTCTTTTCTTAACCCACCACCACCATGGTAGGATACCTGATTGCGATTCCTTCTGCAACACAGAGTAATTTAAAGGGCAAGAGATGGTATGCTTCTGTCTATTTCGAGGCTAGCTTATGCCTATTTCCTATCCAGATGCATTGTTATTGCCCCTCCCGTAAGGACTGCGCTAGGAATGTGAAATCGAGGAGGCTCTATTGCTGCTACGCATTGGATCATTTTCTCTGATTTACATTGTATGCTTTGCCTATTCACTGAAAAATGTCTGTTTCTAATTCACGAGGTTTTACTCAGAAGATCTGGCACTACCCAAACAGTGCGAATTCCACCGAGCAAGAAGGGGACTCGAGTCATGGGACGACACTTATCGCTGATGAGCCTAAAACATCTTTTAACATTTCAAGCGGACGACAGGTGACGTGGTGGTACCTATGAGCTGGAACTGAGAGTCTGAGATGGTGGTTGGCTCTTGCCAATGAAGTCGACGGAGTGGAGGACGGCAAAGGTGCGTGAAATTGCATATTACTGAGTCTCGCCTTCTCACCGTGAATGTCAGGGTCCGGCGTGCTATGAATTTGTATTGAAGATTTGTGCAATTTCATTCAGATGCTCTATCACTTGGTATACTTCTCCCGAGCGCTTTGCTCGCCGAAATAGTCTATTCATATCATCATAAATTCGCAGGACATACAAGGCCTCAAGACCTCGTCGCGCAATCAACGACCTCTACTGAATCACTTGGCAAGGTCCGAAGGCATTGACAAGTTGGGACTAATCGAAGCGCCTCATTCTACGTGCTGTCAGGCTGAGCTACTGCAGGTTTGGCGATAGGTCTTTTCTGGAAAGAATTTTTCTGATGTGTAATAGTCGTATGCTAGCTACAGCGCTATTGGTACGGGTCGGTATCAAGTAGGGCCAGGCAGTGTTTTGGTAGACTGCAGCAAGGTTTCTAGTACCTGCATGTGGATGTCTGTAGGTCCATGTGGCTGCTCCATCCCGCTCGATGCACGATCGGACCTAGAGCTATTAATATCCAGGACGGTGCGCGTCATTTGTGTCATCATACGACGATCCCTTGATCTCTGTGCTATCAACGTCTAGTATGCAAACAGTTGCAAGCAACGATTCCGTTGGTATAAAGGCCAGTCGACGTTCTCGGCGGGATCTCTTTCCCCTTTCTCTGGTCCCACTATGACACCCTTTGGTTTCGACAGCGCTTCTCCTCCGCCCGCTACCTCGGTTGTGGTAATTAACAAAGAAGGCGGGGAAGCTGGAATCGTTGAAGACGACGATGACGACGTCATAGATACCATTGCAGAGAAGAGGTACGAGGCAGACTTTTCCCACCCAAGGCTCAAACTGAACCCTGTACCAGGTTACTGCGGCAGCTCGACTTGCGAATCCTTCCCTTCTTCGTCTTTATGTCTATCTTCGCCAGTTTGGCTTCAGAGAGTTTGGTGTGTCCCTCCCTAGACCTTGTTTATCGACTAATAAAGATATCTTCTCTTTAGGGAAATGTCATCATCCTCAACGCCGACAGCGGTGACTCTCTCCTTCAAGCGTTGCATATGACCCGGCACCAATTTCTCGTTGTGATTTCTACTTCGCTTGTCGCCCATGCACTCTGCAATTCCGTCGAATTATATGCTCAAATTATTCTCACCACCACATTGGCTTGCCTTTCTCTCGCTTGCGTTGGGAATGACCCTTATGATTATGGCCGCGTCCCAGAACTATATCATGGTGCTCATTCTGCGTTTTGTTCTGGGTGCGCTCGACATGGGTGCGTCACCAGTAGCTTTACAGAAACAAGCCACTCACGGAAGCGTACTAGGGTTTCTACCTGGCGTGGTCTACATCACCACAATGTATAGTCGTCCCTTTTATTCCATTCTTCCTATTCTCAATACTACATCGGCCTTTCTCCAGTTGGTATCGCCTCCAAGAGCGCTCCTTTCGTATATCGCTTTTAACAGCATCATCGCCTCTCGGAGCCGCATTCAGTGGATGTATTGCTTACGGAGTCGGGAGTTTGAATGGCGTTCGAGGCCTAGAAGGTTGGCGATGGCTATTCCTCCTCGTTGGCGTACCACCGTGCCTATTAGCAATCCTCATATACCTCATCTTGCCTGCTTACCCCGAGAATGCAACGTGGCTCTCCGATGACGGTCGTGCTCTTGCCATTCGTCGAATGAAGCTCGAGTCCTCCAAGTCTTTGACGAATGAGAAGATAACTTGGGAGGGCGCCAAGTCAACGTTGAAAGATTGGAGGCTTTATTTGCACTATTTGTTGGGCATCTCTTGCTTTATACCCGTCGCGAGCATATGGACTTTTACGCCGACGATTGTTAGCGGACTGGGATACCAGGGGCGAGATGCACAGTTATTTGCTGTTCCACCTTTTGCGGCGGCGCTCGTCGCTACGGTGGGACTTTCCGCCGCGGCGGACAAGTACAGAGCGTGGTCATTGTGTACACTCGTGTCATCCGTTTTATCAGGGACGATGTTCATTGTTCAAGGTACGTCCACATTAAATACGTATGTATGCGTCTCTGAATGAAGCTGAGTGACGCAATTTAGGTGCGCTACCGCCAGCAGCTTTTAAAGCGCGCTATGTATCACTCTGCTTTGCATCTATGTTTACCTTCATGCCTTATCCGTCGACGATGGCTTGGCTTACTGGCAATCTAAGGAACACTAATGCAATGACTTTGGCTATTCCGTTGAATATGGTATTTTCACTAGCAGGATCGCTCACGGGTAGATTTCTCCCTTATCCTCTCTAATTCGTCGACTCATCCTCTCCAGGGTTTCGTATATACTTTCCGAGAGAAGCACCAGGGTATCCAACTGGGCATTATACCAACGGAGCAGTGTTGTTGGCGGGCGCAGTATGTGTTCAGCTGCTGAGATTGATTTATCAAAGGAGGAATAGGTATCTGGATATTGGACAGAAACCCTGGATCGTTTGATACGGTTGGGTTTTTACGTCTCTCTTTTTCGTTTATCAGATTCTCAACCTGTAATATCAATACCAATGGTTTTCCAAATGTCGGTCTGTAGATTAGGTGTACAACTCGATTTTCTTTGCAGCTCAGAGAAGCTTCACTCTTCGGTTACTCCTTAGTCTTTTCGGAGGATCAAGCGTCGCGTAGATATAATTTTCCCAAAGCTCCTACCTTAGCAAGTCATTCGAACATTAAGTTTAGGACAGCGCAAGGGTAAACTGGAAAACGGTGTAGTGATGCTTGACGGGATATCCGGGCCGGTGTAGGTAAACAAGTAACAACTCTGTCCCTAACCAACACCGTCCAAAATTATTACTCGCGATATTTCTCAACTCCCTCTCTCGGCGTCACGAAGAAGTATTTAGCAGCGGATAAATGGTAAATTTCATCTCCTCTTACATGTGCTAGTTGCTCATGCGGCTTTCTTTACCCAGATGTTGCGCGAGGTTTGAAAAATGTGCAGTGGCGGGGCACTATCCCTCTTTTTTTTTTACCTTCTCGATTCGTGCGTCTTCTCACCTGCGACGAATATCTCGCTTTCTGACGTGACATCGATAGGCGCGATTTTCTGAGGCAACGCAAACCCCGAGGCGACGAAGGATGTGGGGCGGGACGCTCGAACAAGCAGGGGGCCGTCGAATCGCACTAGCGAAAACCGACATGGATATCAGGACCGAATTGAAAACCCCCTAGTTAGCCGCTCCCTAGGCACGCCTAGCAACTTCTGAGGGACGGGAACGTGGAAGTCCATGCTCCAAAATCTTCTGGTCGATGAAGCTCCTGGGTGTCCTACAGAGGGTGGCATCTCAAATCCTAGCGTATGGTTTGACGGGTTCGATCATCAGACAGAACGTACGTCATTTCCTCCTCGCAAGTACCTCATCGCTCATGTATAGCTTCTAAAAGGACTGTAAACATTTCCCTGCGAGATAATAGATGCTCGCCATACTCGACAATGAAGGGCCAGACTTCCGTCGCAGGGGATACGCAGTGGCTACCATCGACCGAATCCGCAGCAGAGCTTTGATTTTTTTTACACTCTGAAGTCATCACTTCTCCGTGGCCGTCTGAAGATAGCGTTCATGGTTCACTGCAGATTGTCTTTCCCGCTTTCCCTACCGCCTCCCAGGTCGTCACGAACTGCAGGCAAATCCCAATGTTGTTGACCACATATTCTGGAACCGCGGTGATTCCAAAGTTGAAGCCCGAGCTCGTTGGTTGAGAAAGATTGTTGGCGCGCAGAAACCTTGTTGCTATAGAGAACAGAACCTGTTGCGAGGATCATTACGAGCAAGCTTTGGGTTCACGCACCTTCGGCGACGGCGTGTTGAATTTCTGTTGTTCACAGTGTGATTCCTGCCCCGCAAAGCTTGAGGTACTTCCTTTCTTCAGTGTACAGTCCGTGACTAATCATTTCTCCAGTTTTGCTGAAAACATGTCCTCACGGAGAGGTAATGTGCAGGGAAAAGATGGTTATCGCACTGCTTCGGTGTTCCATTCTTCGCATGTTCGGCTCTCGATCGTTGCCGTTCGGCGGAACCGAAGACTAGTGGGCCCTACGCAGAGAATCTACCCAAAATTCCGAAATGAAGACATGTTTGACATCTGTTACGCGCAGACATTTGGTACGTCCATGAACCCGTCTATTCATTTAGTAGCTGACCGGCTTTTAATCACTAGTATAGGACGCCTCTTGATCCGTTACAGCCACCACCTAGATTTTCCCACGGTCCGCTAGCACCGCTCGAAGGGAACCAGGAGGGCGTACGAGGATAGACACGCGTATATACTGCTTGTATTCTCTTACCTACGAGCAAGATAACATACAAAACAATGTCCAAAACTCCGGAACCACCAGACGAGCTCGGCGATACGAGCTTCAATACGGTGCCATCATCAAAAACGATGGAAGCAAAACAGATGCACATGAAGAAGTTAGAATCAGCGGCAGATGGCATAGTGAAAGACTACGGCAGAGCGGTGGAGATAGAAGGTACTGCTGTGAGTGCTGTGTTCGATGTCGTGGCCGTGCTACGACACATGTGCAAAAACGAGATGAAACCGACGAAGACCTTAACGGTGAAACAACATCGCACCGTAGCCAATGCAGTCGATATCCTAGAAGCATGGATGGACCTTGGGGAGTATAAGGCAGCCCAAGACGCGATGGCGCTTGCGAGTCTGATGAACGACAACTTTAAATCTTTGCAGGAGACATCGAATACACTCAAAACAACAGCAGAAATCCAGAACATCAATGACGAAGCAGTCAACGAGCAGCTCCAGGAACTAAAGCAAAACGTCTCATCCCTCCAATCCGTCGTAGAAGACCTCCGCAATGTCAAACCCCATCCGATACCCTTCCCTTCCCCAACCCAATCCCAACCTCAATCCACGCCCCTCTCTTATGCCAACATCGCTGCTAAACCCAACCCATTCACTGACCCACGCCACTCTGATGCTGTTGCAAAGGCAAAGCTGGCAAACCGACGCGTCATCGTTAAACCTACGACGGACGAAGCAAAAGCGGCAATGGACAAGTGCAGCGAAAAAGAGCTGGTGAAAGAAATCAATGACGCACTATCCATGGCCACGACAACTATCAACGGAACACTCCACATAGTACCAGATGGCATCTCCATCGTCGGAGCACGCAAACTCGCCAATGGGGGTGTAATTTACACCCTCAACTCAGACGAGGCGGCAGCCTGGCTGCGAGAACCTGCAGCCTTAGAAAACATGGCAAAAGCAGCGGGCGAAGGAACTAACATCAGCCTGCAGCTGAACAGCGTAATTGTCCCATTTGCGCCCACGACAATCGACATCGAGAATGAGGACACATGGCGCAACATCGAGACCAGCAGCGAACTCGATACAGGGACAATACGCAGCATACGATTCCTCAAACCGGCAGAACACCACCAACAAGGCCAACGAGAGGCGCACCTGGTAGTAGGCTTTGACTCACGGGAACAAGCAAATAAAGCGATACGAGAAGGTATAATCATTGAGGGTAAAGAGCTCCAGGCAAAGAAGGAGTTGCCGGATGCATCCAGGTGCGTCAAATGTTCAATATTACCTCGTGACCACGATGCAAAGACATGCCCAAATACTACGAAATGTGGACGATGTGCAGGTGGTCATGCGACGAGAGACTGTACAGTCACGGATCGCAAAAAATTCCATTGCGTGAACTGTAAAGTCACAGGCCATGGAGCCGTTGACCGTAACTCTTGTCCCTCCTTTCTTAGAGCTACAGATGTTATACGCAGCCGCCATCCCGAGTCAAAATATAAATATTTCGTTACTGAGGACCCTGCTACGTGGATTACCAATGATGTACAAAAACGAGACGAAAATGCGCGCCCCCATAAGGGAGCAGACAAAAACAGTGCAGAACGAGTAAACTCCCAAGGTGGAGTCATGGCTACGTCCTCGGGTAGTATTATGATTTCGGCTCACCCAACTCGAAGCCGGAAAGATGGTGGCAGTACAAAACAGACCAAGACGAAGAAACCAAATCCCAACCTAACGCCATTGGTCGGACCCAGCAAATACCAGCAACCATCGCTCAATCAATTTCTGGCAATGAGCCAGCGATCAGCAAGTGCAGCATCTGTACACAGAACATCATGGGCAGAGGATGGTGAAATACCCGAAGGGAATGTCAGCGGAGGAACAAGAGTTGAACAAGTATCACCAACATCGCCCGTTGACCCATGATTAACACACCCGATACTAACACTACAGGCAACTCAGCAAGGCTAAAACTATACCAACTCAACGTCAACAAATCACTACTCGCCCACTTGTGCCTCCTACACCAAATCGAGAAAGACGACGACATCATCATGATACAGGAGCCCTACATCAGCAAGCAAGGTAAATCAAGGGCAACACAGGGATGGATGGTAGTATACCCATCCGACCACGAAAAGGACCCCTCTCATACGAGAGCTTTGACTCTAATCAACCGTTCCATTTCCACTAACGCATGGTCTAGCATTCCCATAGCAACCCAAGATGCCGTCGCCATCATTCTGCGGACCCCGACAGAGTCACTCATCATTGTGAACATATACAGTGATAGCGACTCTATGGAAGCATGGGAGCTCATCGACTCCTTGCTGAAGGAATTCACAACACGGAGACAAGATGAAAGAGGGTTACCCTACCGCTTCATATGTGGCGGAGACTGGAACGCACACCACCCACTATGGGATGAGCCACGCAACTCACATTTATTCACAGATGCAGCCCTAAAACGGGCAGGCCACCTTCTACAGCTCATTGGCCATCACCATCTAAAGATGCCACTCCCAGCCTTCATTCCAACACTCCGTGCCTTCTCTACAGGCAATTATACACGAGTAGACAACATCTTCTGCTCCGATGAACTACTACCTGCATTCATCAAATGTATCGTAGATCATGCGGCACAACCACCACGGACCGATCACTTCCCCATCAGATCCACTATCGACATATCCCCCCCACGCAGCAGCTTCGAACCCCGCAGAAACTTTCGCAAAGTTGAATGGCAGAAGTTTTATAACACCCTCGAAGAAAGACTCAACCTACTCCCTGCTCCATGCGAAATTGAAGATAAAGAACAAATGTACAAGACGCTAGGAGATCTCAATGACATCGTACAAAAAGTCATTGACGAGTATGTCCCATGGACCAAACCAAGTCCGTATGTCAAACGCTGGTGGACATCTGAATTGACAGTCCTACGCAAGCATCTGCGCAAGGTACAGAAAAAAGCATACGGATTTAGGATGTTCCCAGACCACCCGATCCACGAGGAGCGGAGGCAATTGCGCAACATATACGCCGAAGCCATGGACAAAGCAAAGACAACATGCTGGATGGAATGGCTGGAAAATGCAGGAAGCAGTAACATTTGGGAAATATGCAGCTTCATATCACAGCCAACATCAGACGGAGGGCGAGGAAGAGTCCCAGACCTTGTAATCAGAGCCTCTGGACAGCCCACTCGGAGAATACAAGAAAACGAAGAAAAAGGTAATGTATTTCGGTCTGCCTTTTTCCCTCCCAAACCAGCTGTAACAGCGGTACCGGAGAACACCCAATACCCATCACCAGCATGGGAATTCCATCTGATTACAGATGAACAGATCGAGCGGGCATTCAGAAGGATGAAACCCCTCAAGGCTACTAAGCCGGGCACAGTACCAAACTGTGTACTGTCACGTTGCGCTGACCTTCTAGCCCCACATATAGGACCAGTATATCGGGCAACATTCACTCTGGAAGAGTACCCCAAAACACTCAGCGCAACAAACACGATCATTCTGCGGAAACCAGGGAAGTCAGACTACGAGGACCCTAACGCCTATCGACCCATCATCTTATCTGATGGATGGGGCAGAGGCCTACACGCGACCCTAAACCAAGACCTTGTCTCCTGGTGCGAGTTCAAGGGACTGCTCCCAGACAGACATTTCGGTGGATGCCCAGGGCGATGTACAACAGATTCCATTCACCTGCTAGTCTCAACCATCAAAGATGCATGGCACAAAGGAGAGGTTGTAACGGTCCTATTCCTTGATGTTAAAGGAGCATTCCCAAGCGTAGATGTTGACATGCTTGTGCATGAAATGCTGATGCTAGGAATACCCGCTCCATACACGGAATGGCTACAAAGGAGACTCGGAGGGCGCAAAACTGTCCTCACCTTTGATGACTTCAAATCTACCATCTTTGACATAGCTAATGGGCTAGATCAAGGCGACCCCCTCTCGCAGATCCTTTATGTCATCTACAACTCAAGCGTAATAAAGCGGCTCAGGAAGAACGAAGAAGGATACCTATTCATCGATGACAAAGCCATCCTAGTATGAGGGAAGACCTTCATAGAGACACATCAGAAAGTCAAGGACATAATGGAACGGGAGACCGGCATCCTCGAATGGGCGAGGGAGCACAACTGCGAATATGGAATAGCAAAGTTCCAACTCATTGATTTTACGCCAAAAACACGAGAAGCAACCTCCCAATCAGGAAGTGGCATCAAACGTCGAGAACCAGACATGGGATCGCCAATCCAGATTGGCCAGCACCTCATACAGCCAAAACCAGTTGCAAAGTTCCTCGGAGTATACATTGATGCGGGACTGCGATGGAAGGAACAGGGAGCAGCGGCCATAAAGAAGGCTGATGACTGGATAACGCAATTCCGACGCCTCGCACGTATGAGCTCAGGAGTCACCAGAGAAAGTATGCGGTTAACCTATATTTCTTTTGCGATACCACGAATTCTATATGCTGCTGATGTATTCTTAAACCCACAGAGAAGAATGAAGAAGAAGAGAAAAGACGGGAAAAGCAGCATCCGCACAGTGAACTGTCTGTCTTCTGTCCAGAGAAAGGCAGCTATTCTCATAACAGGAGGAATGCGGACAACGGCGGCAGATGTCCTAGACATACATGCCAACCTGCTTCCCATGCAAGGACAGGTGGAAGTATATCATCACCGAGCACTCACACGCATGGCATGCCTACCCCCTGGACACCCACTCCACAGACCCATACGCCGAGCAGCAAACAGATATGTCAAAAGACACCGGTCCCCATTACACGAACTGACAAGGGATTTCAACATCCAACCAGACAAAATGGAGACGATCAAGGCAGTGCGATTCCCGCCCTACTGGAAATCAAGGGTTAAGACTGAGATAGCGGAATCAATGGAGGAGGCAATGGCAATGGAGAGGAGGGACAACAGCGACGTAAAGGCATACGGAGACGGATCAGGTATAGATGGCGGTATAGGAGCTGCAGCGGTGATATTTCGAGGTGGGAGGAAGATGAAGACATTAAGGCTGAGGGTGGGCTCAGCAAAGGAGCACGAGGTATATGAAGGCGAAGGTCTAGCACTAACCTTATGCACAGAACCACTCCGAAGCATGACGAACGTGGGAAGTGCAACGTTCAGCATCGACAACACATCCGCTATTCGGGCAACAACTCTCTCACAACCAGCACCATCCCATCACATCTTTGATCTGTTCCACAAACGCATCGACATGGTACTAAGGCAGCATCCCAACATCTCTATCAAGATTCGATGGGTACCCGGACATCAAGGCATTGCAGGGAACGAAGCGGCAGATGAAGAAGCGAAAGCGGCAGCCCGAGGCGATGGTAGTGAGCTGCAGAAACTTCCTGCGCCACTACGGAAACCAATCCCCTACAACAAATCATCGTTACTCCGAGAGTTCTACGCAAAGCAAAAACGTCACACTGACCAGGCTTGGAGGAAATCACCCCGCTACTCCAGGTTCCGACATATTGACTCAGCAACTGCTCAGCGAGCTGCACACCGGTATAGGAAGCTGGCCACTTCCATGCCGCGAAAAATTACCAGCATAATGGTGCAGTTACGTACCGGACACATTGGGCTCAACCGCCACCTCTTCAACATCCACCGAGTCGAATCCCCTGCATGCCCGAAATGCTCATACCCAAATGAATCTGTCCATCATTATCTCATCCGATGCCCAGCATACCGGAATGAACGAGAGACGCTACAGAGATCTATAGGCACCCGAGGAACAGCAATGACAGTCAAGCACATCTTAGCACGCCGAGAAAACATTCCCCACCTGATTCAGTACCTCAACGACACACATCGCTTTGAGTCCACATTCGGAACCTTCCCAGATGTTGATGTAGAAGACGAAGACACAGCAGACTAAAGCGGCCAAGGAAGTGGAACCATCGGGAGCATGACGAGAAGAGAAGGCGATAGAACCACCACCTTATCACCCCATAGCTGAGGCAAATGGGAAGGCGGTCGCGAAGCAATTCGCACTGAGCTCAGAGAAGCTCGTTTGTTAAGACGCTTAGATACGCAGAACCAGGAAAAGGGCGAGACATAGACAAGTAGCATAATCCCACCATACGCTAGCGTGTAGGATCACGATACATATCGTACTAATCGGATTCAAAAAAAAAAAAAAAAAAAAAAAATCACTAGTATCTAGTTTTCCGGGTTTTTTGTATCCTGCATATCATACGAATCCCCTCGTTTCCCAGGACCCTCAGACCAAACAACAATGAACGAAAAATGGATGTAGAATCGTGGATAACCAGGTCACTAGATCTGAGAACAACAAAGACGAGGTTAAGCTATGATACTCTAAGGATACCAATCGCTTCGTCGATGTCCACCACCATTCTGACCTGGTGGACCACCGTGACCGCCCTGTGGTCCACCCCCATTCTGTTGCCCAGGTCCACCATGCCCATTCTGTGGGTGACCGCCGTCCTGTGGTCCTCCCTGGCTGTTTGGCGGATTTCCCTGAGGCTGATGATCACCATCGGGTGGTCCATTGGATCCTTGGCGACCGGGACCTCCGTTACCTCCAGGAGGACCGTTCTGACCGTTAGGTCTTGGCGGTGGATTGCTTCGGCCATTAAAGCGACCTCCCTGATCCCCAGGAGGACCGTTCTGTGCATTAGGGGGTCCTGGTTGTCCGTTCTGAGGACCCTGTCCGGGTTGTTGACCTTGTTGACCGTTATGGTCGCCCTGACCTGCGTTCATCCCCGGAGGACCGCTTGGAGGACCATTCTGGCTAGGTTGCTGGCTGCCATGATTTTCACCTGGTGGTCCTTGTCCCGGACCGCCACCGGGAGGACCACCATTCCCGCTGAATCCCTGTCCGCCGTCGCCTGATGGATGGTTGTTCCCGCCTCCATGAACGTCTCCTTGACGAGTGCCTAGCGACGTCTATAGCAACATGAACTCAGGGGAAACTTTGATCAGAATGTCTACTTACTGCTGGGAGGGCATACGCGGAAAGTGCCATGGCGAGGATGACGTGAACAGCAGAAATGCGCATGGTAGATGAGGATGGGTTGTTGGGAGTAGGTTGAATGTATGAGGAGAGAGTTGGATCTGTAGTTGGGCCGGCCAATACAGAGATGAAGCACCAGGTTTGATGAAGAATAAAGAGGTTCTCTGGTTTGTTTTTATACCTGGCTGGGGTGCGCCAGTGTTGAGTTGACGCGTCATGGGTTCAGGTGACCCGTGCGTGTTACGGAACCGGCAGGGATCAGAGACAACTGTCCGCAGTATGTCGTTGCCTTAGAGAGGGGCCTAACTGCGAAATACGAGTAGCAATGCTACCAGACTTTATCATGACATCGACGGCTACACTCTCCCGAGTTTTGCTTACCGTCTTCCATGTTGTAGGGCAGTGTCCTGAGCTACAATATCAGTCAGTTCGATGAATGCTTGGATCCTGGCATCTGAACGCAATGAGCACCATGTTTGACTGGAACTGCGACACACCACAGTGGTATAACGTCTTCTGGTTTTTTTTTAGATGCCATTATAAACATCTACGGGTGCAGAGGAGTACCACTGATAAGTAATCTGTGCATCACTGCGGAAGTCTGTGCGTCTCTAGTAGCAAGCGTGTTCAAGAATACTGCACCAGGATACAGGGATACGTTGTCTGCCCTTGCTGTAATGACCGTCTCTCATTGACGTACTATGACTTACTCTCTGCTAGAATAGTTGCATTCTTTGCACGGACCAGAAGCGAATTTTCACATCTGATAAGCTCATTCTGTTATGGATATTGGGTATCCACTGATTCGGTGCATGAGTCAACACATGCCCGAACTCGGCCTTCTCGGTCCTAGTAGTGACTCGCTCGTACTTTCTCTTACTTTCTCTATTCTTCGTATTGATACTAGAATATTATGGAACATTATAGAATAATAATGACTCTAATATTTCCTTAGTATATAAACTCGTAGGTAACATTGTACAGTTATTTACCGGTCATTGCAACACCATGGTTCAATGAAACACTTAGCCTCTTGCTCTCCCTCCCTTCATCCTTCATCATCAACTTGTATTACATTGCTGATGTGTATTGTATCTTCATGTTCTGCAGTGATTCTTCATATGTGACATGAATAATATTCCCGAGAAATTGAGGCTTCTGTTCTAAAAATATCTATTTTCTCATGAACTCAAAATCTGACCTGGAAATGTGTGTCCTCCATCTGAATGTAATCACCCACAAAGGCCTCAATAATGTTAATGACCTTCTGAAGAACCTGTGTGACAGGTTTGAGACCAAGCGGCCATTATCTGAGGAGTCTAGGGCATAAATAAAAGTGCGGTTCTGCCAAGCCATCACCTTTGATGGACAGTCTGACAGTCCAATGCGTCCATTATTGCCCTGCTGCCTCCGAACTTTATTTCTCCTCTTGTTCAATTTTTTACTATGCCTGGACATGCCAAATCAAACTCGAAAAAGTGTCAGATTGCTCACAAATGCCATGACCAGCTAATGGAAAAGGCAGTCATTGCAAATGATTGCATACAAGAATGAGCTTGTCAAACTACCTGGTGCTCCTCGGAAAGGTGCAAGAAAAATCTGCAAAGATTTTGAGGCTGTATATCAGAGAGAGACTGGAAAGGAGATCTCACTTTTCTATAGCACTCGAGCGATTCCGAGTAGCTGACTAATGAGGTTTGGGTATATGGGCCGGACTGTTTCAATGACTCAAAATAGCCTAGAATACCCACGCCACGATAATGCTGTGAAAACGGACTTGTACTCGCACCTTTGAGCATCTTTTTTTTACTGTATCTTATTGTTGTATAGTATTACACATTCTTACATTCAAACCTAGTCAAAATTCCCAACCAATTGGAACCTACAGTAAATATCCAGTTTTGCTGTTTCATTGACCGGTAAATAACTGTATTGAAAAGCTTTTACCAATCTACTACTTTAAGGACACCTTCACTGCGTGAACCCTCAGTTATGCCTAGCGCTTGCTGAACAACTCGTTGGATATGCCTAGCGCTTTCTGACACCAACCCGAAGGTTACGCTTAGCGCTTGCCTTCACCCTCGGCCCGTAATAGCTTCGCGCTTACAGGCTTTCTATATCGGTAATTGCTCCGTGCTTACCGGCCACTTCCCTCAGTAATTGCTTCGCGCTTACTGATTTCCTTTATTTCGCAAACCGGACCTCTCAGGTCTCCTCACGAACCCTCGCTGGAATCCATTATATTCCCTAACGACGTACATCATTCCTAATTACTCTTACCTCACTTCGATCACCACTCCTCGCCTCGTGCTCGCATCTCCGGATTTCGGCAGATCCATAACACATTCGTCGTACGACTGAGGAAGTCTGTGTATCAACATTTCGCGTGATTGTTACACGGCCACACCCACATGTTGGAATCCGATGATGGTTGTTGCTGGTCCCCCGCCGGTAATGGTTTACTTTCTTGCAAAGCTCGCTTTTCTGAAGTAAATGCCACACCTAGGGTTGGAACTCTCCTGAAATACGGGGATGGACTATAAACTGCAGCGGAAAAACTCTGCGTATAATTAGTTCGACGACGATATGAAGGTCTTGGTTGGTCTATTCCTTGTACTGAGTCTCTTAATACACCATTCTAGGTTGCCGATATTGAATAATTCATCGAAATCGCTGGGTTTCATCGACGGTCCTACTTGTAGGAAGTCTATGACGGCTCCAGGAACATGAATGTCAGCCTTCCGTTTTCTTATCAATGAGCGGGGACCTTAGGAGTGATTTTTCTTTATTGCAGTGAGGCAGGTGCATTAATTGCTTGCCATAACACCTCTTGACTCGCGACGCACCATTACACTGTCATATTTGTTCAACGCATACACCAAGAGTTCGACGAAGAGACTTAACAACAACAAAATCGATGAAGGTCCACGTGTAACAAGGATGTCTACATATCGTCGAACCATATCGTGCAGTACGTGTCCATTTTAATGAAGGATCGCAATCGACTAAACTTGAATGTAGAAAACCTGAAAACGGCATGAACTCGGGTCTAAAAAAATTGGACCGTGTGAACAAGGCAGCTTTGTCACACTGTAGCTTCGCGAGTTGATGGCAGGTTATGACGAGGTGCGTCATTTGCGTCATCATACGACGATCCCTTGATCCCCGGACTGTCAACGTCCAGGACCCAAACAGCTGCAAGCAACATTTCGAAGGGTATAAAGACCAGTCAATGTTCGCGACGGAATCACCCTTACCCTTTCTCTGCTCCCACTATGACGCCCTTTGCTATTCCTCCCGGTAGCGCGTCTCATCTGTCCGCTACACCAACCGTGGCTGCTGACAAGGAAGGTGGTGAAGCTGGGGTTGTCAGCGGCGACGACGTTATAGACGTAGCTGCAGAGAAGAGGTACGGCGCATAGATTTTCCCTCTAATGTTCATTCTGAACCGTGTCGTTGCAGGTTGCTCAGGCACCTCGACCTTCGGATCATTCCCATTTTCTTTCTGATACTCCTTCTCTCCAGTGTCTCAGCAAATGATCTAGTGCGTATCTACCCCCTTAGATTTTAATCATGGCTAAGAGAGCCGTTTCATACTAGGGAAATGCTATAACCCTCAATACCGACACCGGCGACTCCCTCCTGCAGGTATTGCATATGACCACGCACACGTTTTATGCCGTTGCCGCTGCTCCGTTCCTCACAGTTACGCTCTTCCAAGTTCCGTCGAATTACATGCTCAAATACTTCTCACCGCCATATTGGCTCGCATTTCTTACTCTGGGGTGGGGAGCGACCCTCATGGTTATGGCCGCTTCACAGAATTACATCACTGTACTCCTTCTACGTCTCCTAATAGGTGCGTTCATCGCAGGTATGTTTCTTATCACTGTCGGAGTAATCAACTCACAGACCTGAAGGCCTCGCACCTGGCATAATCTACTTCTCCACATTGTACGGTTGTACTATCTCCTCCTTCCTGCTTCTGAATTCTTTCTTACCCTAGCTGGTATCGCCTTCAAGAACGTTCCGTTCGTATGTCATTGATTATGGCATCTACACCTCTTGGAGCCGCTTTCGGTGGAAGCGTTGCCTACGGAGTCGGCAGTCTGAATGGTGTTCGAGGTTTGGAAGGTTGGTGATGGCTATTCCTTATTGAAGGGGCGCCAGCATGCTTACTCGCAATCTTCGTGTTCCTCTTCTTACCTGCTTATCCTGAGAATGCAACATGGCTCTCCGACGACGATCACGCTCTCGCCATCCGCCGCATGAAACACGAGTCCTCCAAGTCTGTCGGGCATGCGAAGATAACTTGGGATGGTGCCAAGTCGACGTTGAAAGATGGGCGACTGTATTTGCACTATTTGTTTGCTGTGGTTTCCTTCGTCCTGTCGGCCGCCATAGGACTCTTCACACCGACAATTGTCAGTGGACTAGGATACCAAGGAAGGAATGCACAGCTATTTGTCATCCCGCTCTTTGCTGCCACGTCTGTAGGTACCGTAGGGTTGTCAGCGGTGGCAGACAAGTATCGAGCGTGGTCAATGTGTGTACTACTCTCACAAATTTTAGCAGGGGTGACGTTCATTGCTCAAGGTACACCTATGCTTCTTCTATCTTTGAATCAAGTTAACCGGGGGATATTTTAGGAATCCTATCGCCAACAGCCTTTAAAGCGCGTTACACGCTGCTCTGTTTCGGATCGATGTTTGCCTTCATGCATTCGGGGGCTGCGACGGCTTGGTTTACCGGCAACCTAAGGGATACAAATGCAACGACCCTGGCCATCGCCATTTCTACAACAGTTACCTTGGCGGGACAGGTCATTGGTATGTCGTTCGTCGATTCTGTTCACACACCTGCTCATCCTTGTTAGGAGTGTTTATATACAAGTCAAGTGACGCGCCAGGATATTGAATCGGTCATTACACAAATGCGGCCATCATGTTTTTCTGCGCAGCCTGTACTCAGCTGTTACGGACGATTTACAAGCGGAGGAATAAGAAACTGCAAACGGGACAGAATCCGTGGATAGTATAACATTTCTGTGTTTCCGTAGGTTCTGATATCGTATAATTCAAGTCTCAGTATCCCGTTGTCATCCAGACCCCTTCCCACTCTCCTTCGTGGGGGGTAAAAGCTGCTTCGCAGCTGGGGATAATTGAACGCTTACATATTATCTTATCTTATCTCTCACGTGATGTTTTGATCTTTCTATTGGGTTTAAAGAAAGGTTATTTACACTAGTCTAATTGGCGTCTGAGTCGGCCGCTCCCTCAGCGCGTAACTGTCCATATCCATCATATGTGGTCTCAGCCTCCCCATGGGAGCCCCCTCATCCATCTCACCAGTGAGTACGTGGCACAATACAGACACAGCAGAATCTAATGGGCTTCTAGTTTCCTCGCCATGTCTCTCATTTCTTCCGAGCTATATCTACCTGGCGGTCTCAGTGGGAATGCTTATCACTCTCTCTGAATCACCAGGTATGTCTCTTTCTTCTCGTAGTGGTTTCCCTTCAGCTTACAGGTCGCTCTCATTGAATTGACAGAGCTTTCGTGTTTTTTAGCATATTGAATAAACTCTTATTCCATCGTCTAAAGACTCAATTTATTCTGAAATCCCTGCTATGTCCTCTGGCAGTAATGTCTCATCCCAAACATCTGGTAACGTACTGCCCTCTGGAGGATCGACTCAGCGAACATCCATGACCGCTGGAGCCCGACACACACCCAGTCGGGAAGGCTCACCTGCTAGACCGGATGCTCCCCAGGCGCAGGTCACCATTCAGTGCGATGCTATCATCGAGACTTTCCGCACCAGTACCAACACTTCTAAGCCAGATGTCCTCGCCCAAATCCTCTGTGTCTTAGACTGACCGGGGTTCGGTTCGGTGCAGGTTCGGGCACTTTTGCCTGAACCTCAAACCTGAACCTCAGGTGCAGGTTCGGTTCAGTGCGATCATGTGACCAAACCTGCAGGTTCAGGTGCGGTTCAAGGTGCACCGGGTTTGCACCTCCCGATGCAGCAGCAGACAGAAAGTCGAGGCTGGATGCTGTACAGCAGGGCGGGATAGTTCTAGCAATGTCTATTATACTGTATATTTATTCAACTTATAGTATATCACCCAATAAATGTCATTTAAGGCCAGATATGAGTGAACTCATCAATGAGTATGACATCACCAACGCTAACCATGACTCAATTCCATCGCAAACATGGCCAAAGGAGGTGCAAAGTAGAAAAGATGCACCAGAAATAGACCTAAATGATAAATAGTACAGAAAGGCATCTCAAAGATATGTATAAAAGTCCTAATAAGAGCAGTTAAAAATGTATAGTGGTTCGGGGTTCAGGTTTGGGTGCACCCATCTGGCCTTGTTCGAACCTCGAACCTGCACCCACATAGCTACAGTGAACCTGAACCTGCACCGCACCTGAACCTGAAGGTGCGGTTCGGGTTCGAACCGGGTTCACGAGGTTCTGCACTGAACCGCAGTCAGACTACCGTGTCTTGTCTGAGTTCTTCAATGCCCGACCAGGACATGATGACAACTTCAATAACGCCCTCCGCATCTATGTTGAGATGCTCGACAACTGTGAGAATGAACAACGAGAGCTCATCCATGAAGGTGAAGGCCAAGTCCGAGCCAGAGCTCGCAATCAAGAGGAAGAGGGACAACTGGGATGACCACAGGCCACTGACTTCCATGAAGAAGAGAATGACGAAGAAGCCGGAGATGGAGGAGGATCCGATCCTGGAGCAAACTCTGATGAGGAAGATCATGATGAGGAAGGAAGGAGACCAGCAAAACGGCCTCAGATCAATGAGTCCCAATTCCCATGGGCACCTGTTGGAGAGATTAGATGAGCACTCCTCCATCCAGAACTCCAACACACCCTCACACTCATTGAAAACTACACCCTCGACCTCAAGGCAGCCAGGCATAGCATCACCAATTCCCCCGAGTGTCCTGAATTCCCTGAGGAGCAATGGCTCTCCCTCTTGGCTGGAAAAGCAGTCAACCTCGATGTTGTCTTTGCCTCCATGCACTCCACTTCAATCAACAAAGTACAAACTCATGAAATATCTGAAGGGGTTGCTCTCCGATTCTCAGAAAACACCTCAAACCCTGCGGAGCAGAAAAGAAATATCAAAACTGCTGACGAGTGGACGACAACCTGGCACACCTATACACAAGCCATCCTCGTTGCTTTCCTGCATTGCTACCGGGAACTCTCTCTCTACCAACAGTACATGTCATCACTGTTCAGAACCGTCGCCGTCCCACTCCACAACCATGTCTTCATCCTCGATCGTGCCATCTGCAGCTGCATCGGACAGTGCAGGAATATCCTCCTCTCCAAGACAGACAAGTTCAGAGATCTTGAGCGCTCCCACATCTCTACCTCAGGAACTGGTTACCGGGAATTTGAAGAGAGTCATGCAGAGGGACGATCTAGAAAGCGAGTCAGCGAGCATGCGCGAAACCTCGAGGCTTGCCAGAGATGGAATGTGGGAGTTTGCCCATCTGCCAATGGAAAATGCAGATATCGACATGTCTGCTCAAGCTGCAAGGGAGGACACCTCATCTCCGCTTGCCCGAGCAGAGTGTAAGGAGAGGGTGGAGGCATTGGAAGGAAGGGGGAGGTTCGAGAGGAAGATGAAGGGAGGGGAATGGGAAGGAGAAGGAACAGGGTTTGCTCCATGCTACCGGCGTGGTTTTGTTTTCTCAGAGACAAGCACCGGGAAGAGCCGGACCGCTGGCTGCACGGAGTTTGAGTTACCAGTGCTGCGACCTCCTGCAAAGGAATACGAGAATGCGGAGGCAGTCAAAACAATTGAGGAATATCCTCACTTGTTCAAAGTCACGACACCGATCAACATTGACGAGTTCGAAAAATCCTTGCAGTCTCATCCTAATCAGGAATTCATGCAATCAGTGGTAACGGCACTGAAGGAGGGTTTTTGGCTGTGGGCAGATACTCAACCTTCAGGAGAATTTCCACTCACTTGGGACAATGCGAGAATGAGTCCTTGATCTGCAATGGAACAGGAGTTCATTCACAGATACCAGGACGAAGAAATAGCTGCCGGACGATTCTCTGAACCTTTTGGTCCCGATCTCCTGCCGGGAATGTACAGCACTCCGGTTCATGCGGTGCTGAAGCCTCACTCTGAGGATCTCAGGATGGTATCCAACATGTCGGCAGGAACCTATGCCCCCAATCGAATGATTCAGCATGCAGACATAGCTGGTTCCAGACTCGACAGCCTGCACACACTCTTCTCTGCAATACTACGTTTTAAATGGAGGTCTCCAGAAAACACCCGCAAAGTGCTTGTTGTCTTTAAGTCCGACGTCTCCAAGGCATATCGGCTCGGTCCTATGCATCCGCTTTGGCAACTGAAGCAAGTGGTGATGACTGGATACCTAACCAGTGAGCAGAAAGCTGCTGGGGAGGTGGAAAAACTTGTCAGGACGGTGGATTGCAACAATAACTTTGGTGGGAGGGGTTCCTACCGAGTTTGGTACAGCGTCAATGGCCTTGTCACCTGGGTAGCCATTAATGTTGAGAAGATTGAGGATCTAGGCTGCTATGTTGACGACGACTTTGGATTTGATGAATGGGGAAAACTTGAATACTACGAGCCTTACGACGAGTTCTATCCCTCAAATCAGACAAAGCTACTCAAGCTATGGGACCGCCTTGGAGTGCCACACAGCAAGCCCAAACAGCTCTTTGGCCTGCAGCTCGCAGTCATAGGGTTTGACGTTGATCCAAATGCGATGACAGCTACCATGCTGGAAGACTCAAAGGCCAAGCTAGTCCTGGGACTCCGACACTTCGCTGCATCAAACCGTCGAAGCTTGCAAGAGTTTCAGCAGATCTCTGGATGGTCCAACTGGTCATTCAATGTGTTCCCTCTCCTCAAACCGGGCCTGTGCAACATGTATGCAAAGATGGAAGGAAAAACCAACCCTTTCGCTGGAATAGCCATCAGTACCACTGTGAAGGATGATGTCAAATGGCTTGCAGATCATATCGAGACGTCTACGGGCATATGCTGTTATGATTCGATAGACTGGGACCCAATAGTGGACGCAACGGTCACTATTCTCTGCAACGCCTGCTTAGGCGGGATGGGGTTCTGGGTCCCGAAAATTGCCTCAGGTTTTGTGTGCCTGACACCTGACATGCCAGATGGTGATGAAATCATTTTCTTCTTCGAGGCCTTGTGTGTCTGCATGGCAATACACTGGGTAGCATGCACGCTGTCCCCTGAGTTACGAAAGCGAGTAACAATATTGACAGACAACACCAACACAGTTGACATCTTCAACTCACTGAAAGCTTCCCCAACTTATAACCCCATCCTTAAGTCTGCCATCGACGTGATGATAAGTCATAGCATCGATCTGCGTGTACTTCATATTCCGGGCTCTGAGAATGATGTCGCAGACGCTCTGTCGCGATCACAGTTCTCGAGGGCCCAAGATCTTGTGCCCAATCTGATAATACTGCCATTCACACCCCCTCGCAATGTGCTGGGGGCATCAAAATGTTGATTGAGTTAACTCCCGGGTCTAGACAAAAGGTTTGTGAGCCTTGGACCCTGGAGAGGCTACATCATGAGAGGTGCCTAGCTCTAGGCTCTGCTATTGATACATCAACACTAGGGTCCTATAACTCTGCCCTGAATTCGTACATCACCTTCTGCAAGATCCACAACTTCCCCGTCAAACCCACTGAGGATACCCTCAGCTACTACGTCATCTTCATGTCCGCCCATATCAAACCAGACTCCATCGGCACTTATCTCTCCGGGATATGCAACAGACTCAAGAACTTTTTCCCTGACGTCCGCGAAATCAGGAACTCTGCATTCGTCAGTCGCACCCTGAAGGGGTGTAAACAGCTCAGAGGCTCGGAGATCAAGCGGAAGTCACCTCTATCCAGAGAGGATGTCTGCCGTGCAATTAGCATGCTTGGCCAATCATCCGACTACAATGACAGCCTTTTCTTAGTGATCCTCATCACGGGTTTTCATGGCCTCCTTCGTCTCGCAGAGCTGAGCATGCCTGATAAGAAGAAAGCTCGAAATTGGAGAAAGATAGTCTGCCGAACAACGGTCGAATGGCTCCCCGAAGGCTACGCATTTTTCCTGCCTGCACACAAGGCCAACACTTCGTTTGAAGGGAATAAAGTCATCATCCCAACCAACAACAACCAAGGTTTCGATCCTCTCCCCGTATTTCGACGATACCTTGCTCACAGAGACAGCCGACACCTTGTCCATCCAGCATTATGGGTAACGTCTGCTGGCTCTGTACCTACTCGCTCCTGGTTCATGAAGAGACTTCGCCAACTCTTCCCCAGCATGAAAATCGCAGGACAGTCAATGTGAGCAGGTGGAGCGACATACCTAGCCAAAGAAGGTGTCCTACCTTATCTCATACAAGCACATGGTTGTTGGTCTTCATGCACATTCAAAATATACATTCGGAAGAACCCCGTCCTTCTAGAGGCCATGATCGACACTCGAGCCCCTGCCATATAACACACCACCACGCACATGCTCCCATAGCACTTCTTGCTCTATTACCCTTCAATACTCTCTTTGCCCTCCCCGGTTATACTAACTGGGCTGTTAATAGTGACAATCCGACCGTCCGGGAAACAAGTGGGTACGGATACGCTGGCGAGGTCTAAGACGCAGTCCGAGTCGGAGGCTGGGTACAAGGGCAAATCAGAGTTGTAGGAGGTCTAGCTTATGTACTGGGAATCAAAGACGGGTTAGGGACTAAATGTCGGTAAAAGTGTTCATTAACCTACCGGTTGTACTTCTGCTACAAACAATGCACCAGTGCTCGCCATCAGTCCCGGAGGCTTGTCCTCGTCTCTAAGTTTTGCCTATATCCTCTGCATGGGGCAACAAAATCGACTAGTTGTCCGATTTCATTTAGCTCAGCTTCGGGGATAGCGTAATACTGACATTCGAAGATGAGGAAGATGGCGAGGCATCCACATTGGAGTGAGTGATGACCTGGCGATTGCTAAGGCGCCAATATCTGTCTCCAGAAACAATAAAAGACTCGCTTTTTTCTTCCCATACGCTTCGCTCAGTGATATTGATGGGTTGCGATAAGATGATAGTTATCCAAGTTAATCACATAAGGACCCGTTCCCAGCGCTTCTGAAGAGAGCAATCAGTCATGTGGTACGCACTACAGAAGACAATATACCTTGCTAGCTGAGCCGGCGGCAGAAAAGACTCCACCTCCAACAACGAATCATGGACTGGCCGTCCCCGAGGGCGTTGTTACGGCCTCTGAAACTTCCTCAGAATGATATCTGCGATGGGATCCTGTTTCCATGACAACAAAGCACCAATCGCCGACATCCTCGAACAGTTTGTTTCAATGACGGTGATTCATGTCAGAGATACAATGAGTCAGGCGAAGAATCCAAGTTCGGAACTGTCCTTCAAAATAGAAGACCAGGTTGTTAGTCAGTCGTATTCGGATCCACGGACTCCTCTCGCAATCCAAGGTAACCAGACCTGGGAGCGAGAATGTGGGTTCTGGTTACTAGAAGGAGAGATCTTGGAAGGGAGAAAAAGACGTCTTCTTCTCCGATTCCTTGACGCCGCCTTCGCGTCTCACAAATATGGTGGTCAGAAGGCGATGGATGATTGGATAATGACATCCCGCCATAGATTTGTTTGTCCCTCTACATCCCATTGCAAAGCTTGGTTGGTGTCTCGCTCGCGATGAGCAATGGCATCAAGTACGATATGTGACCTACAGTCTCTCGCCTCGCTGAGGAAGCTTATGGGTTCTTTCAATGGCTCTACGTAAGCGACAAGCTACTAACGAGAAAAAAACGACATACATCCTGTGCGACGGTTGAGCCTGATACCTTGAAACGCTATTCTCTACAAGGCGCAACACAACACCGAGGAGCTGCATCGAACAAGGTCTTGCCTGATGAACTCTGCCTAGTTGGTTATCCTGATCAAAACGCGATCCTGAGGGATGCTGGGCCCAGTATTCCATGCTGATAGGCAATATCCTCTTAGATGACGATAAAGCGATAGGAATTTTTGTGGGAGTGACATGATTGGGAAGCTGTTTCTCATAATGAACATGACTTCCGTAAGACCACCGTTAATCACATGGTGTACTGTTCGAAAGATTGGTATGGGGGAAATAAATTCTTCTATCCAAGACATGACATGGCGTCCTAATTCTCGATATGAGAAACAACATGATAAATACGCAGCAAAAGAAAACATACCTTATTCTGCATTCGTCAACTGGGCCACTATACCCGTCTCGGCTCTCCCATCAGGCTATCCAATCGCTACCTGCTTGCTTGAATCATGGAATCGTACTTGATCGTATTCTTCGTCCGGCAGTAGCTACTAGCAATATGGTGAAACTTGCACCATGTCAGAAAGGTTGTTTCTGTTAAGGATAATCTTTGACATCAACGGGATATTCTCGTAACAGAAGAGAAAACGCACGAATCAAAGCTGTGTAGAAGCTAGTACACCGTTGCGATCATAGAGCCTTATTACTTCTCCCAAATTTCTCCCGACACATTCCTACCGGCGCAGCATCAGCGTATCTAAGTAAGAACGAGGCGCATAATAAGCCGATCTAGGATAAGACGGGACTACCGTTTGTCGGACGTTAGCGATTTGTTACCAAGAAATTGGAGAATGATATTTTTGGTCATGATGGTTAGGAAAGTGCTGTGACTAATTGTGACTGTGACTTCGCACCGGCCTTGTATCCCGCAACGGCCCGTCACGGTAAGGTTCATCAATTCGACGTTGGGTTTTGGTTGGGTTCTCAGTCCTGTGTACACAGGATTCGGTCTATGCTAATCTGGGGTAGCAGTTGGGTAGCGGATAATTTATATGCACCTGTAAGTGATATTCTATCCACAAGTGTGGTTGAATCCTGGTCACAAGAAGATCACAAGACCAACACAAGACTAAGAAAAGACAAAATATGCAGAAGACCTTGGGTTACAAATTACTACACGGACACTGGACAGTTCGAGGATCAATTATTGTCTGATAATCGTAAACCAATGACAAACCACAACAAAATTGTGTTGAAGTCCTGATTCCTGATTGATTAATCGTCGTAACCTGTGAGGATTCAGGAAGCCACCTCGCACATTTCGTTCCCAGAAAGGCCAGTCAATTCTGTATTCCTTAACCCTCCGGCAGGCAGGGAGGCAACGTTCACGTATTATTTCTGGGTCGGAAAGTCAGCATTCGCGAGGCTCCGTACAGCATCTTCTCACTGAAAAAACAATCAGCTCGGAAGACTCAGGTAATGAAAAATTCTTCGTGCAATATTCGGCAGCTTACTTTTCACAAAAGTTGGTCGTATACACTGCTCAAATAAACGATAATTAAGTGATGCGAGCATCATCCTACATCCTCGAACACGCAATGCATGTGCATGCGCTGCCATGCCAATGGCAAGAATATCCTGTGTGATGCTAACTTTCATTATCTTTAGCTTGACGGATAATCCTGGAATCGATCGTGAATTCGTGCGGGACGAGCGCCGGTCCTAGAGGATCTCTGACGATTCTACAAGCATGGAACGGACGATCAGGAAAAAGTCCAGTGGGAGGACCTCGTGCAGAGTAGAGCATGGATCAAGGTGCACACTTCCCTCGGTGGTGATGATACGCAGAGCTGGTCCGGAAATAAGGTCAGAATACCTGATGACGGGACATTCTTGAATGAAAGGCCCTGGGATAGAGTTTATGAGAAGGATATATTTAAAACCTTGCTGCAACCTACTGAAATACTGCCTGGTACTGCATGAACGCTGCAAAGAACGTTCTTTATGAATAGCGCTGTATCTAGTTACGACAATTCCACGTCAGGTGACTTCTTTCGAGCAATGAAATACTGTCGAACTGTAGTACCGGCTCATCAGAAATATTGCGAGGTGCTTCGCAGTGACCCTATGACTAGCTTGTCGATGCGCTGTGAACCTGCGTCGTGGCTCAGGACACGAGTCGTCGATTCGTACGATAATGCCTTGAGGAAGGGTAATGACATACGCACATGTTTCCGTGAATAGGGAGCCCGACATACGACACACGCAGCATAAAAAATAATAGAGCATCTAATAGAATTAATTGCGTGAGACTTAGAAAATTGCTGGAGAGTGGCAATACCAACTGCAATTCTATGCTGGAGAAGGAGATTTCAGCAGTCCCAGGTTCGGGCGAAAGGCCCGATCGTAAAATGTCCTCAATATGAACAAAAACGTTATTGAAAAACAAGGTTCAGAGCTGTGGGAAAAGGCACAAGGTTGATTCAATGGCGGTGCGGTCCTATACCGACCGAGCTTCACGGATCAGGTACCCTCTTTTCCGCTGCTTTTCCGGATGACTTAGGCGGTATCTCACATGTTCATGCCGCCCAAATAGTCGCCGCCCATTGCAGTTTTCCAACCCCATTGCAAAGCGCCCACATCGCCTTGGGTATATTGTTCATTAACTGCATCATATCGCTTTACTATGCCAGATGTTCAGGTAGGACCTTTTTTCGATACTTCAAGCTTTAAGTCCGATCACCGACGCATTGACAATTCAAGGTTATTTCAAGGCATCGTTTCGAGGGAAAGGTGTCGAGACCAAATCATACAGACGGAAATTCTGAAGTACCTTCCGATCCTAGGTGATACCTCACCTTTGGCTTCTGTATAGAACGAATGGGACATGCCTTAGTCGTCCCTCTTCCGTGTGGATGGTGTCTTACAGGACATGTATGAGTTGAAGTACCCCATAGGATCCCACGTTCTTAATCGCTTATAGCGTGTGAATGAGCTCTGAAGATCAATTCTTGATGTCAAAATGGCCCGACCAAATTTTTCAGTAATGGCACAACACTTTCCGACTGTGACCATTAGTACACCTTCTCTGACTTAGATATCTTTATTCTGTGTTTTGCTTTATGCAGATGAGTCATGAAATAGGGCTTGAACATCAGGAGAAGAGGACGAGAGTATAGGAGGAGCGCTGGTTCTTTGATCATCAACGGCAAGCTCCGTCCGTGTACATTGAAAAGTGCCTAGGTCACTTACGAAATTCCGGTGAAAGAATCCTGCTTTGAGCTTTTAGAAGAGGTCGGCCTTAAGTGGGTCACTCGGTAACATGAGGGTCGCCTGCTCTGGAGAACTCCTCCCACTTGAAGAGAGCCACACTAATTCGATCAAATTGTGCAATTACTTCCTCCTTTGAATACTGATGAATATGGTGCTTTTTGAACACATGGTTAAGCCTACTTTGAAACCAGCATTGAGAAAGTTAGCTGTACGATTTCGGCCAGTTCGTTGATGGCAAGTGTCCAACTAGCCAGGGTCAGTCAGAACGAAAGACTGATTTGTGGGAAATTGAAATAGACGGCGATCAAAGATACTCGAATGTGCTAGGAAACTCGATCATTTTGAATCGCAATTTGATAGTTTTACGCCGGGTCCGTGCTTGTCACACGTCTAAGAGAATACAAAATCTGGCAATTTCCGAACCTTCTGATGCCGCAGCGAGACCATTTTGATGTTTTCCGTCAAAGATGGACTCGACCATCGCTGATTACGATCGACATAGTATTTTGCAATCATTCCACTTCTGTCACCGACTTTTGCCGACGGATGTCGCTTACTGTCTGGAACGCGGTCCAAACTCAATTTCGACAATCGACGCCTTTGTGAAACGAGACTGTAAAGAGATCTAGGAATATTTCATTCCCCGGTATTGAAATTGCATTGCCGCACGAGAGTTCCGCGTGAAAGACGAGATTTGTTAAGAAGTTTTCGGTTTCCCAGGACCGAAATAGGAACAGGAGTTGTGAAAAACAAGGTGCTTTACAGGCTAGTCGTAGAGCTAACGTCGTAAATCGACATACCAAACCGTGTAGGATCTATGTAAGGAAGTGTGGAATGGGTACCAGTAGACATTTCATGTGGTACTGTCACGGACGGAGGGATGGAAGAGTAATAGCTATCATCATCTCCAGAGCAATTGTCAACGCCCAGCCACGAGAAATCCATGTATTCTCTGCTGGAAGTTGAAGGTGGCCAACGAGGATACGAATTGCCGTGACCGTCAAGTGATGTCCAGACCTCTTCCTTGCAACCAGAATACCCGAGGTCAGGAGTATTGGGCGAAGAATAAAATCTAGGCGACGATGAGTCCTCCGAGGTCGGAGAGGGCGTGGAGGATGCGGATGACTCATAAACAGACTCAGTGGAGCTTTGACGGCAGTCTGGGCTGGAAGTCATAGAGCGCTCCTTAGCGTTGCGCCTTTTCTCTCGGGAAATGGCAGGATCATTGAGGAAGATGCAAGTCTCGTGGCGTGAAACGCACCTCGAGCATGGGTACTCGAGGTCGCATTTGACTTTAGAGGCGGCGCATGCCTTTGGAACCGTTAACCTGTGCAAGCGCTGATCGGGTGTCGGCGACGAACCTGACAGGACTTCTGTCTCGAGCGACTGGATACCATACTTTTTTGGTACAGTCAGTGCAAATGTATTGGACAGAGAGAACTATACTTACGGATCTCTACAGGTTTTCTTGTGGCGCGAGAGAACGTCGCTCCTCGTAAATTGGGCACCGCATAGCTGCAACGATAATGAGGATCAGTACAACAAAGAATCGTTGATGTAGTCCTTTCTTACATCGCATCGATGACTGCGCTCATTGGTATCTACCGACATGAGATGAGTCTACGTCGTGAGGAGGTGAAATGACACTTACGAGAACGAATATGCCGCTGCAAATGGGTCGCCCTAGTAAACTTTGCCGGACAGAACTGGCAGTAGTTTGTCTGCGGGAGCGTCGGTGTATTCCCTTTGTGAAGTCTCTTTCGGTCGCTGACTGGGAATTGGTACATGGTCGGATGAGAAATATGGAAAGACAGAAGCTCAAGTTAAGGGGATTCAAGTCCGGCGACCAAGGAGTCATGACGATCTAGGATCAAGATTTGCATTGAATCGCCGGACTGCTTCGAACCGCGTAAGTCATGATACATGGAGATACCCCTGCTCGATTTCGTACACTAGAGGATGTGCTCATCGGCGAACTGATCGAAATGTAGGAGTCCTCGGTTCCGGAATACGCGTTGAAAGTCCACGCTGAGGCAACCCGCGAGGCCGAGAAGCAGTCTAACACCCAAACAATGAAAAGTTGATCAGTAAATAAATTGACTGTTCAATAAGAGGGGAAATTGTAATGCAATAGGGTCCGGACCCTATAAAAGAGACAGTGATGGAAGAACAACCGCATCTGATGCTTGGTATGTTCGCTGTGAGAGCCAAGGGGAATCGACGGCTTCGAGCACCTAAGGTCCGGTTAACCCTGGCCCGTATCCGCAGTAGCCGTCGGCACATTAATTTCCTGACACCGAAGTCAATAGTAGAGGTGACATCTTGGACAGCATATGGTATACGGTATAGCAATATGCTGTTTAGCAGCGTGTAGCAACAGTGCCGATAGCCAACAGGGTCTATGCCAGTGCATTTTCATGAGCAAGGGAGGGTATGGACAGCTGTCACAGCATCAAAGCGAGACGAAGACGTAAAACCACAGTTCTCAGAGACGGCCAACAGGCATCTAAGAAGAAGAAGGATAATAAGGAGCCAAAGCAACGGAAACAGATCGGGAACCGCAACAACATCCTGCCGACACCACAATATGCGAAGCTTCCGTAAACCATAGCTAAAGGGCGTCTCTTACAGACCTCCCGCTTACAGGTCGGAAATCTGTCAGCGGTCTATTAATCGATTAGCAAAAGGGATAGTAAGTAGGCGGTCATCGGGTGTCCTTACCTCAGTGTAACAGCGGAGCTGGGCGCTTGCGCCTTCAAAACGTGGCAATGCATCCATAAATGAACTTACGCCGTGCGTAGGGGTGTCCTCCTAACGAAGGAGTTCCTTCCACTTCTTGATGATGCATTCATATGAACATGAGGTTGCTTGAGGTGAAAATTGATCGAACTCACCAAAAAGGAGGAAGATGTTTGGTAGAGAACTTTTGGCATCACGTTTTGCAAATTTATGGAAACGAATCCATCTAGGACGACTGATATTTTGATCAGAAGATTATGTTGCAAGGCACCGAGAATCTCACCGTAACTCTAGAAGTCAACATCAAATTTGCAAATGTGCTCAATTAGGAGAATGCGGTCATACAAGACGTCATAAGCATCTCTATTCACCAGATTAGGTGACCCGAACATAAAAATTGTGCCCTGGTGCAATAGGATATTCGACGTGGGTGAAATACTAGTAACGACTTACCCACAGATCAATATTAATTGTGATGCGTGACAATTTGACCGGAAGACGTCTAAACACACTATCTTCCCAACTCACGAAAAAAAAAACCTTGACAGAGTTGATTGATTCATCAAGAAAAATTGCGAAACACTTATGTACTTTCCTGAATCGAAAGGCGAGAAAGTAACCTGAAGATCATCTGTTTGAATAACAAGAAAGGGGTGGAAGACAGTACTAACGCTGAAGGCGCAACCGATGTACAGCATAGTTTTGAAAATTGAACTCGCCGGATGTTTCTAATTCCGAATTCGCGGAGTGCATCGAAGAAAGCAAATGTAAACAGTAATATCGGTAAGAAATATCAATGGTGTTTGGATAGGTGCGACTTCGCGATGGCGGGAGACGACGTAAAGGCACATTAACGTGGTGTTGGTGTTGGTGTTGGACGGTAGCAACACAAGGGTCGCACTCAGGTCCAGCAGCCATGTGCCGTTGGAGTGTCGCGGAATTTGAATGTCCGGGCCGAAGCCCGAGGCAGGCATTTAGCCCAACTTCGAAATTAGCATCCACCTTAGTATTAAAGACTTGGTCATCGAACAGAAATTGACCTTGCTCGCAGTTATTTTATGGTGTATTTTATTAACATAGTACGCCCTGCCTGAGAGCGCAGATTCGACCAAGATTCAGCTACTTCAACGATGCCGGAGGCGCTGTACCTGAAGCGCATCAGTTTCTCATGCAGGCATATTTTTTTTCTCAGGAGATAAGCATAGAAATGGACTAATTTTCCAGGAGAAATTGAATGAATCGCGACGCGCTTCCCCCTAGCCTATCTGCGAGGTTGTTGCAAGTTGCAACGCCATCACCAGGGCTGGGTCCTTTGTTTCATTATGCCCTAACGATGCTGACGACCGTTTTTTCCTCGTGTTTTCTGCAAGTATCTGAACGGCTTGAATTCTCCTGAGGGGGTAGTAGTGACATACACGTGCATATAAATAACAAGGAGAAGTTGAAGATAGGGCGTTTGAATATATGATTCTTGATCATCTCAATCGACGTAAGTATTCTGCTGCTTCTCGAATCGTTCTATCAGAAAGACATTAGAATCTTTAATTAAGCCTGGGCACCAGATCGCTCACGGAGAGCAATGAGTGGCAGGTCCACGGGGCCGGCGCATTCTTCTACAGTACGACGAAGGTCCTAAAAGACCTCATGATATTGAATTATCACTTGGTGAGTAAATGCTTCCTTTCGGAAGGACCTAGTCTCGAGAAGTCTGCACTTCAAGACCAAGTGACGAGAGCTCACTGAATCTGAACACAACTTTACAGCCATCTATTCACTTCTTCCTTGAGCTTATCCAGTCTACCCCGCCAAACGTGGTTAGCTCCGTCGACAACAACAACCTCGAACATTCCCTGTTCAGGGCGTCTCTTGCTCTTTAGGACCTTCATCCACATATTATACGCAATCCGTACTGGCGACAACAGACTTCCGAGTTCGTCTTTTCCCATCAGGATGAGCACATCAGCTCGTGCTTCGTGTCGACAGTCTTCCCATGAACCTCCAACGAGACCTTCTAAGGCACGAAAGTACCATCCAGTTCTGAAGAGACCGAGAATTGGGGAAATAGCGATCGGGTAAGATATTAGGATATATCGAATAGGATTGAAAACGTTCGAACATCGATCAACGAGATCCTTTGGCATACGAATGGTGGTGGAGTAGATGGCCCCACAGGAGTATCCCTGATTCAAAAATCAGAACAAGATGCAACACGAGAAGAAAGAGCAGTCACACAAACAAACAAATCACAATCACGGGCAGAAGGGAACTCGTCCATAAATCGTATGACTTCTTCCCGGAAAATGTCCTGTTGCTCGAAGAGTTAGTTATAGGAGATGGATGAATTTAACGGCACACCTTGTAATCCGAGCAATTATCCTCGCCTACCCACGCCGGCCAACTAGACCATTCCGACCGTCCGCTGCTCTGACCTATCCCACGAGCATTCCATTTAACAACTCGGGCGCCCCACGATATTTGAAGAGCTTCAGCGAGGGCAGATGTGACTGGAGAATCCATTGTACCGCCCAGTCTACCATGAGCGATAAAAGCTAGCGCAGAGGGTCTCTTATTTGGCGGTTCAAGGATGACTTTCTCGAGGTTGACCATAGTGCTCGATGAGGTGAGGGCATAGAAGGGCATGAAAAGCTCTCCAGACAGACTGCGGAATCAGCGTACGCAGTGGAAAGGAGTAGAGACCTATTATTGCTCGTATCAACGAACATCGCACATCTGATGATGCTGTTGAACCCTGTACACGTGGCCAACAGCAGTGACCCTTCCGGCTTTCGGGCCACAGTGAATGGAAGGTCATGACTGCGGAATCGTAATCATTGGAAGAGACACTCGAATGCATGTCGTTTTGGTTTCTTCGCACAGATTCAGGCTGTAAACCAGAGTGACGCCCGTTTCATGTGTTGCAAGTCCTATATGCCGCCCGGCAATACTTGACAGTGACATTCGACACAATGCACTGTCGAACATAACCGTGAGGCCGGTGAGCTGTCGTTCATACGGAAAAGTACAAAGGGATGCACTTACGGGCTAGCGTGACCCCCTACTACGTTCATGATCTTTCGCCGGAATGACATACAGCGCTCGTTCGTGAATTATCTTCGTTCGGTATAGCCCATGTTTGAATCTGCATCCATCTGATCCGCTAGGTTGATTCCTGAACCAATGCTCTCTGTCCGGGAAAATGCGAATTTAAGCTAGATAGCTTGCTAGATAGTCCCTGAGATTCATTCTCAAGATATCCAGGAGTTTGAGAAGATACCTGAAGTGATTCCCCGCAAGGTTAGGGTATAGGTCAACGAAAATGCAACAGGAATGGACGAAACCGAAGAACCCGGAAGTCAGTCGGCGGAGAAGTCAAGAGAGTGCAGCCATAAAGTTTTGCGGAAGAGTTTAGCTGAATACGTATGAGAAAAATTTTAAACAAACGTTCTATATCGTATGTGGTCAGTCTCCGGAAGATAATAGAACAAAATTGATCTTAAAAACAAAAATAAAAAGAAGGCAAGAAATCGACAGCAGATTGACAGACAACTCATTCTAGGCTCTTGGACTCGTATTAAATAATTGCGGGGACCAGCAAAGAGTTCGCGACGCTAGTATTTTATCCGTATCGAAAAGCGGGTCAGGACAGAACTGAGAGTCCAAAGTCGATCCCAGTGGCACACAGCGCAATTGGAGCCTGTCGGAAGTTCACTATCGCTGAGTCAACTGTGATCTCCTTACCCGCCCGACGCCGCAATACGAGAGCATATCCGACATGACTCACATGCACGACACGTTCACAAAGCACCCACACGACCTTGGCCAAATGCAGAACCAACTCAATTAACCCATCACAGGGTGCAAAAATACCTTTAAAGTCCGTTACTCTATTCCACATCACGCGTCGAATCACCCGGGTAAATCAGATGAATGATGAATGAGTGGAGGGACCGGAACAAGAGGGAAGGAGAGTGCCTGAGGACCTGTGCCTCCACCGCGTCTTAGTAGTTAGCGTACTTGTGGCGGTTAATGAAATACTCCAAAAAAAAGTGCGCGATCTCCCCCGAAAGGGACGCCATCGAAGACACCGGACCGTGATAACTGCCAATTTTCCCTGGATTTTGTCCATCCAGTAGTAACAGTCAGAACTCGTACAATCACTGGAGAGCATATATCGCCCTATTTTGAATCCCTACCTTGTCTGTATCCTTCCTTTTTACCGATTTATGCCGGGTATCACCATTCTGTGGCTCGATTTACAGAATGGAATTCCATGTTTTGCTGATTCTTGATTTACTGTTAATGGAGTCCCTTCCCACCTGTCCGAAGTATAGACTCATCCCAGAGGCTAAGGTGCTTAAGAAGCCAACGGCGCTTCACCTCCAGTTTACCAAGGGTATATGTTCAATCATGTCGACCTCCTTCATTACCTGCAATCTTAATCATCATAGTGTCTGTGTACAAAACAAAGGGTACAAATTCCAGAGCACGACTCGAACCTAAGAAAATACGCGTATACGTAGGCTACACAACCCATGGATTCTCCCCGTTTTGCTGTTTCTTATTCCTCCATTTGTAAATTGTCCGTAATAACTGAGTGCAGACGGCACAGAAAAACATAATGGCTGCATCTGTGTAATGGCCTGAACGATACCCTGGCGCCTCACTCGACCTGTATATGAATATTCCTGAAAAAGATGAGCAGGCGTGTGAAAAAGAATCGGTGAACGACTTACCAACGACCTGGCTCCCCATTGCCAACGCCGAACTAATTGCAATAGCCAATGTTGTTGCATTCGTATCTCTTAGGTTGCCCGTGAACCACGCCGTCTTAGGTCCTGCATGTGCGAAGATGAATATAACGCTGAAGCAGAGCAGTACGTAATGCGATCTGGAAGCCGTTGCCGGTAGTGCACCTTAAACCTCTGCTTGGTCGACTTGATTCAAAGACCGGAGACATAAAGGCGTACCTTGAACAATGAACGTCATCCCTGCCAAAACATATGATAATAGTGCACATGTTGACCAGATCCGATACTTGTCCGCTACCACAGCCAACCCCACTGTACCTATAACCGTAGCTGCGAAGATTGGGACGGCAAAGAGCTATGCATCCTGTCCATGGTATCCCAGTCCGCTGATAATTGTGGGGGCAAACAGTCCTACGCTGGAGGACGGGATGAGTGAGAAAATGTCCAACAAATAATGCAAATATAGTCGTCCGTCTTTCAATGTCGATTTAGTGCCATCCCACGTTATCTTGTCATCCACCAAAGACTTCGACGACTCTTGTTTCATTCGGTGGACTGCGAGCGCGCGATCATCGTCAGAGAGCCATGTTGCGTTCTCCGGATAAGCAGGTAGGAAGAGGAATACGAGGATTGCGAGGAAGCACGACGGGGCACCCTCAATGAGGAATAACCATCGCCAACCTTCCAAACCTCGAACGCCATTCAAAAGGCCGACGGCGTAGGCAATGCCTCCACCAACTGCGGCTCTGAAGGGTCCACACGTGTACATTATTGAAATGCGACGGGAACGCTCTTGAAGGCGATACCAGCTAGAGCAAGAAATACTTCAAAAGAGGGACGGAGGAGGAGGGAGTGTCGTACAACGTGTAGAAGTAGATCATGCCAGGCACAAGCCCTAAGGTGAATGCATCAGTGGTATGCTTCTGATAGGATGCTTATGACGTACCTGCTTCGAGTGCACCTATTAAGAGACGCAGAAGGAGTATTGTGATGTAATTTTGGGAAGCGGCCATGATCATAAGAGTCGCTCCCCATCCCAGGATGAGAAACGCGAGCCAATAGGGCGGTGAGAAATATTTGTGCATGTAATTCGACGGAACTTGGAAGAGCGTAGTTGTGATGAAACAAGCGGCAGAAACAGCGTCAAAGCGACGGGTGGTCATGTGCAATACTTGGAGGAGAGAGTCACCAGTATCGGCGTTGAGAATTATAGCATAGCTCTGAAGTGAATTATCAGCCAAAATTTTGACGCATAAGGTTCCCAGATAGACTAGCAAGAACGCCCATGAAAAAGATAGTGGGAATGATTCGAAGGTCGAGTCGCCTGAGCAACCTGGTATCGAATGGAGTTAGTCTGAGCATCAGCGGTAGATATCCATGCCATACCGCTTCTCTGCAGCTACGTCTATAACGTCGTCGTCGACAACAATCCCGGCCTCACCACCTTCCTTGTCAGCAGCCACGGTCGGTGTAGTGGACAGATGGGACGCGCTACCGGGAGGAATAGTAAAGGGCATCATAGTGGGAGCAGAGAGGGGAAGGGTGATTCCGTCGCGAACATTGACTGGTTTTTATACCCTTCGAATTGTTGCTTGCAGCTGTTTGGGTCCTGGGCATTGACAGTACGGGGATCAAAGGGTCGTCGCATGATGACGCAAATGACGCGCCTCGTCATAAACTGCCACCAACTCGCGAAAGTGTTCGGTTCTTAGACGAGCACAGGTCCGAGTTTATGGCAGTTCACTGTCACGTTTAGGTGTATCTACATTAAACAATTAGTACTGTGCATCCCTTCAGTACGACGGATGCTCACTGCGGGAAATGCCAAAATTTTGGGTTGAACATTGATTATATTTGTACAGTAGCAATACGACGTATCAGGTATCAGTATTGTTGATGATTAAGTTCCCAGAGTCCTTCATATATGCTATAATCAACAGCGATTGCTTGAAGAATAATCTGCTCTTATAGAACCGACGAGGGTTGACTTCACGAATATCCCTGCTATCGATTCCGTCTATAACAAGAGGAAGCAACCTCCTTGTGCGCAAAGGATGTATGAGTATTTTCTCGTTCGTTCTGAAATACAGTGTTATTAGAATCGCTTCCTTTGATCAGCAGTATAGGCTTACTATAGAATCCCCAGTGATGCGTACAGCTCATCTGTGAGCAGCTACAACACTGCTATGCCCGTAGGTGTTGCAAACGAACTCAACGACGGTGCGGTACGTCGGAGCTAGAGCCTTTGAACCGTGGATATGATTCTCCGGCGTGTGCTGGTCATAGTTCATCACGCTCACCAGCGACCGAAGCTTGTGAATCGAACAAGATCGCTGTTAGAGTACTATTGTCGACAATGAGGACGAGGGTAAGCAACAGGCGGATGCGCTCTTCAAGAAAACGGCGGACGCTCTGCCACCAGCTCGTTTCATCGCTGGCGACAAAAGCCGCACCCCAAGGTGACGACGTGCTGCGGACTGTTTCTCTTGATCTACAATCCGTAGCATCCAGATAGGTCGCCTGAACCCGCGACGCGTCAACTCAACATTGTCGCGTACAAACCGTTATAAAAGCGAGGCGAAGGAGAACGAATTTCCCATCAAGCCTGGTGCTTTATCAACTGTATCGTCCGGTCCACTACAGATCCAACTCTCTCTTCATAAACCCAACCTACTTCAACAACCATCCTCATCCACCATGCGCATTTCTGCCGTTCATGTCATCCTCGCCATGACCCTTTCCGCGTACGCTCTCCTAGCGGTAAGCAGACATTCTGATCAAAATTTCTCCCGAGTTCATGTTGTAGACGTCGCTAGGCGCTCGTCAAGGCGACGTTTATGGAGGCGGGAACAACCCTCCTTCAGGCGATGGCGGACAAAGATTCAGCGGTAATGGCGGGCCTCCCAGTGGTGGTCCAGAACAAGGACCACCAGGTGAAAATCATGGCGGCCAGCAGCCCGGCCAGAATGGTCCTCCAAGCGATCCTCCTGGGATGAACGCAGGTCAGGGCGGTTATGGTGGTCTGCCAGGTCAACAACTGGGACAGGGTCCTCCGAACGGAAAGAACGGCCCTCCTGGGGGACAGGGAGGTCACGTTAAAGGTCGAGGCAATCCACCACCACGACCTGGCAGTCAGAACAGTCCTCCTAGAGGGAACGGTAATCTCGGTGGCCAAGGATCCAATGGACCACTGGGTGGCGATCAGCACCCCCGGGGTAATCCACCAAACGGTCAGGGAGGACCACAGGACGGCGGTCTGCCTCAGAATGGGCATGGTGGACCTGGGCAACAGAATGGAGGAGGGAATCGACGAAGTGAATGGTATCCTTAGATTGTCGTAGCTTAATGTCATCTGGCACTTCTCCGGGCCACTAGAACCGATATCCATGATTCTATATCCAGTCTTTGCGTTTATCGCTTTTTGGTCTGATCGTCCCGGAAAACAAGCGGGTTCGGATATTCTGCAGTATATAGATAACCCTGAAAGATAGATGCTGGTGATCAAGAGCCAGTCAGCTACTAATGCCAACAAACTGGTTCATTGACGTACTAAATGTCTGCAGGCAGTAGATATTAAGCATGTCTTCATCTCTGAATTTTGCATACATTCTCCGTGTAGGGCCCACGAGTCTTCGGTTCAGCCGAACATGCGAAGAATGGAACGCGGAAGAATTGCGATAACGATATTTTCCCTGAAAATTACCTCTCTGCAAGGACATGTTTTCAGCAAAACTGGAGAAACGATCAGTCATGGACTGAACATTGAAGAAAAGGAGGTACCTGAAACTTTGTGGCACACTACTCTGAACAACCAAACATCAACATGCCGTTGCCGAGGGTACGTGGTTCCAAAGCTTGCTCGTAATGATCCTCGCAATGGCTTCTGTTCTTCATAGCAACAAGTTTTCCACCCGTCAACAACCTTTCTCAGCAAATACGCGAGGGCTTCGACTTCGGAATTACCCTTCCGAAATATGCGGTCAACAGCATTGGGATTTGCCTGCAGTTCATGACGACCTGGGAAAGGGCAGGGAAAGCATAAAAGATAATGTCCGGTAAACCATGAACGCTATGTTCGGGCGGCAATGAAGACGAAGAAGTGACGCCTTCAGAACATGATGGTAATCGAAGCTCCTGCTTCGGATCCGGTCGATGGTTGCCACTGAGTTATCCCCTGTGACGCTTCGTGATTTTCTCCTTCATCTAGCACCATAGTGTTCCACAGCGCCGAGTAGGACGAGCGTTTCTCATCTCGCAGGGAGATGTTTACAGCCCTTTTGGAGACCATAAGTGAGCGATGAGATGCCTGCAAGGAGGAAACGATGTACCTTCTGTCAATATTCGAGCCCGCCAAACCATACCCTAGGACTTCCTCTACGGGGAAGAAGCTGCCCCGATACCAAAGAGTTTCATGAACCAGAAGATTTCGGAGCATGGAGTTCGCCGTTCCCGCCCCTTGGAAATGCTTAGCGGAACGGACATCAACTCGGTCCTGATATCCATGGCGACTTTTCCAGCGCGATTCGGCCACCACTAGTCTCATAAACCAGACTCAAAGGTAAGTCGTTCAATGGATGGACTACCACCTGCTTGTTCGAGTGCATTGGTCTGGGTAAGAAAAGTCGCGTGAGCAGCCCGCATATAAGGAGGAGATAAAATATACCATTTCCCTGCTGGAAGTTTCTTGGTGGCAACGAAAGGGATTCGAGAAAATTCACGAGGAGTGATTTTGGACATGGTGGTTAGACTGTTCTTCGTATCCGCCGACTGGGGCATTCCATATTGATGGATCACAGCAAGAATACACTCCGCATCGACGCTGTAGGACAGGTCTGAAGAACCAATTAGCAAACATTTTTGCAGTAGAGAAGGTAACGTACTTGACCGTGAAACTTGGTAAAGGAAGGATCCGAACCGAGAGAAGCCCCGAACCTGCTGCTCGGTCGGTAAAAAGGCTGTACGGCGTTGCCTATAAGACGTCCAGTTGTCGGTGATAAAGCAAGTCCTTAGATTCGGACCATCTAACCCTTCCCGTTACCAGAACGGCGCTTCTTGGGAAAGGAAGCGACGACTAGAATGTCTCCTCTCCTTTCTCTCTGACGCTTCGAATGCGGCTTCGATGTCCGATAGTGTCGTAAATGCGGTATTCGCGCCCACCAGACCTTGGCACTACCGTGTATGACATGGACAGCACTGACTGGAACGATAACCACCATGTGAGTGACAAATCAGCCTGCCATAGCGAACAAGGCACTCGTGCACAGTTTTTCCGTCGCCTAACACAATGCGATGCGGGGATGCAACAAGAAAGCAATATGTTCTGGACTAATACGATTCATGCGCTGAACGAGGATATTTATCGAGGCAAAATGACGGAAAGCAGCCAACAAGCAGCTCTTGATGGACGTTTAATTTTGGGTTATTAGAACAACGGGGCGCGTGAAGTCATTGATGGTTTTCCATATAATATCGAAAAGTGACGGTAACTAGTCCTACCTCCACAGTGAGGAAAAGAAACACGTTAAATACATGAAGACGTACCTTCATCATACTACGTTCTGATCAATGACTCTATATCTCGGCTCTCGCTCTCAGCCACTGTTCCTCTGCCACCTGTCTTCCTGGAGACCTGGGCCGTATCGTTGTATGTTCGTCACGGATGGTGACGCCATTGCCAAAGGATAGTACCCACAGAATTCGCGGTGATCCGTGTCGTTCCAGAAAGAAGTGTTTCTACCAGATAATATCTTCTGCATCAGAAACAAATATTTTCCCGAAAAGTGGTTAGACACACGAATTGAGAAAAGAAACAGCCAGGGTGCACGCGCGATAGAGCCTCCCACGGCACAGAAGGATCCAGCCGCTACGATGTTGGGAAATGGCACCTCTTCGAATGATTTTCAGTGCTGCGGTAGGCATCGCAATCGAGGATAGCAAAGTAGTGCCAATGACATGTTGGTTCCGAAGAAGAATTGTGACTGTCACGGCGACGTCGCGTCTCCGCAGACGGCCCGCTGATGGCACGTCGTGCCGACTGATGATTCATCATCCATAGACTGGCATTCAACATGCACCTTGTAGCCTGCTACATAGCTTCCCGCACTGAGAAATAGCTCGAAAGACGAACTCTCGCCCACTGCTGCTTGTCTTCTGAAATGTTAACGACACTCTCTTCAACAACCGGAAACTAGGATCGTTTTTTTTCTTCTCCCTTGCGGATGTATCTTTCTCTGCTGCTCAGCGATGCCCTTCATATATTTCCAAGAATGCGCCGATCCTAGAATTGATATTCTCATTAACTTATTTCTGAATAACACCGACGCTCCTCTGAATATTAGACGTCTTTATGAAAGCTCAAATCCGCCGAAAGGACTTTTTTCTGCAAAGAATATGCGACTGCTGCTAACGAAAATAGGTTTGGTAGGATAATCTTGCTTTCTCCGGTAAGTTTGAAATTCCACTTTGCGCCACTAGAGCTGAACATACGTAGGAGTATGTCCTGCATTACTTTCCTAGAAAGCGGCGCTCATATACATTCCGTCAGATATGCTTATTGACCTGCAGCTTGAATACAAACACAGCAGACAGCGCGACAATGTGCAAGTTCAAGTTATGAGACCATGCAGTCCAAAGGTAATCGCTGGGAAGATCTCTTCGACTTATTAAATTCTTCGTTGGAGCCAAGTTGGGGCATGCATTGTGACTCGCAACAGAGGTAGGTAAATAGAATGGAAATGAAATCTATATTTTTCGTATACAGGTGAGAATCCGTTATCAAAATCATGATATATGTCATTACAATAATAGAAAAGAGATCATTTAGGTAGTGAAAAATCCCTTCCATTGCAAAATCCTTCGGTTCAAGGGCAAAGAAGAAAGACGTCGATGACTGCGAGTCTCCGGTATCAAGCGAAGCAATGGAAGGCGACAATCGAATCCCTCAAGCCTTAGATGACGAAGTCGATGCACCAGCTTTGCCCTTCCCACTCGATGAAGGCTCCTGGGAATCGGGCATGCCCCAAGACTTTTCGAGGTCATTGAAGTCAAAGTGAAAATCCGGCATAGGACTCGGTTTCGGTCTTGGTCCCGGAACATACGTCCAGACCTCGTTGGGTTTGTTGTACTCCAACCGATGGCCCACGCCCAAGGCAAACTCGAGCTGTTTGGGATCGGGGAACTTAGGAGACCGAAACATCAGTTCGACCTGCTCTTCCAAAGTTTGAGGCACTATAATATTACCCCTCGCTTCGGAGGAGGGGACGGCAGATTTACCAAACGATGGCAGGTCGTCGGACATCTCGCCATACTGGTTTATAAAATAGCCCTGTGCGACATGAGTGTTGGCGGCATGTTCTGTGGATTGGTTCGCTTCGCGCCCGTTGCCATGATGAACTGCTTCATGGAGGTCGCGGTCCTCGATACGGTTGTAGCGTTCGCTACAGAAGCGACACTTCAGGCGCTAGAATAAAACATTGTATTAGAGATAGAAAACTCATCTGGGTGCGACGACACTCACATTATCTCTTGGAGTCGACATGGCTATTGACGCGGACGGGGAGGAAGAGAACAAGAGAAAACAACGGGAGATGAAAGAGACACCGTTCGAATGGCCTTGGTTATAAACGCTGGCAACGCGTCAAGAATGTGGCGGGTGGTAGTGGGTGAAAGGCTGACACGAGAGCCGCTGCCTTTTATCGTCGCAGTCAAGGAGCGATCGAGAACCAAGACATTACTACTTTACCAATTTGCTATAGCCGCCAACGTGCTAGGACGCATCGAGGAACAATGGAATATTCAGCGGAAGATTGTCATTAAGCGAGTGTAACCCTTGTGAACAAACAAAGTACACGACGGCCTGGCTGGCCGAGAAATCAAACCACATTTCAATTTCCGTACAATGCACGCACAGGAAGAGCGCTTAGACCAAGGAAAGCATGGTAATTAATGTCTAAAGTCACTATACGTTGTCTAGGCTAATTGAATGATAACGATGGCCTCAGCATCCGACTCGGGATACTTGAGGTGAAACATCTATTTGCAGCCGATTGACAGTTACAAACTGGCAAAGACTCGGCCTGTTGGCATTAACATCATATTTTAACACCATTATGCGCCTATATTAATACATAAACAATTTTTATCGATAAATTTCATTCCGTGAATTCAAGACAACGCATGTGAAAAGGTAAACAACAGTAAAATACCGTTTCAAAATAGTCTTCTGAGACAGGGGTCGGACCCGGTCGGTATAAAACCGGTTCGTTGCCAATCTGCGCAAAAATCATCAGAACTCAACAGAGAGTACCGACGACGAGGATCGAACTCGCAACCTTCGCCTTTACCTCGCTCTGTCATTGACATAGATAGGAAAGCGACGCGCTACCATTGCGCTACGACGGCTTATAACAGTTCTGCCAGGAAGAATTATTGTCATCGCTTACATTTCCCGTCTTTGACAGTCCACCTATCTACCAAGCGGCAAGGGCGGCTATCATACGCGACTGATCCAAGGACCAAGACGCCAACTTTCTCTCAGCGTGTGTCTACCCAATAGATGGGGAATGACTCATCAGGAACTTGCTGGAATGAGGCACTAAGGAATTCCCAAGACGAAGACAGATCGAAAGCATGTCCTGTAGTAACTGCTCTTTTGTAGCAAACGATCCTTGCCCTTCCCGCCATCCCGTTTCCGATCTTACTATTTAGTACTGCGAGCGTCGAATATTTCGTCGAAGTACCAAGCACCAAGGCAGTGATATGATCAATCCCTGAAAGAAATACATTAATGATTTCATGGAGCACAGGCTGCACAGGCTGTAATGATAATTTATAATGCATAAAACGCGTCAAAACGAAAATACTACACGATCCAAGGACTCTCCCCGACCGCCAAATGTCTATTCCTCTTGGTGTAAATCATTCTCAAGACCTGTGTACCTATCGCACCAGTGAACAACAATGCTGCATTTGTATAATGCCCCGTAGGGTATCCCGGTGCCTCACTAGGTCTGTATATGAAGATTCCTGAAACCTTTGAGTATACATCCAACAGAATCATCAAAGATGCCTTACCAACGACCTGCCCCACAGTCCCACATGCTGCACTGATCGGAATAGCCAGTGTCGTGGCGTTCGTATCCCTCAAATTTCCAGTAAACCAGACCGATAACGATGGAGAATACATAAACGAGAACATCAATCCTAAGCAGAGTAGAGCATATCGTGCTTTGAACGACGTCGGCGGTAGGACACCTAAGATTGCTTAGCTCCATTTAAAGACACAAAGATCGGGGCATGCCTTGAACGATGAATGTCACACCTGCTAGAGTCATTGATACTACTCCACACTTTGACCACGCCTTATACCTGTCGGAAAGCCACGATGTCGCAACAGTAGCGACGAATGCGGCCGCATATGGTGGTATAGTCAGGAGCTGTGCTTCCTGCCCTTCGTATCCGAGGCCATAGATAATTGTTGGCGCAAATAGTAATATGCTGGAGAGCGGAACCAGTGCAACTATACCCAGCAGGTAGTGCAAATACAACCTCCCATCTTTCAAAGTCAATTTCGCGCCGTCCCACGTTACCTTTGCATATCCCACAGACTTGGACGACTCTTGTTTCATTCGGCGGACGGCAAGAGCACGATCGTCGGGGGAGAGCCATGTTGATGTTTCCGGGTAGGAGGGTAAGAAAAGGTATACGAAGATTGCGAGTAAGCACGATGGTGCGCCCTCGAAGAGGAACAACCATCGCCAGCCTTCAAGACCCCGAACGCCGTTTAGATGACCTACTCCATATGCAATGCATCCACCGAATGCGGCCCCAAGAGGCGATGACGCTACTATTAGCGAAATGCGAAGGGCCCTCTCCTGAAGTCGATACCAGCTACGGAAGATTATTCAGTAAGAGAGGCTAAACTAGATGGATGACTCTACAATGTGAAGAAGTAGATCATGCCAGGAGCAATGCCTGCCAGAACCGGGATAAGCAACATACACCAAGTGAGACTGAAGACGTACCTGCTTCGAACGCACCCAATACAAGACGTAGAACGAGTACTGTGATATAGTTTTGAGAGGCCGCCATGGTCATCAGAGTCGCCCCCCATCCTAGCATGAGAAATGCGAGCCAGTATGGTGGCGAGAAGTATTTGAGCATATAACTTGATGGAATTTGAAACAGCGTATACGACGCCAGAGAAGCGCAGGCTATGGCGAGAAACTGGTTTTCAGTGATATGCAGCACCTGAAGGAGAGAATCGCCAGTCTCTGCATTGAGAACTATGGCATTTCCCTGTAACACGGCTTTTATTCTCAATAGTACGAGGCTTGGTGAGAAGGTACATACAACATTGCCGCTTGCCAGAGAGCTAAGAAGGAGCATCAACGCGAAGCTGGGAATGATTCGAATATCGAGTCGCCTGAGTAATCTAGTCCTGGATCAGCGCGGGTCGCGGCGAAGAATGATACATGACATACCTCTTCTCGGCGACAATATCTACGATTTCCTCCTCAGATATCCTAGCTTCACCGTCCTGCTTGATGGTATGAGTAGCCGACGAAACATGGCTGGCGGCTGGCGGCTGGCGACTGAATGTCATCGTGGGGTGAAGAAGGGAGGAGACTATCCTCTCAAACCGATCCTTCGTCTTTATACCAAGAATTCTTGCCTGCAGCTGTTTGCGTTGACAGTTGTTGGTAATCAAGGTTTGGTCGAATAATGACGCGTGTTGGTCCATATTGACCACCGTGATCGACCGGACGCGTCATCTACTGCCATAAACTCGATCAACGTCTTTTGTGGCGAAATTTAGCGAAATTTCCTGTTCCAACATGCCGAAAAATACCGAACCGCGAAACTCATCGTCAACAGGCCCGATTTGCGTGCATCGTTTTCATGAGTTCCTGCGGGCAATGGTGGGGCCTCAAGCTCACCATCATGCGCATACCGGTAGGATACAAACGGGTTGGGTCAATGATCCGTAGCTGGAGATATTCCTGCCTGCATTCGTACTAGGAGAAGCGGATCTAGAGATATCATACACATCTCAGCCAGAAAGGAGACCCCGGAAACCAGCTGATGTTCGCTTATCAGTCAGAAAGAGGCAGTATCGAAGAAACATACATGCCGACGGCACCAGGGCTGTTTCGGAGAGACCTATACTGAGGGTATAGAACAGACGTCGCCGGCGTTGTGAAAATATATCAAATTAAAAAGGCAATGCCAAATGGTCACGTTCAAGTCACGTTTCCGTGGCTCTATTTCAAATTTGAAAATTCCTTTTGCTTCGAGTCAGGCCGCGACTCTGCGCACCACGGTCACTGTGATGGTGTTGATTCTGCTGAAGGTCACCTCCACGGCACATCTATTCTCGTATGAGTATGTATTTCAGTGACCAGAATACGCTTTGCGTTACGACATGATGCCCTTGAAACTCAGCTTCTGGGACCCTTTGAACGTCGATGCAGGCAGCTACAAAGGCGACTGGTAACGTATAAGACGGCCCAAGATAATCTTTCGCGTTTTCGATAGTTACGAACCACAAAACTGTACAGGTAATGTATTTCTTTTCCTTATCTTCCCGTTATTGACGGACAAGGCAACTTAAAGATAGGGCGATTGCCTTCGACTTGCTTAGATAATCTCTCCGTTATCGGTCTGCATGAAATAAAACACGAGGATCTACAAAGGCCTAGATACAATACAGCTGTCAGGCGAACTTCAGTTTTAATTTAGCTAGTCATGATCGAGAAACTTATCGATGTCACACTACAGCTCGAATGAACTATGCTATACTGAAACTTCTCGGGGAGACGCCTGCGTATTTTCTTGGTGGTTTGGTGATGGAACAGCTTCACCACATAGCCCAAAACATCTGGTATTCGCTTCGGCATAGCTGAAATTCCCAACAACGGTATGCAACAAGCTGACTCTACGTTATAGCCCGCCTTACACCTGCCACTTTTATGAAGGAAAACATTGATAACGAGGACATCCCCTTCTTTTTCACATTTAATATGACCGAACGCCGTGTCTGGTTACTTTTCCGGAGGGACTGATACTAGCTGGATCTATTGTTGCATCGCGTTCATAGGTGTGGGTGCCGCATCTTCGGCGTAGGAACGAGAAAAGAAACCGTCCACATCCTTCAAGCTTGCCTTTTCCTCAGCGCTGTCTATGATCCAGTGTCTATCCCCTATCTTCGCTTTGAGTCTTGGCGTTTTCATCGTGTGGATCAACGGCCGCTGCCATCAGTTAACAGCAGTTGTAGGTACGTGCTGCGCCACATTTTATTCTTTAATCTTCTTCGCTAAACTTGCTAGCGCCCACAGCCATCGCCACGCAACAGCTGCGGCTGTTTCTACTCCCTCGTGCTGATGGGCTTTCGTGATTCTACAGCCCATGAACATCTTCAAATCTCTTACCGAAAATTGGTCATTCGTTATTCTGGCAGGACTACTGAATTCGTTCTTGAAGCTTGAAGAGTTGCTACGGTCAGCGATACATTGGCTGCGAACGTTATAGGTGATCGTGGACCATTTTTCAAATGTCACCCTAACTAGCTCCTGTCCAGGGCACAGCATTTATTTACGCTATCGTCTCTTCAAAGGAAAAAAAAGGGGGGGGCTGTTGCAGAAGTCGACGCCGCCGTATTACCTCTACGCCGCGGCGCTCTTAGAAGCTTCTACGATATACGCGTGAGAACCCCAAAGTTCACTCTTCACATTTGACATTCACAGATGACATATTTTCAAATAAAATGCTGTTCACGATTCATGAATTAGACGCCTGACTTTCAGTCTTAAGGCGCTCGCCTACTTGCTTCTACCGCTACCCACACATCCTCTCATCCCATCTTCATTCTCTATATTCACTTTCTTTCGTTTGTCATGACCAACGATCCTCTGTCTAACATTCTCCCGGCACTTGCTATCAACTCGGTAAATGCTCTCTGTTAAACCCGGTCCAACATTACACTAATGAGATGTCAATACCTAGGCTTTCGTTAACTCAACAGAGACGAGGAATGAATCCTCACCTCCATGGAGGGCAGACGCCAGCTGCCCTGTAGAGGTAACTTGTCCGTGTGGAATGATTTAACATCATTGTAATATAACTGGGCTTTACAGAATATCACACGCGATGTTAATGTGTTACCGTACCCTTGCTGCGGTTCGCATGGGCACAATACGCCGAACGGCATTCCAAGATCCGATACAGCCGCGTACGAATGTGCCAGGATTGCTCAGAAGTACGACGAAGGAGCCTGCAAAGACTGGAAAGAAGAAATCGACACTCTATTAGTATTCGTATGTCTTCCTTTGTCTTTTGTTTGTATCGACGTCCGTAACTGTCTCACACTGCGATTCTATAGGCCGGTCTATTCTCTGCAGTTGCTACTGCATTTCTAATCGATTCCTACAAGTGGCTACTAAACAATACTGCCAGCACGAACTCGGATACAACGTCCTTACCCACTCAGGTCGAGAAAAGAATTAATGTTTATTGGTTCTTAAGTCTCGTCCTTGCGCTTTCCTCAGCATCTACCGGCATGTTATGCAAACAATGGCTTCGGGAGTACATTAGAGATGCAGGTCGTAGCTCAAAGGATGCACTCTGTGTACGACAAATGCGACTGGAAGGATTATCGGCGTGGAAAGTGGATGGAATCATCTCGACTATTCCCCTTCTTCTCCAGGTCGCTCTTGTACTATTCTTCATCGGTATGCTGGAGCTTCTATGGCCTCTGGAGAAGACCGTGGCGATTCCGTTCACTGTTATCACTGCAGTCATGATTGCCTTCATCCTCTTCACCACTCTGGCTCCCTCCACACAATACTGCTCAGTGGTTTTACGCCGCTCTCTTGCTCCTTTACCCCCGCAATGTCCATATAAATCCCCACAGGCTTGGTTCCTCGTCAGCATATTCAACCGAATTTTCTGCTGGTTGACCTCTGTTCGACGGAAAATATTTCATCGTCACAGTACATTTTCACGCGTTGACCTGCTTGGACCAAAACTGGCCAAGCACTGTTCTTCGTGGTCGAAATACGACCTATATTGGGTGAAAGACAATGCTGATACAGATGCATCAGTCATAGCCGGGCCGACAGTTGAACATTATCTTGGCCGTAGCATTTCTTGGTTAATGCGTCATTTCGATTCCCCAAATTTGCAGACCTCGTTATATCATCTCTTTTGGAACTCGATCCAAAATTATGATCAGCGCACCCACGTCTTTCTTGCGTTAGCAAAGAATCATATTCCAGAGCTTTTTCGTGGGAGAAATATTCGCACCAAGAGTAGTAACCTTGAACTAATCGCTTCCCTAGCCGAGGAAAAGAGCGATGAGGTGCTTTTCGAGGCTATGGAAGAGCTCGAAGATCGGTTTCGCGTATCCACACTAGCCGACCAAGTTCTCCTTCGAGCTTATCGCGAATGGTCTGCATGCTCATGGGACACCCACTACAAATCTCGATGCAATGCAGATTTCTCGGCGGTAGCCTTGCTTTATCTATCGGGACAGGTTGGTCTCAGTGGCTTGCAGCACTGTCTACGGCTCATCAAGTCGCATCTTACACACCCTGATGTCAACAATTACAATTTCGTTATACCGCCTGGCGTCCATGCCCCATTCAACGCTCATATCATTGCAGTGACATCAGATGTAGAGTGTTTACATGCACCTGGTTAGTGAATTGTTCTTCGTTCGGCGACAGTATATTAAATTCATTCACAGAAACGGGACTCGAAGGAGACCTATGTGATTGCGCCAAGTTACTTCTCAACAAGGATTATCTCCCTGTTACCCCAGAGGCGTTCGCTATTAAAGGAAAGCTTCGAGAGCTACAAAGGAATAGAACGGATGGCACCTCATCTGAGGCACCTGATAATCAACGAAACCCGATAAAACCACTGCTGGTTGAAGCCCTTTGGATGGCCAAATGGGCAACAACGCATATCCCCGGGTTGTCCCCAGATACCTTGCCATATCTTCCTCAGATCCTGCATTTTCTATTAAAGAGGGCCTCTACCCTCCAAACTCGCAGCCAATATGTTTGTACGCTCATGACGGATATGGACAGATACTTGAAGGAACTTCACTCCTCGAAGATGCCTGTTATGGTGCGACGAGACCATATTCGGGCATTTATAAACCTCGCAATCCAAGAGTTCCATGAACATCTGATCACTGAATCCGCTAATGCTCACCATCTCGATTTACATTCATATCCAGAGATCCTGGCTTTCATACAGCATCTACGCAATTTAGCTGCATTGTTGAACGTGCCCGAGGAACGTGCCCAATGGCGGAATATTCTAAAACAATGCGGCTTAGAGGATTCACCTTCTGATTCCGTTCTCTTGGAAGAAGTCGCGTCAATTCCATTGCCTCCCGAGGATCTTGAGACTAACGTAGATCCATCGGCACTTGCTGCACAGCTTTGTATTCACGGCGTAAACATCCCACACCTACTTGGCGAATTTCAACTGAACACAGCTGTTGAAAATATGGCCTCTGAGGACTCACAGCCCGGTTCTCGACGAGGATTGAATCGAAGCTTCCGTCACGTTCTCCGTCGTAGAAATAGAGAGAACGATGTCGAAAATGGTACTGGGGTAGACTCCATTGGCCTCGAGGCCATTCCTAATGCGACGGTGGCTCCAGTTGATCAAAGCGGGTAGTAGCGCTTTGGTAAACGCACGGCAACCATCGTTGAAATTCGAGAATCGTTGTGGTGCTATTGACTCATTCCTACTATCTCCCTAGATTTCTCACGTTTGCATTTTGCGTTTCGATTTTTGTGCTACAATCAGTAGCAGTGATTGATGATACTTATGTTCGTGATATACTTGATACTTATACAGCTTGGAGCTGGTATGTGTCTGTCGAGTGGTTGTTCTTGCATCTAGGAATACTAATAGGTTGCTCAATGACGGAAGAACTTCTTAACAAATGACGACATGATGAGAAAAATAAACACGAACATGCCCCTTTTTCCACGTTTGGGGTTACTGTTTCATGATTTCCCTGTGTTATTCTCAAAGCTTACGAGTTTGACGGAGTGATACTGAGAGAATCTTCCACCAAAGATCCTTACGTGCGAGTGAAGTCCCGAAGAAAGTTTCCTGTTTCAGAATTCAATTACTCCCAGGTCTATGCTGGTTCGCCAGTGGCCTTCTCGTTCTCGACAGGTCAATTCCTCTCCGCGGTGGAATTCTTCGGCAGGACAGGAGAATACTGGAGCTAGGCCACCCCGAAAAACCTTCCCCCACGAAACCTCTACCCAATACATCAACGATGGTGCTTGTATCGTGGTTATAGTGTACAAAAATTATCTGCATACAGGTACTACAGGAGGTCAGCTAAAACAGGTACCTGTTTGACACGCACCTAGTAGTTTCTCCATCTCCGATTACTTTCATACATCCTTATAGGTGCACCTGCATCTACTAGTACTTGTTGCTGTACTGTAACCGGCTGTTCGCAAGTACTTTTTCAGAACGTTCGTGTTGGGCCCGCAAAGATCCGGGCATTGCGAGACGCTGAACCTGCCGCTGATGGTGCATTCACACCAAGCCTCGAGCTTGTACGGATAATATAAGTCCATGCCAATGCAGTAACAGCATCGGAATATATATAATAATCAATGAATAGACAAGAACATTTTAGCAAAATAGAAAAGAACTCTAAAAACCTCGGAATTTCGCTTCCAGTTGACTTCCAGTACAAAGCAGACCCAAAATCGAGGTATGGTTACAGTCACAGAATTCTACATGGAATCTCGGTGCGAAAAATCCACAGCAGGAGCTGCATTTTCTGGGATCATTGCAGCAAGAGCCAAGGCGGTTGATAGCAATATGTTGCAGCATTATAACATGCAAATCAATGGAGGAGCTTCAATAAAGGGAGGAGGGAAAGCGGAGAGGTAAGAACGAAAATTTCAAGATTTTTGCGAGCGGGCTGGAAATATGTGCAAACAATGATGTGCCCGCAGCCGCAGATAACGCAAGAGGAGTATGTCATCAAGTGGTAGTGTCCATCGGGATCTGTAAAGTACTTGCGAATTTGAAGTAGTGGCGGATTGCTAAGTGGTTGAAAATTGAGAGAGACGCTAGGAAACCACTTGACGGTGAACAAGTGTCTGCGTGGAAAGTAGTGCTGGGAACCATCAAAAGTAGTGGTATCCTCACTACAGAACGAAAGAATTTTTGTACAGTATAACACCCATATGCTTGCTTGCCCATTCCATTTAATGTCCATGGGTTGGCTTTTGTCCGACTAGCACGTAGGTCACTCTCTGGTCCATCTTTCTACCCAAAGCCATTCCCCGATGTTTCTCAGCTCGATCCACCTCAGTGGTCGAACGAGAAAAGCAACTGTTATTGAACCCACTACCACATCCTGAGCCACTTGCTTAATTGAAACCGAAACCCACTTCCTTACCTGAGAAACTCCTCACGTGGATTCCGGGAGTAGTAGAACACCTATTGATGGCATCGTTGCACGGCAAGCGCCACCTGGAGTGATTGCGCATTTCATCGAGAGCATTCTGACCATTCGCGAAAGAGGGAAAGAAAATATTTTGACATATGCAGAGAGGCTCAAAAAACAGCGAGAGTCTTCTCATCGGGACGTTGATATATTTTCGACATTCATACATTATTGGCCCTTCAAAGAATTGGTAGTTTGTTGTTGCAGAAGAGTCGTTCGTCCATCAGAATTTAAGGGAAGCACCAGCATCATACATTTAGAAACGTATCGTCTGAAAATTCTAATTTGATTCCAAGGCTAGCGCAACAATAATAGCATCAGGAAAAGAGGCCGAACTTCTGAGGCGGACTGATTTCGGTCGACATTTACAAGCGTTATGTAGCGCCGGGGCGGAGCTTAGTCGACATCTTCGATTCATACCCGCCGGGGTGGTTATATAGTGGTACTAATCGATTGCTAAAGGACCCTGTTAGAACCCTCATACTAACAGCTGTCCGATTCATCAACTTCCTACTTCCGGCAAGTGCCTGACACCGTTAGGTCGCCGTGTCTTCTAAATCCAAAACACGCTGAGAATTCGACGATCCGGTGATCATTATCCAGCCGGCAACGAAGGGTTGTTATAGCCCTTGCAAATCATTTCGGTGCCGTTTAATGCCTTAGTGAAGAGGGTACTGAAGGAGCGAAGCGGAATCCTGATGCGTAAGTCCATGAGCTACCGTTTGTTATGCGCTACAAAAAAAATAGAAGATACATATACAAGAATAGTGGGTACATATAATACTTACATCTTTAACGGATTGACGAATACACGGAGCGTTGCAGGCCATAAGAAACCTATACGTACAATGAAGAGAAAGAATATCCGTCGTACAAAAAAAGCCACGCCACGGCGGCAGAAACTGCAAGTAAGTAATAAAAGAAAAGATGTTTGCTCGTAAAGAAAATCTTTTGCCAGGTACACGGGCGAGATAGCGTCCAAGAGAAAGAGAATTAAAAAGTCCAAAATGAAGCTTAAGAGTCCATAATCACAAGAAATGTTTTCACATAGCAAAGTTCACATCATGCCCCAAAGATGGTGCATTCTTCCTCGGAGGACGCTTATGTTGCCCGCGTCTCGACTCCGCAGGGTACTCGCATTTGAGCTGTCTTCTAGCGCACTGACTACAAACAAAATGTCAATCAGTAAGCATTAGGGCGTAGTATCCTTTATACCTACTTGCACGTCATATCCGCGCTGCCCTCCATAGGCCTTCCACAGGCGATCTTTCGCCCTCTGCAGAAGAAACAGGCCAGGTTGCTGGACTTGTTCGGCGGACCACTGTTACTGCCTGTGCTTCCCTTCCGGCTGAGATTCATCGCTGGAGGGGACGGAGAGTCACCGTTCGTGCTGGGCGACCACCCCATGGGACCGGCCCTTTGCTCGATTTGGCTGGAGTATGACGAACCTACCATATTCTGCGCGTCGGTATTGAAAAAACGGTGCACAGAGGTGGGAAAGGACGGGATAGGTGAGGCGATCGCTTCAGAGAAAGAATCGGTGTAGTTAAAGTGCAGATGATTCGGAACGGGATGGAGCTGGTGCTGCTGGGGGGAATTGTTGTACTAATTTCACGTCAGCTCGAGGAGATGCGAAAGGAGAATCATGGCTTACTTGGGACGACCGGCCAGTTGGATCCGCAAGGCCAAAGGTACTCGACACCCCATAAGAAGAGTATTCATCGAGCAGGGTCGGTGCCGGTATGATATTGTGATTCTGCCAGGATCCGCGTTCATTGTCGTCACAATGAGAAACGTAATTTCCGCCAATTGAGTATTCTGTATGCGATGAAAGACCAGAGAATCCAGCCGCAGATGTTGCAGTCAAGGGAGTATGGGAGTAAAACTGGGAGCTCTACGAAACTGTTGTGAAAAACGGTTCATGTTAAGGACCTAAAAACGTACTGTCGTCTGCTGCAATGGTCTCCGCGTAAACGGTGTCGTACTGCAGTCGAAAGTCGTGCTCAACGGAGGCGGCGCGCCAATATACGCGCTTTGCTGGGTGGAAGTCACGCCAGTAACCCTACCTAGCATTGAGAGCGGTTCTACATCATAACCGAGCCCGTAGCCTCCCTGTGTGATATTTTCTGGTGGTGGAAGCCAATAGGATGATCCATCGTCGAGGAAAGTGGGTAAGGGCGTGAGTGACTTGCTTTTTTGGCGCGTGGGTGAGCGCGAGGGCAGGCTTAGGCTAGGCTCAATAGTCAACGGGACGGTCGTATGCAGCGCCATGGAACGGAAACAGTGCTTGAGATGAAGAAGGTGGTGGTAGGAAGGAGAGAAAAAATAGCGAAGCAACGAGGGCCTAGTATGGCTCATGAGTCGGATTCGGAAATAAAATTGACGAGAGGCTACGACCCGGCTTCGTTGTGCTTCTGTTGACAGCCTCAAGGTAGTAGGCACTGCCACGTGGTTCGAAGGTAATTCAATGTACCGAGCTGATACAGGACCAATGACGGTAAACAAGCAATGGTCGCCGTCGTTAAGCCATCGTTTTCCCCTACGACCTTGTATTTTCTGGCGAGAACAGATAACAAACGCGATGGAAGAACGCGTTTGAGATTTGAATAGAGTCGACAAAGTTCGTATCCAGGCATCACTAGGTGTGATGGTATGAACTTCGTACCATCACTGTCCCTCTGAACTGAGGCCGGAAGGATACCGAATGTAGACAAAACATGAAATGCAGGGGAACACTTTGGTTCTATTGGCTTGTCTTCGTTGAGAGATCTTCAAGAAAGGTAAAAATAAAAAATTGCCCCTCGTCCTAACGCAACGATCAAAGCGTCAGAGTCAAAAATCAGGACGTCAGCTCCTCAGGGAAATCCATATCCTACTATGTCTCTTAGCCTGTTCCATTCAATTAAGCACAACGTAATAGTCATCGTACGCACCACATTTAGATCTCTACCGTTTGAATTCAGGACATAGATGGTAGAAAGCCGGGTAGTGATCTACTGTCCCAATCTGATCTTGATGGGCATCCAAATTCTCCACACCGACCCCGAAGGAATTCCCTTCGGCCACGTAAAAGCTAAGGCCACGTTTTGAGGTTATGGGGGTGCTCAGTGCGATTTATTTGCTTCATTCCACACAGGTCTGTTTATATCCCCAGAAAAAAACTCAAAGCCTGATCTCGAGCCGCCCGAAGAGAACATTCACTAAAATAGAGGGAAGAAATCATCAAGACAGGTATCGCGCCAGTCTAAGTGGAGGAAACGTCAATGTCACTGGGCCGTAGGTAATCAAGAAGCTCGGCTGAAGAATTTGGGTATTGAATGGTAATTGAACCATGACTGACTCGGAGTCATCAAGTTGGCGCCGTCATCGGCTTCGGGCTTATCGGATTCTCAGTGTCACGTGCATCTCGACGCGTCTACCTGTCGGCCGTCCTGGTCCGTGAACTGGATTGGGGTACTAAGTAGCACTACGGTAAAAAAAAAAACGGCAAGAAGAACATGCAAGGATATTCGCGCTTACACTGGCATTCCCCCCCCCAGAAAACACGAGTCTATTTCCATTGCCGAACATTTACTATGACCGCGACTGCAAAATGAGTTACGAGATTCATGCAGTTCAGCCCTCTTCGTGTTATCTACGGGCACATATCAGCACACCGATATATTCGTGGTATATCAGGATGGAGATCAGCCTTCTGATCCGAAAATAGCAACAGATTTTCAAATCCTACGACCGGATCCGTCACCGTTCAGGCTCAACTATAACCGCTATATATAACTTTCATCGAATGAGAATACATCACACAAGAAACAAGCCGCATGATTCACGACTGCATCCAAGATACACCCTTTGAGAATATATAATGTTACGTCTCAGAGCTGCTCAGGTACAGAACGTTCGGAGAGAAGATGGTAGGCCTCTACTCAAAGCAGTGAAACGATAGAATAGAAATATAACCACTTCTGCGGCAAAACGAAACGAAAAAAAGGCTCCGTATCCCGGAACCGCAGAAACTTCAGAACGAAGGCCATCAAACAGAATACGCAGGAGGAGGTACCATCACGTCTTCCAAAACAACCCTGCGCTGCAGATTCTTCTCGCGCATATACATATCAAGTGTGGTTCCCTCACTCTCTTCATCGGGATTCGCGACAAAAAAGGGAGTGGTGGGACGAGAGACGGCGTTGGTTGGGGGTAGCTCCCCATACAAGATTGGCACCGAATTTGACTGTGGAGATACCCGGTCATGGAGACAAAGCCTGCGCCTGCGGCAGATCAGACAAGTGCCGATGCATCCAAGCGTAACCAGTACACTGAAGGAAACCCCCAGTCCGATGGCCAGAGCGCTGATGCCGCCACTAGTGTTATTAGCCGAACCTGCGGCAGCTGTACTCGCAGAGGCGGAAGCAGAAGCAGAGGAAGCCGGATCGACCAGACTACTAGACCCATCAACTAGCACAGTCGAACTCCCTGAACCCGCAGTGTTGCCGGTATCATTCTCATGATCATTGACTGTATATCTATAGCCATCATCAGCTCCAGATACGAACAAAGAGAACCGACTCACATAAACCCATCTAGAACAACCCACTGTCCTGCAGCAGTCATCGATACGACAACCTCGTGTGTCTTGTTATCCAGTCCAGTCCTAGACCAGTGAACGGCATTCCGTTCCGATTCTGGTCCCCCATTTGTCGGTGCAGCCTCAGGATCTGTGAGATTCACGAACATCGTATCTTCACCGTCGAGGGTGAGGGTCGAGTTCACCAAGTACGGCCATCGAGGAGAGAGGAAGTACACCACAATAACTGATAGAAGAATTATGGCGTCAAGAAAAAAATCCTTGTAGCGCAGAGCACAGTAGATTACCGGTGAAGCTGAGCGTAGCCGACGCAGAGGGATCGCTACTCAGCGCGTGGCTACCGTTGAAATCCAACGTAGAGATGTGACTATTGCTCGCATCCCAGTTGCCAGCGCATACAATCATGGGATCTGTGTCATCGACAGTGACATTACGGGGAGCGCCGTGGGATCTGAGAACCAAGGACGACAGGGTGATGAACAAGAATAGCGAGTGCATGAGAACACGCAAAACAAGAAAACGAAGGAGGCAACGAAGGGCGAATGATCAAACGCAGAATGAACTTGATCTTTGAAGGTATAGGCAGTCCGCAGATCGATTTGGTATTGGTGTGTTTCCGTGGGTCCAGAAGAACACCCTTGATGGGCGTAGTGAAGATCCTTGTATTCCATGAGAATGACAAGGTAGGACGGCTTAAAGTTGCCGCTAACTCGGGGTCCGGAAATTGGTCTTCGTCAGAAGAGCAAGGGTCAAGCATTAGGCGCTGGAACTTGAAACGAGATATCTAGGTCCAATCAGTGTCGGGTATGACTTCGATCATGATAGTCAAGATAGTAACTTAGCATGTGTTCATAACTTCTCGCGGTTCTGAACCATACGATTGAAGAGCCGTTCCTCAGAGTAATGTGGATCCAGTTCAACGTTTACGAAAGAAGATACAGTATTCAGCAGAGCCTAGAGGCAAATGGACGGATCGCATGCGCTATCACCGCTGCACCTCCACGACTGTCGTCCGAGATTTGTGGTCAATCAATCGTATAGGAATCATCAGCGACTGGGATCGCTCTCGCACAACACTGTGATGCCGGGGTTAGCTGCCCAGTCATGAGGGAACGGATATAGGATACCTCTGCTAGGTGCGTCTTGTCTAGAGATGAGGGCTGAAAAAAATCACCCTTTTCCATAACGATGGTGGTTCGAGCGCTGCCTTGGAGAGCCGGTACCTCGTTGATAGCTGAGAGGATCTTTCTGTGGGCGTTCGATGCGATCGAACGGACTAAGAGCGATCCTTGAGGGAAAATCATCATTCATCGACAGTCCGCGCTTTCTATTCAGGGTGCGTGATCGTTTTGGTGGTCGTGCCCATCTGGAAGACACCAGGAGAAACGTGGCAAAGGCGCGCTACGAAATCTGTTCTGACGTGCTGGCTGGAGCCAAAGAGTTAAAGGTTTTTGTATATTCTTGTCAGGATTGAGTCAGAATGCATAATCCACGCCACAAGCTAGAAGAATGTCTGTCGACAACCTAAATGTAGTCCAAAAGCGCCACCGTTATCCGCATGGAGCGGGAAAGTCGACTCACATAACAGTCGCGCCAGGAGCAGCTCATCTTCAACAGCCTTCATTACCGACGAAGCCGAAAACCGGAGTACAAATGGTTCCGAATATCATAGAGTACGCGCCTGGTATCTTTGAACTCCTCGCCATCCCGTAAATCGGACGAGGCACGAGTGTAAATGAAGCCTGAAAATTTTCGGCTATAGAAACAGTAACAAAATCAGACCCAATAGAGGTTCACCATTTTAAGTACTCCAAGAAAAGCTGTAAAGGAGAACAGTCCGCCCTATGCTGGAGATGGTTTTTAGTCACATTGGTCCAGGCCAAGGGTTCAGATGTCACATGTGTCACTAGCATTGTCCATTATACGGATCAACAGAGTGTGTGTTTGGCGGTCGTCCGAGGCACCACGACACAATGGCAGCAGTTGGGAGAAATGTCAAAGACGGGATGGATTAGTGTCACGGAATTCATACACCATAGGGGCACAGATTAATTAAATGGACCACATTGTCATGCCGTCGTAGCGCAATGGTAGCGCGTCGCTTTCCTACATCGCATTGATTGAATTGTGTTAGGCGAAGGTTGCGAGTTCGATCCTCGTCGTCGGTATTTTTTGCCGTATCTTCGTCACTTGGTCGATTAATTAATAGTAAAACTGTAATACTCCCACAATTCTCCTCGAACAAAAACATACATTATTGCAACGTTGTCTCTGTGCCGTTTTGCGGCCACATTGCGACACCCGTGCTCTTTTGGCCTTTGGGTCCCAGAGCGAGACTTTTTGGGTTTTGTCATTGAAACCGCGGATTTTGGAAACAATTCAAAACGGCGTCGATCACTGGCTGTTAGGTCCATTCTCTTGAGGATGCCCGTCGCCATAGGAAAGGTCTCCCTCGATATGTACAATAGGCCACCACTTACATGAGCCACTTTCCGACAATAAGCAAGTTGCACAGGGATAGTAATCGCAATGGTTTTACTCCTGGTTGCCTTTTGGCTTTGGCAAAGACATGTCCCGTCGAGCTTTGACCAGATCTGTACGCAAGGAGCCATCAAAGACAATGTCCCCATAACCAGTAACTCACCTTTCGCCAACCCTTATAAGAGGCTTGCAAGAAGCTTGACACGGCCATCCCGTACGGCCTTCCCACTTCATCCTCTTCCATAATACTTTCTCTCGCCATTTTTCCTCTTTATCTGTTGCTATGTCGCACCAAACAACCTCGGAGTCGACTAACAATGACTCCAAGACTTCTGTGAGTTTCAGTACGATTACCTTAGTGGCATTCGGATCTATCACTGATACAATTCATGCAGCGCGTGGGGTGCCAGTTCTGTGACAAGACCTACTCCTGCAACGAAGGCCGCAACCGTCATGAACGTACTGTACATAGCATTGAGTACGTGATTACTATTTGATTCAAGTCGTTCAGCCATTGACTGGATACGTAGACTCGCCAATGTTGAAGCATACACCCACCCACGGTGAGCCTTGCATTCCCGACTCGATACGATCATCTTCATTCTGACTTATCCTATGATCCCAATCAGCACCGGCATCAAGTACTTCAAATGCACAACGCCAGGGTGCCCCTTCATGGCCAGAAACATGCTTACCGTCTGGGATCATCGCAAGTCCTGTGGCGAAGTCCCGAATGACCAACGACCAGAAGAAATCCCCACCCAAGCCGAAACCACTACTGCCGATGACGACCTAGCCTTGGGCCAGAAACTCTTCCCATTCCTGTTCGACGGGCAGACTGCTCTATCTCAATCAACCAATATCCCTTTCGCAGACAGCAACTCTTCGTGGGACAATTTCAGTTTCCCACCTAACTCATGGCAAGCGTATCCCCCCGCTAGACTGGCTGAATATTCTGGATACGCCACGGAGTCCGGGCAGCTACCATTCGATTCTTTGCTGAATACAGGGAGGCAGAGTATGGAAGAAATGTTGTTCACTTTGAGTCATACTGGACAAAACGCCGTCCCTCTTGACCTCCAGGTCCAGGGAGCCAGTTCAAGCTCGAATGGAAGAATTGCCGCGACCCCTTCATCATCCTCGGATATTTCATTCTCCTTCGCTTCCTTCGACATCGACGAATCGCATTCGTCTACATCAGCGACGAATTTTGCACGAAATGGCGACTTTGATATGAGGGTGTAACATCTATTCCTCTATTTCGCCGGACTTTGTATAATTGTTGGCTCTGTAACTCATAGTAACACGTTAGTATGTCCCGTCACCCGTCATTTAAGGCCTAAAGCATTAGAACGTCCCAATTGAGGAGAAATGGAACTTTAGGTATGCTGCTTCAATCGTTTGTTTGCTCCCAATCGTCAATTGCATAATCAGCAATCAGCGAACTGTCTGACTAATTAGTGCATTAGTACATGATTGACGTCAAATAAGTAGCTTCTCAGGAATCACTCACACTGCGCTTTTGGAGATGTGTACCGATGCTACGGTCCATTCAGCTCTTAAATACGTCGTCTTGCTATCGGAGTCGTAAACACCGCGACTACAGCGATGGCTGAACTTTAATGGAGCGAACTGGAGGAGAAACTATGATGAGGAGAGATGCGATGCTACAGAACCCAATTCAAATTTGGACTATGTAGATGGCCGTAAGAGATATAGGCAAATCCAACGTTCAAGCTGGCGGTACTGCTTACTTCCAGTCGAAATTGGAAAAAAAGACTGACGCGTTGTATCACGTGCTACACGTGTTATTTAGGGGCGGCTCACTCAACCGAGTCAACTCTCTTGCTCACTCGTGTTCATCATGCATGCCCGTCCACCGACAGTGCAAGTGAAAATGCAGGCAATCAGTAAGGAACTACACACCGACTCTCATCCCATATTCTAATGATCGTCCCCAGTTGTTACTTGGCAGCCTTCAGGGATAAAAACAGATTGAACCCTCTTTCCCCGCTCGTATGATACAGTGCACATGTCGCTTTCTCCGGATGATTTGAATCTGATGCGCCGTGAATTCATAGCTCGCTAAACTGGTTTTTTCCCGCTCTCCGCTCTAGCCTCTATCTTAAGATCCCCTTGGCGTCGATCCAACGTTGTAGCTTCGACACTCGTAAATTCCTTTTTTAATTTTGGGGAAAACGAGAACAAAAACTTGATTTGATGAATCCCCTATTGTATATTTTCATCTCTCCCTTCTGATATTTCTAATTGGCATATAGGGAGTACGGGAACGCGACGAGATATCGAGGGACTGATGCTCAAATTCAGAGCTCATGCACAACATTACTGATATGACCCGGTAGGACCGAAGAGGCAAAGATCCGTGTACCAGTGTTATCACCATCAAGATCCGTTCAATGAAGGTGTGCTTGTCCAATGATAACCTTGTTTGACACTAATTCATATACCAGGTCCCAGGACCTACAGACTCAGGCGCCTTTCTAACTTTACTTGAAGTCAACTGCGTATATATAGTGTGAGTGAAACCTCTGAACATACGAAAGATCAACCCTTACCATGATATTGTCTCGTTTACAGCCTGCTTCCGATCACGATCCTTCCGATGCTTCTCCACCCCTTCAGATGACAAGCAGCAAGAGGAATCGGGAGTCGCTATAGATGGTAAAATGGAGAAGAAGTACGTCCTTCATACTTGCCCAGAATTTTTCTGAACAATTCCAAATGCTGCGGCCTACCAGATTACTCAGGCGGCTTGACTTCCGTATCATGCCTATGTTAATGCTGGTGTACCTGTTCGACTATTCCGCCCGAGCGAACATTGTAAGCATGTTCATCATGAATTCGACTAAGATACTCGTGCTTACAATAGGGAAACGCCAAAATCCTGAACGCCGATACAGGCGATTCCCTTGTCCAGGTTCTCCATATCACAGATCACCAGTTTGCTGTCGTTCTGATGGTTTTTGTCGTCCCATTTGTGCTGTTCGAAACTCCATCAAACTATCTGCTCAAATATTTCTCTCCGCCGCGTTGGCTTGCGTTTATCATTCTCGGTTGGGGAGTGACGGATATGGTGATGGCCGCGTCTCGGAGCTACGGCGCATTGCTTGGGTTGCGGATCTTGCTTGGGACATTCGAAGCAGGTCCGTTGGACATCTTGTAGCGTCAATCAGATACTGATAAACTTGCACTAGGCTTTGCCCCGGGAATGGTCTATTTCCTTACTTTGTATGTCCTTACGTCTCGGGATGATCTCCTGATTGCTTTCTTACTTTTAAAAGCTGGTACAGGCTTCAAGAGCGTGCCCTTCGATTATCGTTCATAATAGCAACTGCACCTCTCGGCGGCGCATTCAGTGGGAGTATCGCATATGGTATCGGATTTGTTAATGGGACTCGAGGTCTGGAAGCCTGGCGGTGGTTATTCATTATTGAAGGTGCACCGTCATGCTGCCTCGCAGTGATCGTATACTTCTTCTTCCCCTCCTACCCGGAACGGGCAAGCTGGCTATCCTCCGACGATCGAATGATCGCCATCTCTAGGATGAAGCAGGAGACGTCCAAGTCAATGGAAAGTGAAAGGATAAATTGGGACAGTACTAAGCGTGCCCTGCTAGATTGGAGGCTCTATCTGCATCACTTGGTGTTCTTCGCCTTGTCAGTGCCGTTGGCGAGTACATCGTTATTCCTACCGACGATAGTTAGTGAGCTGGGTTATGATGGCCAGAATGCCCAGCTGTTCACTGTACCACCTTTTGCCATCGTATTCGTGGCTACTTGCGATATCGTGCATGGCGGATAGATATCGACTATGGTCCATGTGTGTACTGGTGTTCATGGTTCTGGCCGGGGTTACTTTCATCATCAGTGGTATGTCTTGATATTGTAGCCGGTGAAACATTGGATTATGAGGTTCCTAGGTTCGCTACCGCCGACTTCCTTCAAAGCGCTATGCAATGCTCTCCTTAGGAACAACGTTTATCTTTGCGTGTACTCCGTCGCTTATTGCATGGTTTACCGGCAACATGTAGGATACCAACGCGGCAACTTTGGCTATTCCGATGAATATGGCTATCGGCGCGCTAGGTCAGATAGTTGGTATAGTGCCCTTCTCTCTCCTTTTGGGTTTATATGCACCTTTTACAGGTTTCTTTATATACAAGTCCAAGGAAGCTCCAGGATACCCAACTGGGCATTTTACAAATGGGGCGTTACTTTTGGCAGGCGCGTCAGGTGTAGGGATGCTGAGAGCTATTTACCAGAGGAGAAACAAGGGTTCCGGCGTTGGGCAGAGTATTTGGCATGTTTAACATGTGTAGAGGATAACACAAATTTAGACTTTTCCTGTCGACCCCCTGTTTGTGCAGAGTGGTTCTGCCGATTTCTATTCCTATCGAAAACTGCAAAAATGACTATAAATGAGGAGATATCTTCCAAAATAGAGAAAGATTTGCCAGATATTCGTCCAAAATTCTTATCGGCGCACTCCAGAAAGCCGGCCCGGAAGACCCTTGTCCGCGTTAGCATATTTTAGCCCTAAATTGTTGCATATTTGAGGGCCAAAATTGGCTATTTTGCCGGACAAACCTTGGCGTGAGTTTCCCGGGGCCTAGCTGAGCATGAGTGCTCACCCAAAGCATCATCTCCACTTCCTAGATGGCGTGCACCGAAGGCAGGTTAATTGATGCTGATGCAGACTATATTGCTCACTCTGCACTCGGTTCTCCTCAAGGAAAGTACCCTCTCTTCCATGAATCCATGATACGCCGCGTGAAAGACCCCTGGTCAAATTTGAGCAGACGGATGCTTTCATTATTCTCCGCATTTAACAGTCAGACCACCGAGGCCTTTAATATCGTCGAGTCAATATGGAGTCCAGGTATGATGTCTTTCCTTCTGTCAAAAGCTGATATCTTATTACAAATGATAGATACCTTGCCCTTTGTTTCTCTCTTTACCCCATGCGGTTGGAGGCTGTTCAATTTCGACATCCAGAATAGTCCTCAACCTAATCGACCTTGGGACCCCTGTGGAGCTCTGTACGGAAGTAGTCCCTGCGCTCGCCGAGACCAGAGTTTCCTTTTCTCGCGAAAAAAAACACCCTGTATTCAACTTCTCACTGAATAGATACAGAACCAGTCCTGCCGTTATTACAATAACTAGAGCCAGGCAGGACCCCTCCTCGTCGCTGAGCAAGCCCTAGTCGTGTACAGATTATTCTTGTATTACGTTTACCACTGCTTTTGTTTGTCGGCGTGACAGGACATGTGCAATTCACACTATCCACGGACTTTGTCCGACACCTAGCTCTAGATTCCTCCTCTTATAGATGACCCTTAAGATTCCGACACCTAATGCACCTACTAGCAATGCTGCCCCATTCGTAAAATGTCCGGTCGGATAGCCAGGAGCTTCACTAGACTTGTATATGAATATTCCTACAGAATAAGCATTCAGCTACGAGAACAAAACGCAAGACAAGACTGACCTATCATCTGGCCCGCCGCCCCAAAAGCCACATTCACAGGAATTGCCAGTGTCGTCGCATTCGTATCCCGTAGATTGCCAGTAAGCCATGCCAGTAGGGAGGGGTTGCCAGCGTAGGAGAACATCGTTCCCAGGCAGAGCATCGCATACCGCGCCTTGAATGAAGTTGGTGGAAGCGAACCTGCAAACACGCATGCCTCAGCGCGATCTAGAACCCCGTTGATAAAAGGCTTACCGTGAATGATAAATGTCATTCCTGCTAGAACCATCGAGACCATCGCACACATCGACCAGGTCCGATAACGATCTGCCACCAAGGACACCACTACAGTAGCCACGAATGTCACAGCAAAGGGCGGTACCGTGAATAATTGAGCGTTGAGCCCTCTATACCCCAGTCCGTCGACAATTGTAGGTGTAAATAACGATATACTCGAGAACGGGATCGATACCGAGATAAACACCACATAATGCAAGTATAATCGCCAATCTTTCACCGTAGATTTGGCCCCATCCCATGTAATCCTGGCATACCCCAGAGACGTGGACTTCTCTTGGTTCAGCCGCTGGACGGCGAGAACACGGTCGTCTGGTGACAGCCAGGCCGCTTTCTCAGGGTAGGAGGGAAAGAAGAAATACACGAGTATTGCGAGGAGACATGACGGCGCGCCTTCGATGATGAACAGCCATCGCCAAGCTTGTAGGCCTCTGACTCCGTTCATAAACCCTACTCCGTACGCGATGCTACCGCCGAATGCGCCTCCGAGTGGCGCACCTGCGATGACATATGATAAACGGAGCGCGCGTTCTTGGAGTCGATACCAGCTGCATGAGCATGGAATAAAGTTGAGTAGGAGGAGGAAGGCCGCGGAACATACAATGTGAGGAAGTATATCATTCCGGGGAAGAAACCTAGATAACTCTATGAGAGAAGCTTGGAGTAGAAAGGCTCCCATCGTACCTGCCTCGAAGGTGCCCAGCAAGAACCGAAGACCAAGCAGTGTGCTGTAATTCCGAGATGCGGCTATAATCGTATTGGTTGCCCCCCACCCGAGCAAGAGAAAGGCGAACCAATGTGGCGCAGAGAAGTATTTGAGCATATAATTCGATGGGGTCTCGAACATCGCTAATGGGACGATGAACATTGCCAATACTACGAGGAATTGTTGATCTGTCATATGTAGAGCCTGGATGATGGAGTCGCCACTATCGGCTTTCAGGATCCTGGCATTGCCCTGTAGTGAAACATCAGACCTTGGTCGTGGTTCAGAAGGGGAGTATGCACGATATTAGCTCGAGCCAGGAAGTTGAGCAGAGACATGAATACAAATGCTGGTATGATACGAAGATCAAGTTGCCTGAGTAATCTATTGCGATAGCAATTTAACTGGAATTCCTTTCAGGTGAGGATAAACAAACATACCTTCTCTCTGAGGCGCGATTAACGATGTACTCATCGTCTATGATTATGTCGTCGTCATCGTCGTACTTATCAACCGAAGAGACCGAGAAAGTAGAGGTCTGGAAAGCAGAACGAGGTTGCAGGCGGTTGATTTCCATAGCAGGCGCCAATATTTTGAACGAGGTCCTTATATGACCGTATCAACGGCATATGGCGCAAAGTGTTTCGTGCTAAGGCTGAAGGAGGAATGCGAAACACGGCACATTGAGGCTGTCTGATCCCTACCGCTTAAGGCCCGCATACAAGCACGCAGTGCTAGGCTACCGTCACGTTGACGTCCTCTGGAAACGGAATAGAAACTGGGAAACACTTCATCTCCCGTTCTTCGAGCTATCTCGTACGCCAGCGATTATGATCTTTTTATCTTTACACTACCAACCACGTGGAAGGAGTAGGTCATAATAGATGCGATAACACAGGATGCCGTGAGCGTGCACAGTACTTCTGGTACGTATATGATATACAAGGGCAATGCGGGGGGGCTGAGAGATACAGCGGGTATGGCGGACGATGAATAGGTAGTCATGGAGAAATCGTCCATCAAGGCGCAGGCAATTGAGCGCAAAGGTCCAGAATTAGCGAGTACATTGAAGGGAGATAGCATTTTTAGTCTATGCCTTTATAAGATTAGTAAACTTTCTTGGGCGCAGATATGCTGCAAACATACCTGCTATAGTGGCGTCGATCTTGTTATTTGATGACGCTTGGCTATGTCCATCTTTGTACAAGGCGCACGGAGGAGGTAACAACATGGATGACACATTCTCGATAAACTGGGTATAAAATTTGAGTGTTGGGTGCCAAGCAGAGACTAGTCTATTCCAAGAACGGGTGCGAGACTACGAAACCCTGGACATCACCCATCCAGTAAGAAGAGATGAGAGAAAAGTCAGAAAACAGACCAATAAAGCAGGTTTAGCCTTTCTGAGCCGGAGAAATCCTTGAGGGACCGAATGCTTGGGAAATCTTTCATCATTGACGATAAGAGTGGAGCGTAGGCGGCGTAGAACGACACGACGCCCTTCTTTCAGGTTGGTTACAATGATAGCCCTCCGAGGTTTCCGAGCCACAGTAATTTCTCGTAGAAAAAGAGCATACATAGTCCCCCGTAGTTCATTTCAACCCCGCCGACGTTTTTCCTGGTGATATATGGTCAGAAAAATGCGTAGTACTGAATCTGAGGCGGGGACAAGGTTACATACTCGTTTGGCTTCTCCGGGAGCTTGGAATGGAGAAATCAGCTCGCCTTGGTGGATATAATGACAATGCATTCACAGTATCATGGATATACAGCGATTAAACGATGCCAATGAGCGCTGAGCCTGAGAGCGAACTCTTCTTTTTGCTGGCGGGTTTCATAACTTGAACTACCAATATTATGTGAGCTTGCAGCATCATGGGCATGCATCTTTCGTAGAAACAGAAATTTGACAACCTTCTTGACAACACGCTGATAAACTAGGGAAAAAAGGAATGTTTTATGCGAAGTTCAAGAAGTGCGTTGAAGCAAAGAGATATTTCAAATTTGAGCTCAATTCTGATGGACTTTAAAGTATTTATTAATATAAATAAATAAATGGAAACTACGGAAGAAAGACGGCACGCGACGGCTTCATGCCGGTTTCGATGCCGCTGTGATCGACCACAAAATGCAATCCCAATGAGAGCACCGCCACAGCATTTCTCTACTTCGTACCTAACTGCAGTATTTTGGCAATGCCGCTGTACTACAAGCCATCAAGCTGAGGATGAAGGGGGATGCCGGTTCTCGGTGCTACGAAGGGAACAAATCGGAGAAGCGGCAACTGCCGCGATGCTTTATCAATCGTATCAACCCAACAAATTATCGGTCAAGGCCTTCTTGGACTGCCGTTTTGTTTGGAAGGGACAACAAACCGCCGCGTAGCCTTGTGACACTTTTTTTCCCAGATGTTCCCAGATTTCTTTGATGCTCATGTCAAATGTCGAGGCCAAGTCGGTGCGATTGTGCTGCTACTGGCATACGTTTCGCGCGCGTTTGGGTTGATGAATCTGAGTTTTTTAATGCTGTAGGTATGTACAACATGTGAAATTATTCAAAGATGGCTTATAATTTATGTATATAACATTCTGAAAGCTTAAACTGGCAGGACATTAATGGGCCTGCTCGCAGCAGGTTGGCCTCTTGAAGGTTTAACTGATGGCTGTCAGCGTCGAAATGAAGATCATTACGGTATATTTTTTTCAAAAGCATAATAAGCTTAACTTGCATGTACTCCTTCCGTTTATCATGTTCGGGTGGGTAGCGACCGACATGGTTATAGTTGCGTCTCGGCAACTACGACACATTGCTTGGTCTACAGTTCCTACTGGGGGTATTCGAGGCAGGTGTGTACCCAGCATTCATTGTAAGTAACATTCATGGAGTCTGGAACCACTATAGTCTCATCCCTGGCGCGATATATACTTTCACAATGTACGTTCCCCTCGCTTCCGCTCTTCTACGGAGCCGCCATTCAATACTTCCGTAGCTCGTACCAGCTACCAGAACGCGCCTTGTGTCTATCCCTCGTTATAGCCACTGGTCCCCTCGGCGGAGCATTTGGTGGATGCATCGCGTGTGCTGTAGGATCCTTGGACAGAGTCCGGGATCTCGAAGCTTGGCGATGATTATTCATCATTGAAGGCATACCGCGATGCTTACTCGCAATGATTGTTTATCTCTACTTACTCTCCTATCCAGAGAAAGTAGCATGGTTACTACCGGACGATCGTGCTCTAGCTATGTTGCACATGAAGGAGACGTCCAGCTGGCTGGGCCACGCCACGACAACATGGGAAGGGCAAAATCAACCTTGAGAGACTGGAGGTTTTATTTGCACCACCTAGTCTGCGTTACTAGTGTTCGTGCTGATGACAAACGTAGTAGTGTTTACGCCCACAATTGTTGATGGGATGGGATACGAAGGACAGGATACGCAGCTATTCGCTGTCCCGCCCTTTGCGTTGGCATTTTTGGTGTCTGTGATGATGTCGTGGATCGCGGACCGGTGTCAAATGTGGTCGACGTAGTCAATAGTGTCGATGGTTTTGGCGGGGGTAACGTTTATCGTTCAAGGTGCATTTATACTTATCCCGGTGTTCTTACTTCCATGGCAATGTCAATTTCAGGTGCACTGCCGCCAACGTCATTCAAAGCACGCTACGCGATGCTTTGTTTAGGAACATCGTTAATCTATGTGTCTTACCCGTCATTCCTGACATGGTTCACAGGAAGTCTGAGGTGCACGAACGCCACCACGCTAGCTATTCCAATGAACGTGGCTTCAGGGGCCATTGGGGAAGCTATTGGTGCGATACTCAATCTCCTTCCTCTACGAGCCATTTATATCTTTCGCAGGAATCTTTATATACAAATCTGTTAAAGCTCCAGCATACCCGACTGGTCATTTTATCAATGATGCGGTTAGGCGCGATTTGTATAGGAGCGCTGAGGATGGCTTATAAGAGAAATATGGAGCTGGCATTGGGAGAATGTCCTTGGATAATCTGAAAATTTCGTGATTCTGGAGATTGAGTAGTGATGGTTAGCTTCAGCTTCTACTAGTACAAAGCGCCACGAATGACAGCGTTGATGAACACGACTGTATTGGAGAGATGTCCGAGATGGTAAAGCGACAACCGTCTGAGACAGGGCTAAATCCGAGTAGGATTCGAAGACAGGAGTCAGGCTGGCTAGCATGGCCTTAACTGACAGCGTAAACTCAGGTTATAACAGAGAATTCTGGTGACAGCTGGTCATGCTTCGACGGTTATTTCGGCGATGATTGAATTGCTCGTTTGCGACCGTATATATAAATGATAAGAATGCTACAAATATTCTCACATAAAGACGAAGTACTCATACACATTTAGCAACCACCAAATTATAGCACAGTGGGTATATTGATTGGAATGACAGTTGCAATATCCTCCGCGCTGTTCCGAAGACGAGGATGGAACAAGAGAAAGAAAATCACTGTACAAAAAAGAAAGGCTTCGTCATCTTTGCTATGCTCTGTACTGCCAGGAAGAGTTCTCCGCCGACTGATTCTCCGGCTTTGAATAGCTCTGATCTGAAAATACCGAATGCTCCACAGTGACGTGCAATGCAGTTCGCGTGTGAAGCTCATACGACGAATCCAAGGTATCTGTCTTCACTTTGGCGCCCAGCCCCACACGGAAGATGATCAACGCCGGAGCGATTGCCTACCGAGATAAAGGTCATTGGAATTCAACACAGCAATAAAATGGGCATACGCTAATCTGCCCGAGCGAATCCCCCAAAATAATGCTAATCTGCGGCTTGAGATTGAAGAAAACGAGAAAGAGCGTAGACGTGAACGCCGATATTGCACCGGACTCCACGATCATCCAGATAACGTCCATGTAAGGCTGAGACTTTGCACTCAGTTGCCAGGATCCTGTTCTTCGCGTCATCCACCAGATGCGCGCCACTATCAGGCCTGTGACGCAAATTTGCGTTGCCAAGGACAGCGACCAAGAAGCTTGGAGCCATCGATATAAAGCATGCACGGATTCGGGATTGAAAGCGATGAGGCTGGATAAATGATATATGGTAATGTATCCACAGACTGAAAGTCGCGGGAGTGAGAAAAGTTTGAAGCGAAAAAAAAGGAAGGAACCATACCACCGAAGGCCAGAACCATGAGAGCCTGGAAATACCATTAGCCTCGCTTCATGAGGCAAATCATATGCGCGAAAATATCACATACAGGGAAGAGAGACACAATCAAGCTCTTATCCCAAATCACATATAATCGCCAGAGTAGCACCACGTCGCCGACGATGCACTAAACCGGCGATAACAGTCAAGATAACAAGCTCGGATATTAATTCGGGGACGACGCACATTCGTGATGGTAGCTGATTCTTGAAGGACATTGACGAACCGAGTCTGATTATTCCAGTACTCTGTGGAACCGTTGGGGTCCCTAAGCCAGATAAACGCTTCTATCAGGGAACGCAGGCCCGCCGCAATGTGGATGGTTGAGATGATGAACTGGAGAGTCGCGCTCCCGAGTAAGATCCTAGAGGCGGATAAATTCGGTAAGGGAAGTTCGCCAGAATCAATGAAAATCAGGGAACGTACCACCTACGCCTAGTAAGCAGGCTGACGCAGCTGAGATATAGGACCAGGCTGAGGCGTGGTTGGAATTATGGCTTCCCTAGTATCTAAAGTAAACCGGAGGACTCACTGGATGCCTGGGAGAATGGTAAGCGACATTTAAGCTGAAAGATAAGAACGAACCATATAAGACCGATGTGCACCAAAGGCCTACGAGAGACGCAAGATCCACGGGGAGGTCCTGCATTGTGCTTCGCTCCTCTAGTTTCGAGTGGTTTTCTGTTATATAGACGCCCCAAAGCCCAGTCCCGTGCTGTTCTGGAACCCCCAGGGAGGGTTTTAAGTTCATCAACGGAGGGAGCATAGCACTTCGGAACACGATGAACGACGGGCATGGAAGTTGAAAGGTGACGACAGTTCCTGAAGAGAAGCGTGCATATTTTTGGCCATTGCCTGGGAAAGTGACAACTTGAACGGAATATCAGAACGCAGCTGTGGAATGACCGGAAGGCGTGTGTACGGGATCACTGAAGAATAGCGTTGACTCCTCTGACGTGGATAGATCATGAGGAGTGTTCTGGAGTGTTAGAGAGTGGCAAGAGTGCTATGATTGGAACGGAGGGTCATCACGGCACGGGAGACTGAAGCCTCCTGATTTGATCAAGAAGTCTTTTTTGGTACGTGGTAGAAAGCGAGTTGCGATAGTCGGTTGTATCTTGTTGGTCCGCTACGTTCCTGGAATCCAGCCCTACCGCCACTGGTGGGTGAATAAATTTACAGAGGAAAAAACAAGTTTTTACCCACAAGCTTGTGGTCGAGCAATGATTGATTAATGTCGGGTGTCTTGGTTTCAACCTGGATGCACAAGTCGGAATGGCAGTGTGTTAAGCTGACAGACGACCATTCCACGACTGGATGATCAAGGGAGAACTAGTGAGAATCAGAAATGGAATGGGGCACAAAATGACTCACGGCATTCCCAAGGTCGATCATCGCCGCTATCTTGATTCGAGATACGGCCTCTATGATTGATTTTCGAGATACACGTGGCAGTTAACTGAATGAGGGTCAGGTATATCCAAATTTCGCCCTGATAATTGTTATATATATCTTCATCCCTCTTCTCTAGGTTCATGTCTGCGGGAAAAAATTTACGTTTCGGTCGAATCGCCCCCCAAAGGGGTTCAGCGTCTGGTTTTGATTTCGGAAGCCGCACAACTGCCTCACTAGCAGATAGAGTCAGCACTGAAGGTATTCTTGTAGTACCGGAATCAGTACCATTTTGACATGCAGTCGCAGCACGACGTCGAGAATTCAACAGAAACAGGAGATATATTTGGTGGGCGCTGCCTGCCCAATGGGGTACGGAACGAGGAGTTCGGTTTTATGGTTCCTGCAGGGCATTCCGGTGACTATAGTCAGCCAAGAGCATAATGGGCAATCAAATCACGGGCTCACGCCGCTCAGGCCAAGATTGAAATTGTGCGCCTGATGAAAAGAACCCAAAACTCGATCACTGGAAATATGCGTTGGGACTTACAAAGATGGCGCTTACAAAGGGTACGTCCGAGGAATAACAATTACACTCACCCGACGCGAGGGTCCGAGGAGGTGGCAGAAACTGTGTTGACTCGTTAAAGCAAGAAATATCGTGTCATAAGAGAAATCCCTCAGGACAAGGACAATAAGAACGGAAGAAACGTATGGGAGGAATACAACTCGAAGCAAAAACGGTTGAAAAATGGCGGCACGGGGTCACGCTACGGGCCGCCAGGTGGCTGTGACATGCGACAGGTCCACTCCCGATTTAGTCATCACCGCTCTCAACTCAAACCACCATTTCTTTCTCAAGGTCTGCGTCCTCCATGAAATTGCCAAGCTGACTTCTCACCTGGTTTATATTCTTATGATAAACGCATAGCCGAACCTCGCGCGAAGCTTTCACTCGGTACCGCCAACAACTTTTAGCGTCCCTGGGTTCTGCTTCCTAAATGCAACTTCTGAGTTCATAGTATGCAAAAGTGATTCTCACCTAACTGAATTCATATATCTGACAGGTACTGCCATAGCCTACACTCTATACTCAGTGCCGCGTTCAAGTGCCTCATCATCCTTTCTCTATGTCATCAACAGCCTTACATCCGAGCTGCCGACTCTATCACTACCCTGCTTGGAATCTGCCATAAGCAATATGATTCGAACATCGTCTGATGTTTTTTTCGGCACATACGATAACCGGCTCTCACGATCAAAGCCGGAGCGGGGTAGCCGCGGCCTTGTCTCTTCCCCACCATGTCAGAACCTCGCTATACGTTGGCTGAAGGTATTTGAGATGCACTTTTCTTGCTTTGAATTACTCATCATGCATCATATCCTATACACAGCTGACAAAATTCTCGCAGCACCAGGAAGCCTGCTTGAAGTCGAGACACGCGTAACTGGGCCTAATTTTACCATCAATTTCATGCTCTGATGCAGCATTTTGTGATTAGGTCGTCGAAGACCGTCTTCTACGCGTATTCAAGAACCTGTGGCCGTCCGTGCGAGCATTGTGGCTTCATGCGACCAAAGAGCACGCGGACAAGATCTATGCCGTGTACGAAAATCAGAGGTACACATTCCGAGAGATGTTCGAAATGACGGTGCGTTGTGCTGCGGTCTTTAGGGAAGTTTACGGTGTCGCAAAGGGTAATTCTTACTAGCATAGCAAAAGAATTTTTTACCTACCACCACCACTTATAGGTGACCGAGTTGTCATCTGCTCGAGAAACTTCCCTGCTTATTATGTCGCATTCTGGGCCTGCCGTACGCTTTCTGTCATTCGATGTTTCCTATCTTTCTTAGTCACCACACAGATCTATTGGGCGCCGTCACTGCCCTCGTAAACGCGTGCGCCTTCTCTTTTTGTCTCTTGATAAAGTCTAATTCTAGGCCTTCGGTATAGATGGCTTCCGCTTGAACCTCTCAAACACTGCATCGCACTGACAAACTGCAAGCTCGTGCTTCTTGACCCTGAACGAGCTAACGTCATCGAGCCCATCATCGATCACCTGAAGGAAATCACAGGTGCGTCAGGTTGCATCGTCATGGAGGAACACGAAGGCAAAGGCGTCTGGACTGGCATGGATAATTTCGGGACCGTCCTCTCTCGCTCGTTGGCAAACCCGGAAACCGTCCTCCTTGACGATCCTCAGATAAGCCCGGAGGACGATGCCACTCTTATTTTCACATCTGGGACCACTGGACTTCCGAGTAAAGCGCTGCTTCTTCTGTGCTAGTGTCTCTGCTAATATTTATCCTTGCAGAGGGCGTACTGAGCTCCCAAAGAGCTTTCTTGACTGTTCTTTTCACTGTCCGTCTTCTTTTCTACAGGGTCGGTTGCCTGTACTCACAAATATCAATCAGAACGCGTTCATCTTCGGTCGAAATGCTGTTCAGCGAGGAGATCCCTTCCCGCCACCCCCTGATATGGGACCCCAGAAAGGTGCTTTACTATCAACCCCGCTCTTCCATGTCACGGGTACTGCCTTAACGGTGAAGACGTGTGCTCTATTGGAGGACCATATATTTAACATCGTCGCAGCTAAACGCGGCAATGCACGGTTATAAACTCGTGGTGTTGAGAAAATGGGATGTACCAGAAGGCGCGTTCTTCATTCTCACCTACGCGCTCGAAAGCTGACTTCGTCTTTGTAGTGGCGAGGTAGATCGCGCGTTCTTTGTGTCTTCATCTCATTTCACTTATGCCGCAATATTAGGTTGTGTCGGGAAGAGAATGTCAGGGCTTTTGGCGGGTTTGATTGATTGGTTGTCTTCCGTTGTCTCTCTTTGATCGTTCGTCTTCTAGTATCCCATTCATGATAACCGATTTAGAACAACATCTGGCCGGATTTCCTATGGAGAGCATCACCTTAGGCGGAGCGCCTGTAGCAGGATCTCTCGCTATCAGGTCGAAGGAAAGATTTCCATCTGCTATCATGTGGGTTTTTCAGTCTTCTGGATGCACGGCATCCTGATACATTCGCAGGTCAAATGCTTATGGACTTACTGAAACTAATTCGACAGCTATTGGTCTTGGTGAGTGCTGTGTAAGTATGCCATTCTTTTTTGCTCATTAAATGAATTTGCAGCCGGGGACGACTATTTGGCTCGGCCGGAAAGCAGGCTTGTCTTTGCATCTGTCACCGCCGGTGTTATGTTGACCTAATTTAAATTTTGTCCAGTGGATTACCACCTCCTGTCACGGATTTCATAATAATGAAGAAAGATGTCGAGGCTGCGCCGGGCGAAGTTGGAGAGGTATGGATTCGTGGTCCCTGCGTTATGAAGAGATATTTTGGCGATCGAGGTATGTGTCAGTGTATCACTTCCATGGCTGATAATGACCATCTCGGTAGAGGCCACCGATAAGGTGAAGTTTTGCGTTCTAGCGGTGATTGCAGTATAAACAATTGTATCTAGGCACTGACACAAGATGGCTGGTTCAGGACGGGCGATTTAGGATATCGAGATGCCGAGGGATTTTTGTTTATTAAAGGGAGAATCAAGGACATCATCATTCGCGGTGGGGAAAATGTGGTAGGCATGCTTTTTTCTCATTCCCATCGACCGTGCCAATGCAATACTGCAGGATTGTGTCTCGGTCGAGAGCGCATTACACACCGAACCAGGCGTCTTGGAAGCGGCCGCGGTTGGTGTACCCGATAAGCGTCTTGGAGAACTAGTGGCCGCAGTTGTTACAGTCAAACCGTCGTGGCGCGGGAAGGTGAAGGAAGAGAAGCTTTTATCTATTGCGAGGAAACTGTAAGCTCACTTTCATGATACACTTTAGATGGCAATAACATGGTATCTATTTCCAGGTTACCCAAATTTGCTGTTCCCATCATGGTGATGGTACAAGATGGCGAGTTCGGTGAGTTTTTGTTTATATTTCCATCGCGGGACGCGTGTTGATTGGAGAACTGTTGTCACAGAGCACACGCCTTCAGGGAAAATAATGAAATCCACTCTTCGAATTGTGGCGCAGAAGGAATGGGAGCGTCGGACGAGAAACTCTGATACGGCCAAGCACAAGCTCTAACAAAGTACCGTTATTGATATCGAATTTTCAAATATAAGGCGCAGTCAAACGCTCAGGATATTCATAGGGCCTTTCTCGTGAACCTGGCATACAAACCCTCGTGGTTTACAGAAAGCCACACAATTTCGTGAGGAACGATTGCTATCTGCAAGGACTGTTGGCTACCGTAGAGTGAAACGTCAATTCAGAAGTGTACAGTGTTGTACAAAGAAATTACATACTATCATCCGGAGGAACCGGCGGCAAGTAGCATCATCTACCAGAGATATGGACAGTGTCAGTGTCAGTCTAGGTATGTATATTAGTTAATATTTGGGCCAAGATCTTCAGATGCTCACCTATCAGATATAGGTTCAAGTCATCGTCCACACGACCTCTGGAGCGAAGTCGCGAATAGAGATGGGAAGCCTGTGCCATCCACGATCTCGCAATGCGATCACTTAACGCGGATAGATCTCACTATAGTAAGACCCTGGGTCCATGATCTATGTGATGTATGGTCCACTGACAGCCAACCACAGCGCGACAGCAAACCCGTCCTCCGAGGGTAATAATAGAACGAAGAATGCGTGGTCCCTCTCTCCGTCCGGCTGTTCTCTTACGGCCACGTTCCATTCATCTACTAGGGGACCGTGCAGTCTCCCGACCAAAGTCTGTCCTCGTAAGGTTAGTATGCTACCTGGCGCATAATAATGATTATGTCGAGAGGAGAACGAATCTCGAGCCTGTTTGCTTCTCAGATATGATTGGATGGCCCCTTAAACTACCCATACAGGCTCCAATTGCTGTCACGTTCAAAGCCTCCGCCGGAAACTTGGCCCTCCGGAGCGTGGTAGCTGTGCTCTCGTCTCTTCCGTGCCTTCTCCACCATGTCAGGACCTCACTATACGTTGGATGAAGGTATTTCATATCGATGTTTTCTTGCTGTCTGAATCGTTCATCATGCATCATATGCCATGTACAGCTGATAAAATTCTCACTGCACCAGGAAGCTTGCTTGAAGTTGAAACACGCGTAACTGAACCTAATTTTCATCATTTATTTCCGTACTCTAATGCAGCATTTCTAGGTTGTCGAACATCGTCTTCTGCGTGTATTCAAGAATCTGTGGCCGTCAGTGAGAATATTGTGGCTTCATGCGACCAAAGAGCACGCGGACAAGGTCTGTCGTATACGAAAATCAGAGGTACACATTCCGAGAGATGTTCGAAAGGTCCGTGCGTTGTGCTGCAGTCTTCAGGGAAGCTTACGGTGTCGCAAAGGGTGAGTCTTACTGGCATAGGAAAAGGATTTTAACGTACCATCAGTACTTATAGGCGACCGAGTTGTTATTTGCTCGAGAAACTTCTCTGCTTATTACGTCGCATTCTGGGCCTGCCGTACGCTTTCTGTCTTTCGATATCTTCTATCTTTCATTGTTACCACATAGATCTATTGGGCGCCGTCACTGCCCTCGTAAACGCGTGCGCCTTCTCTTTTTGTCTCTTGATAAAGTCTAATTCTAGGCCTTCGGTATAGATGGCTTCCGCTTGAACCCCTCCAACACTGCATCGCACTGACAAAATGCAAGCTCGTGCTTCTTGACCCTGAACGAGCTAACGTCATCGAGCCTATCATCGATCACCTGAAGGAAATCACAGGCACCTCAGGTTGCATTGTCATGGAGGAACACGAAGGCAAAGGCGTCTGGACTGGCATGGATAATTTCGGGACCGTCCTCTCTCGCTCGTTGGCAAACCCGGAAACCGTCCTCCTTGACGATCCTCAGATAAGCCCGGAGGACGATGCCACTCTTATTTTCACATCTGGGACCACTGGACTTCCGAGTAAAGTGCTGTTTCTTTTGCACTAGTGCCTGTGCTCATATTTTTATCCTTGCAGAGGGTGTACTAAGCTCCCAAAGAGCTTTCTTGAGTGTTCTTTTCACTGTCCGTCTTCTTTTCTACCAGATCGGTTACCTATACTGACGAATATCAATCAGAACGCGTTTATCTTCGGTCGAAATACTGTTCGGCAAGGAGGGTCCTTCCCGCCTCCACTTACTATGGGACCTCAGAAAGGAGCTCTGCTACCAACCCCGCTCTTCCATGTCACGGGTACGACTGTAACGGTGAGGCAATGTCTCTATTGGAGGACCATATATCTAACATCGTCGCAGCTAAGCGCAACAATGCACGGTTATAAACTTGTGTTAATGAGAAAATGGGACGTAATAGAAGGCACATTTTTCGTTCATTCCTACGTGTTCGAAACTTAACATTTGTCTTTACAGCAGCAAGGTAAACCACGCGTTCATTGTGTTTTCACCTCGATTGACTTATGCTGCGCCATTAGATTGTGTAGAGAAGAGAATGTTAGGACTCTCGGCGGGTTTGATTGATATGCTGTCTTCCGTCATCTCTCTCTGACTGTCGTCTTCCAGTGTCCCATTCATGATAACCGATTTAGAACATCATCTGGCCGGATTTCCCATGGAGACTATCACCTTAGGCGGGGCGCCTGTAGCAGGATCTCTTGTTATCAGGTCGAAGGAAAGGTTTCCATCTGCTGTCATGTGGGTTTTTCAGTCTTCTGGTTGCACGGCATTCTAATACAATCACAGGTCAAATGCTTATGGACTTACTGAAACTAATTCGACAGCTATTGGTCTTGGCGAGTGCTGTATAAGTTTGCTATTCTTTATTGCTGATGCATTTGCAGCTGGGGAAGACTATTTGGCTCGGCCAGAAAGCAGGCTCGTTTTTGTATCTTTCACTTTCGGGCGTGCGTTGATATAATTTTGGCCAGTGGATTACCACTTCCTGTCACGGATCTGATAATAATGAAGAAAGATGTCGAGGCTGCACCGGGAGAAATTGGAGAAGTATGGATTCGTGGTCCCTGCGTTATGAAGAGATATTTTGGCGACCGAGGTATGTGTCAGCGTATCACTTCCATGGCTGATAATGACCATCTCGGTAGAGGCCACCGATAAGGTGAAGTTTTGCGTTCTAGCGGTGATTGCAGTATAAACAACTGGATATAGGCACTGACACAAGATGGTTGGTTCATGACGGGCGATTTAGGATATCGAGATGCCGAGGGATTTTTGTTTATCAAAGGGAGAATCAAGGACATCATCATTCGCGGTGGGGAAAATGCGGTAAGCATGCTTTTTTTCTCATTCCCATCGACCGTGCCAATGCAATACTGCAGGATTGTGTCTCGGTCGAGAGCGCATTACACACCGAACCAGGCGTCTTGGAAGCGGCCGCGGTTGGTGTACCCGATAAGCGTCTTGGAGAACTAGTGGCCGCAGTTGTTACAGTCAAACCGTCGTGGCGCGGGAAGGTGAAGGAAGAGAAGCTTTTATCTATTGCAAAGAAACTGTAAGCTCACTTTCATGGTTCATCTTCGATGACAATAACGTGTTATTTATTTCCAGGTTACCCAAATTTGCTGTTCCGGTCATGGTGATGGTACAGGATGGCGAGTTTGGTTAGTTTTTGATTACATTTGCATCGCAGCGCGTGTGTTGATCGGAGAACTGTTGTCACAGAGCACACACCTTCAGGGAAAATAGTGAAATCCACTCTTCGAATTGTGGCGCAGAAGGAATGGGAGCGTCGAAAGAGAAGCTCTGATACGGCCAAGCATAAGATTTAACAAAGTACAGCAATTGTCATCGAATTTTCATATATAAGACGCGGCCAAACGCTCAGGATATACATAGGAACTTCCTCATGAACCCAGTATACAAAACCTTCTAGTCTACAGAAAGCCACACCAGTTCCTGAGGAAGGATCTCAATATTTAAGGACTGTTGGCTATCGTAGAGTGAAATGTCAATTCAGAAGTGTACAGTGTCGTACAAATCCAGCATCGCCTACTAGAGATATGGATAGTGTCAGCCTCACAGGTTGACCGCAAGGCTTTCTGCGTCGGTCGAATTTTCCAGCCAGTTGATGTCGATGAAGCTGACAACTTGGAGTCACCCGCACCAAGCAAGAATTTGTACTAGGTATCTTTACTGGGAGAAAGATGATCAGAACACGCGTGAGAGTTGAACAGACGTGCTTGTTTCATGATGCTCTTACAGTTGTCGCAAAATGATTAATAACCGGGCCTTATATTGCGCGACTGGAAAAATCTAGGAATCCTGGCCAGAAAAAGAAAATATCTTGTAAGGAAAACCGGAATATACTACGCATATCGTATCACTGCCCCTTAAGTTTCCTATCCACCGCGATATTTGAGAGAACCAGCGCTAGTTTTAACAATGCAGAAGAATATCAAAAGACGAAAAAGCGCGATTCACGCATCGCTGTTCGGTGACAGGTCCCAAAATAGCAATTCGCCGAATGCCCGATTCAAGACCTTCCTCTTCTTACCACCATGATCCATGACTACCCAGGGGCCAGGCAACGTCTACTCTCGGGTGCTTGCCCAACGGCGACGAGAAATTCCAGGAAGTTTTGCCTGTCCGGAGACCTGAAAATGATGTGTTGACACTGGTGCGCGTTGTGACTTGTCCTGATTTTTTTGGGCGATATTCTGATTTTGACTTCAGTCTCGCTGGTGCGATACAGCATACAGTTGTCGCAAGAAAAGGTTGAAATCCGACAGAAAACACCATGCTGGCCTATTTTAGTAACGGTAGTAAGGCGGCGTCCTGCCCATGCAGTTTTTGTATCGAGAATGGATTGCCGATATACTCGTGGTGCGTATCCATATGCTGCCTTCCTTGAGAAGCAAACAAGTTCTGAATGACACACAGATATTCTCGCACCGGCTGGCGATATCGAGCCAGAAAAAACCCAACATTGCATATACCTACCTTCCTGTCTCGTTCAAATGCCCTGCGGCCTGCAAATTGTATCTTGATTCCCAGCTACCACGCAGCCCATTTTCTCAACTCGTTTCATGATCTAGAAGGCGCATATATCCACATCTGTGACTATCGCGCGTAGCCTGTATTGGTGAGCTTGTCATATCCTGTTTCCCAGTTCGAACGTTCACATCTGACACCATAGAGTGGTCATGATGGACATGCAGCGGATGTTTCCTAGGCCCAAAGAACCAACGTTTGGTACGTTTGGTATGATCGACCCTTCTTCCGTTGGTGCTAAACGGGCATCCGTCTCAACAGAAAGATATCGACTTCCAATGGATGTTGCCATGACGATCACCTATCCGCTCCTTTTCTCACCGAGAATATTCACAAGAGTGTCTCGTCATGTCGCTATATGATCTCGGCGACTATATGCTGAACCGGTCAAGCTTCAAGCTTCAAGATTCGAGGGACGTTTTCAAAGCAGCCATATAGTACAACCATCGTCCGCTAGGTTCGATTTTATGCCAAGACGATACAACAGCGTTTGGACGAGCCAGCAGGAAAGCCATAAGGGACAAGGAGGAATAGATGTCGTGCACATGTGTCTAGTCTCCTTGTTTCGGGGCTGGTATATATGTTGATGCATTACGTTGTAGATATCCCAAGCACGATGCATCGCGACAAAGTCTTCATCGATTGCGCAACGTCTGTAAATCCGACGGGACTTTTGTTTCGACCAAATCGTCACAATGATGGCTGGCCTGCTATATTCGATCTATTCAATGCGTCGTCTGCACGATATTCTCTGATTCTGTGATCATCAGACATCTCAAACGATCACCACATAACGCTGCATTAACGCTCGGAGTACGTTTCTCTATGATCTACGATGGCGAGAGCGAGTGACCAGTTGCAACCTTCATCCATAAATGTCTCTTTACTCATTGTGCAAACGCAATATGCGATTTCGGCCCGTCAGCTTCCAAACAGGGAAGCATTCTGTGCTTCTGCGTAACCGAGAGCTTGCCGCTTTCTCGCAGGAGCTGGAGCCGTTGTAACAGTCAGCGAATCTTAATTCCGCGGACATGAGGATTCCGTACAACTATGTCCGATACCTTCAGCCTCTGCCAATGCACATATCGAAATCCATAATCACCGACATTGCCAATCTCGTCAAAATTATGGAATCTTCCGGTAAAAATTACTACTGACCCTTCCATCAAAACATGCTCATGTCATTTCGAATAATCCACCAGGCGTCATAACACATCAACATGCTTCTTTTCCGTGATGGAGCGGAAGACCGGACCTCTATAAAATGTGAATCAGGATCGGTTTGGCGGCTTGTCGAATCCCCCACGGGCCATCATGCTTATCATTGATGTCCTTCCACTTCTTCTCATCATCCTGATTGCGATATACCTGCTCTATAAATGGTCCACAAGGGTGTCTATCTCGCACATCCCTGGTCCCGAGTCGAAGTCTTTTTTGTATGGTGCGATCGTCGGTGACCTTCATGTATGAGCTCGAACTAATCTTGATGCTCACTAGGTAATATAACCGAGCTCCTCCAAGTGCAGGCCGGAGAGGTTGGGCAGTTCTTTATCGCCGTGTATCAGATATCTCATGCTTTCTTCAGGTAGACTTCAAATGGCAGAGAATGTACGGGGATGTGGTCAGAGTACGGGCTCCGTTCGGGGTAAGTTTCAGCTGCGCGCATCGACTTTTTTTCTGAATTATCTGTATGCATAGGAGGATCGGCTTTTGATCTCTGACCCCAAGGCCATACAATATGTATACCATACGGCGAGCTATGCCTTCCCTAAGCCTCAATCTCGCCGGCAGATATCTGGGTTGATGTTTGGACGGGGAGTGGGTAATGTTGATGGTGCGTATGATGGCGTTGCATACGAGGACCAGCTGACCTTCCTTGTAGGCGAAGATCATGTTCGGCAGCGTAGGGTCATGAACCCAGCTTTTGGATTTCCGGAAGCCAAATCATATATACCCATCTTTTCCTCTTGCGCGGAGAAGGTAATCTCAGTGTTTTTATCTCCGGGAACAATTACTCATGTTGCCGAACATCGGTACTTAGATGGTTCAAAAATGGATAGACTTGATCACGGATGATAATGGGCAGTCAACTGTTATTGAGGTTACGAACTGGCTGTCCCGTGCGACGCTGGACGCGATTGGGGAAGGTGTGTATTCAGTCGTATGCTTGCTCAATTCTTACCTCCTATCGGAGCAGCTGCTTTTGATTACCAATTCAATGCTCTTGATGAACCCAATAGTCCGTTAGTGAAAGCATACAGCAACGTCTTGTACGTCTCTTCGCTGTCCAATCCTTGTGTCAGGCATACTGACGCACTAGGCTGCAGCTTTGATGTATTTGGTATCCCATCAAATTTCGGCGTCCTGTATATGACGATCATGGACCACCTTCCATCTGCCGTCGTCTCGTTCATTCTGAAGCATTTCCCTGCTGGAAGGATGGCGCATGCGGCCAAGACGAAAGAACTCTCAACTGAGCTTTCGAAGCAGCTCATTGCTGAGAAGAGCAGGGATGCGTTGTCGGGAGGAGGGAGCCGGGATCTTATGAGTTTACTCAGTAGGTTTTGCTCTTGTTACATCTTGATGCCTCTGATTGGCGCGTTGTAGTCAAAGCCCATAAATCTTCGGATCCGAAAGCTCAACTGAAATTGGACGAGCTCCTTGCTGAAGTCAAGTGAGTACCGCGACGAACTTTGGCTGGTTTAGTTGAGGGTTGACATTGCGCTAGTGTTATCATTCTTGCCGGCCATGAAACGACATCTAACACGATCGCTTTCATGTTGACGGAGCTTTGCAAGAATCCTGGGATATAGGATAAACTGCGCGCTGAGATACATTCGGCGGAAACGCGGCTACATGAGCGGGGTGAGACGAGGTTCGGTCTCACGGATTTTGATGCTATGCCATATATGTTGGCAGTGCTGAAGGTAGTTCCAAACATTTGTTTAGCTTTCGACCGAGGTGCTAATATCCATATCATTGTAGGAGACGCTGCGTTTCCATCCAGTGGCGTACAACATCTTCAGGGTAGCCGGCCAGGATGATGTTCTCCCGCTGAGCTCGCCGATCACGACAACGTCAGGGAAGGTCCTTCACGAGTTGCCCATTCCCAAGGGCGTGCAGATCATGTCGTCGGTTGCTGCTTGTAATCGGTGGGTGATTGCTCTTTTACTAGCCGGCCCAGGTTAATTTCCTGTATTACAGAAACAAGGAGGTGTTTGGAGAAGATGCGCACATATTTAACCCGGATCGCTGGCTGCGTGAGTCTCCGAAGCAGAAGGTTGCACTGGGAGTATATGCAGGGTTGTAAGTGGAGGCTATGTCGTGTCGTTCTCATCGTACTGAAGAGTCTTCGTCAGGTTCACGTTCTCTGGCGGACCTCGGTCTTGTATAGGTTGGAGATTTGCGTATGTCTTGTCTATCTGTAGTTTACTGGGCCTATGCTGATGTGACCATTCCAGAGTGATGGAGCTGCAAGCCGTGATTGTGGCGATCATGAGCAAGTTTGAATTTGCCTTCGTCGAGGGACACGGGCCTGAGAGGATTCGGAGGGAATCGTGTTTTGCTATGACTCCGACCGTGGAAGGCGAGGTTGAGAAGGGTTCGAAGTTGCTGTTGATGGTTACGTTGGGTTCGAAGAATGAGTAGCGTGCGTGCTGTAACTCTGTCAAATGACCGACGGCCTGCAAATAATACGCTGCACGGCACCTGATGATAAGGTTAACAACGCTAAGACGCACTCGATGCACCAAACATCCCCATATTCCTATACCGATACAAGCTAAACTTGTCATCGCTTCACCATTTACGTCCACCCTTGCCTAGCTTCGAAGCCCCAACTGTTTCGAACGATCCCCCTTCTTTCCGGCCAGCTGAGCGAGGATACTTCTCAGTCAGTCAGGTACGCAGCTGTTTGTGCCGATGTGGGGTCCGGCAGGGATGTCTTTGTTGCAGGGAACGAGGCTAGGAAAAGGCAGAGAGAAGGAAGAAGAACAGAGAGAGAGAGAAGCTCAGACACAGACACGAACACGCAGATGATAGTTAGATTGTGCAGTACAGCGGAGCTACATGATCATGTTTGTATCTATTGACTACGGATGACTTTGGCATATCGCAACAGTCTTATCTTGGCGAGAACTGTGACAGACAGTATATGTGGATCATCAGGCTCATCGGGATTGAGATGAGTCACATCGAGGAAAGCTGGTTCATCGCTTCACCACCAAAGAAGATGCGGTCGGTTCAATGGTTGAGCCTCGTTAAGTCGGTCCAATTTGGCCTCGCTTTAATACCAACACACTACTATCAGGCGTGATTCTCTTGTATGAATGTTCCCTTGGTCATCTCCCTTTCATAATGAACAGCACCGTCACTCAACCGTTGACCCGCCGCCTCGATTGATATCCTTCCAGAATGGTACTTAGCTTGAGAAGTGACCACTTTCGGCGTAGCACGCTATCCAACAGAGTGTATATGCCACAAAATCTTACTACCATTGTTCCCAGAAATCACTCTACTTTGTGCAGTCTCGAGATGACTCAGAAAATAGATGCAGAAGACACTTTACAAATTTAATATAGAACGGTACGAATTCCTTCACAGTGAGGCCGTCCATAAATTCTTGAACAAGGGCTTTTATTACGCCTACCCGCAGTGCGAGTAAGCGACAGAAGATGAATGACGGGAACGATTGGGACTCTCACCATGAAATATGATTGCCGGAAGATTCGGTTATTTACATACGCCATAGACTTGCGGAATGTTTAGGTGCCTACATGGATAGTCGAAATGTGCATGTGAGCCTTCAAGCTTCAGTCCGAAATTATACAGACACAAAAACACGAACCTGGGCTTTATAAAGGCATCGACATTGCGATCGAGTCGCTAGAATATGAAGCATGTAGTCATTGATGATAGCACAGGATAATTTACGCCAGTTTACACTCACTTTTAATGCCTCCTGTTCGTGATTGACAGACGGCTTGTATATGCGGATCAACAGTTGTATCGTTCTGGACAGTACACTCATTGTACTTGTCACTGTCCTGCCATGGAGGAGGAGCCCTCTTAACTAGGTTGATGTCGCCTTCAGCAAAAAATCCGGAACTGCCAATGATACATGTAAACGCTCTGGTGTAGAAGATGAGCCTTGAGGACAGCTCACCTGTCATGGATATCGGGTCTTTCCGGTCTGTACACGAGTCTACACATGCTTGCTCTCGGCCTTCTCGGCCTTGACCTCGGCTTACTAGTATTTTCTCTTACTTTCTCTATTCTTCTTGCTGATACTAGAATACTACGGAACATTGTAAAATTATAATGACTCGATGCCTTACTAGTAGTATATAAATATTGTCTTTACTGTTGTATTAAGATCTCTTAAGCTAATTTTACTCATCTTCGGAGTCCACTTAACTGTGTGAACTAAGCATTTCTAATCGGTTACGCCTAGCGCTTGTTAGCACCCGTGTGGATCCCTCTTGGTGGTTGGAACTCGGCTTTCGGACATTTTCGCTCTGAATCGCTCATAACTCGGGTTTTACTTCAGTATTCTTCAACCCGGGTATTACCCTGATCCATATCATCACCGCGCCTTTGTAGTGTGTCACTTCTTTCAGCTCTGCAGAGACCTGTGTTATATGCCCCTCTTCCAAGCTACGTATCTCGCCCAAGATTTGTTCAGTTCGAGAATCGATAGTCGATGCCATGCATGATCGCGACTTCTCCGTAGCTTCAGTGAACTCGGTGCTCAAGACATCTCGCATCGCTGGTATCTCTAACTGTAAGTTAGTGATACCACGAACCTTAGGATAAACGGTGAGTCAGATATTCATATGTGGGTACAAATCCCGGGCTTACAACGTAATTATCTTTGATGTCCTTCATCTTTTGCTTGTACTCGTTGATGGCATCCGAAACCTTCTTCGTCTTTAGGAAGCGTTTAAATCGTTTATGCTTTAGTTTATTCTCAGGCTGGGTCTTTCTCAGATCCTCCAGAAGATTCTCGAGATATCTGAATAGAAGGTTCTGTCAGTAGTGGAGGCGATGATTGGCGTGTTCTTCCTTACGTCTGAAGATCCGTGCATACATCACAGAAATGGGTCGCGTTGGTAATCCCGTGCTCATCGATGGCTTCTTTCACTATGCATATAGTCGCCCCGATATCTTCTCCCAGTTTCTGAAGGTCCTCGTCGTTCTTGCCAGCTTTCTAAAACTTTCTTTCAACGACACGAGGTACAGCGAGGATCAACAGCACGTACCTCGATTGCTTGCAGAATAATCACTGCAGACTGTGCAGCACCTTTGAGGTACGGGATTGGAACCATCTCGCCTGCTGCTGCAGCTAGCTTGACTGCCTGAATCCACTGGTCGACGCTGAGACTGCAGGGCATTGTGATTGATAGTGAGGCAAGAAGGAAGGAAGGAAAGGACGGGGTGTTTGTATAACTGGTTCCTGATTTATATATCACTAGTTATCAAGGCCATACAGCAATAGCGTCATCCTGCTGTAGGATGTGTGACAGGGTTCATGTTGAGAAATACAGCCCCAAGCAACGGAAAGACCGTTATTGGGGTTTGTGCAATGTATAGGTTACGAACCTGTCGTTGATGCTGTCAACATCTTCGGCTCATACGATGAATATTGGTCAACTTATGCATCTGACCTGTGTAGCAGTGCATCTGCGTCGGATGCAATACGGATCCCCACTGTTCTTCTCTATAGCTAAAAAGAGCCTGAAAGTCTTGGAATAAATCGAATGGTCGCATCATATCTTGACCCTAAAGCTTGAGCTTGAACGTTGAACGTTGAACGTTCTGAACAACGAAGATGAGAGAGGTCGGAAAACGGTGACATAGCTTGTGGAAGACCATCCGGCCCGATCACCCGGACCTACTAAAGTCTCGAGCGGCTTGACGTGTTCGGTTCGGCATCCGTACCACCTGGCCTCTGTGTCGTTCGTTTATTCAGAACAATTCACCATCGAATGGATAGCGTGCGCCACCATGATGACGGATCTCTCAATTGAGTTTTTTTTGAAGCAGTGCATGGCCGAGAAGGAAGGCTATACTGTTGGAAAAACGGGATCCTTTGTCGGAAAGTGCGAGATGATTCTGGCAATCCGGCAATCCGGCATGCTGAGTAAGAGATTGGTAAGAAAATGATTGTACGGAAATTACTAGAATAGTCGTAGTTTAGTATAAATATAAGAAGTCAATGGGCAAACTCTTCACGAGTTTGTAACCGAGAGACTAGAGGTCTCAATAGCATTGTACTAGGATACAGTCCAAAATACAACATCCTTTACCCTCAGACCACCTCTACAGCTCCAGTAAAATCTCGTAATTTATCACAGATCAGACCCGAAAGCGCCTAGCTGAAGTCGCGGTCAAGTGTACTGTTCTTAATCAGTGAACGTTGACCGGACAAAAGACCACGTCCAACTCGATCGGTCCGTGGCACCGTGTCGGGATGTAGAAAAACTTCTCAGCTACACGAACCGGGTGAGATGGGATTTGGTCTTGAGGATTTTGATTTCATGTTGGCGGTGTACGGTCAAATGTCTTCTAGCTTGGGGACTGAATCGGTACTACTGATAAGTGCTAATATCTATATTTTTCAAGTAAAAGTTACCACAGTTCCGAGTTCCATCTAGTGAAGTGCAATATACTTAGGGTAGTAGCGTAGGATGATGTTCTCCCGTAGAGTTGTTGATTGTGATAGAATCCAAGGACGACGCGCCGTATATTAAGTAGCCTGCGAAGTGGCGTCCTGAAGCAGGCGGGCATAAAGTAGATGTGTTACTATCTCACCGTTTCCTCATCGTAAAGAGGAATTTCCACTAGCTTCACCTTCTCTAGCCGACCATGTTCCTGTATATCTGTCATATATTAAGCCTGTATATTGATGTGCTATTTCCAGGATTGTGGAGCTACATCGATTCTCGGCCTCGTTTCCCCACAGGACAGCTACAAAGTAGAGCCGTAACGTTGTGTTGAAGATTAGGCGGAACCGGAATGGTGCCGTCGCATACGTAACGATTGAATGGTTAAGGCTGTGCTCGAGGTAAGTTATTGGCATCATAAACATGATGTGACCTGGACAATGTACTTGTACCGCAGCCAGACCACATGAGCTGTATCGCCTCTTCCGAATACTATACAGCTATCTACGGCAAGGACACTTCTCGGCGCATAGCAATAGACAAAATAGGAAAGGTCGACGGTTTATCCCGTCAGTATGCATCGCCTGCGAAATAATCTAGGTCTGCAGAAATATACACTAGGTTAACCATAAAACAAGATTATTATTTACTCATTTACATGATACTCATAATACCACCAACGCTAGAAGTGGCTCAACCGCTGTGATATGGTGGAAGGGCGTATACCGAAGTCCCCTAGGCATGTGTGTGAAAATCCTCGTTGAAATGAGCACGACTATCTATACCATGCGTAAACGAATCAGTATACAGCTAGGGAGTTTACGTCAAATCACCCACGGAAGAGACATCTTCCAAATAGTCGTCCAGCGGGTCTAGGAAACTCAACCGATAAGTGCTTCGCCAAAGCTTTTGAAGGCGGCCTAGAAGAGAGGCTTTCCAGTGACAGCGAAGCTTTAATGGCCGACGCGTTGTTTCGATACGGAGAGGAAGCTTGTGGTAGTAGGGTGGCTGGCGCGCTAATCATCGGTATATATGTTTTTATCGCTAGAGCGATGTTCCTACTGCATGGTTACAAATGCCTAGAACAGACATTCATTAGGAGTTTCCAATTATTATAATTAATTTCCTTACCATTGATGCGATATGAGAGATAACGAGCAGGTATGATCCATATCGCTGGTTACAATGCTGGCTTCCGAGGTTGTATCTCCGTCTGATATTACCGCTCGGAGGAGAGTAAGCTTCCCGAGGAATTTCTTAATCCTGCACAGGAACTGAAGGACCCCCCCACGCATAATTGAAAAGTGGTGGTGGAACGCATCTTCGCCAGGCAGGAATTACGTAGTCACCCCAGTTTGGGTGTGAGGATTGATAGTACCGGGAGGGACCGGATAGGAAGTGCCAGAGCCATATGCACTACGCCCGTGCTGGTTGTAGTAGTCAATGTCAAGATTTTTCGAATCTCAATTATTAGTGGTGGGATGAATAGTAGCATGCGACTCTGGAAGAAATGTTCCAGTCAGCGTTCATCACCAAACAGTCGGTGGTACGAACAGTTGAATGGCCCTGAAAAAATGAGTCCTACTTGCTGGTCGGTTCAATCCCAGCTGTCTTCGGTAGAATTTCCGACGACTCTTTAGTTCACACAGAGAAAATACTGCTACTCGCATTTCCGTCGCCCGAGGACAAATAAAGAATGAGCCTAGTGGCGAGGCTCACGTACCGACCTAGACAATGTCGCGTCAAAGGGCGCCCATCCCGCTGAAGGGGCTAAAATTGATGGCCGCGATGCTGAAGTTAAATGCGATGGTATCTGAGTTTTTGCAGGGCATTTGTTCGTAGTTCTGTCCTTCCTAAAGATATAAATCAGAGCTTGGAATGGTTTCATGCCGGTAAAAAAAGCATCGACAACGTTCGCGCATACATTCAGTGCACAGACTAGCATTGACGAAGGCTACGTCATCAGGAAAGAAAACGAGCCTCCCTTGCTGTTTGCTTCGCTGTCTTAAGTACTCCCGCAAAATCGTCGGAGTCGTTCTATTTATGACCTCGAGTTGAGCAAAGAGAACCTGGGCGGTAGGCAGTGTTCAGCTCACGCAAGCTATCTGCCCGCGAGATATCTAAGAAATCTCTGCAGAAAAAATGGTCGGTTTTTACGACGTGTATATTACGAAAGAACGCGCCTGATACCCCAAATCCAAACAATGCCCTCGAGACCGAGGTATAAACTTTTAAATATTCGCAATAGACACGGGGAGTAGTATTGGTTCGTTATGGAAAGGAGAAGGCAGGAAGACAGTAGCATTCCCAGAAAAAGAGGGGAGTCGCGTCCATGATGGTGGTAGGAAGCAAAGAGCCGGATCTCGGGCCGATGGCACATCTCCGACTCTGCTCTCATCAAGTCCCACATCTTTCAGCAACGACTCGTTGTATTCTCGATTCTGTTACAATATGTTTCTGAAATTCAAGGGAGACTACAATGAACAGAAAAAAAGGACTTTATTTTCACTTCAACGTCCACAAGGTGCGTCGCTATGATTCCGAGTCCACTCGCACAACCATCTCGCATGCTCAGTTGCCGTAGAACCAGGCTCTACGCTGCTTCACAGGTCGGAAATGGCTGTATTTGTGCACAAATGCGATCGGATACTTTATTTTAGGAGTGTCGGCACAAGTACCAGAGACGGGAATGGGAAAGGATAGCGAATACACCGCAATTGGTTCTGCGTGCGACTGTCTCGTCTTTCTGGAAGTTTTTAAGCTCGTTGAGCCAGCGTTATCGATTGATCCTGCGTTGAAGCTACATATACAACAGACAGCTACTCTAGGCAAAGTAATGGTCAAGTCTCTGTCAAATTCCGGTGAGCCAACGTAACAATAATATGTTCAAGGGAACGCTCACTAATGACAGTAGCGCCAATTTCATCCAAAACTTTGATGGGATACAGACCAAAATAATCACGTACATCTTCCCCACCACAGGCAGGATCAAATCCACACATAAAGTTCAACTCTTGCGCACTAGGAAGGCGACGTCCGCGTCTGGAAACTATCCCCAACACGTCATAAACGACGGTCATCTCGATTTTGACTCCCAACAAATCCTTTGCTTCTTCAGGGGATATGCGAATTCCATTGGAGAAGAAGCTGAAAGGCCACAAGTTTCGAGTATGGATGGTGGGTACGCTGATTGACAACAGGAAGCTTCCTTCGTTCGGCGAAGGGTTCACCCTAGGCTGTATTTCAAGGTAGTAATTCATGTCTAGACACCATGCTTCAGCGACTGCAATCCCATAATATGGTATACTTATTAACCTGTTCGTATATCCCAGTCGGTTTTCAAACCCAAAGCTTGAGCAAAATAGGAGAATACAAGCCGCAGACGATTTTCATAGCCAACGCAACCACTGGGGAATACCCGAAAAGAGTAGCTTCGACCTGCCGACAACGAATACCAAGCGACCCCTGAACCGCTGTGACCGAATATTAATCGAGGGAATTACGACAAAGCCCATGCATGAACAAGAAATGTAACAAACCTTAGTGTCGCTTTCCGTAAAGCGTTTCCCGTAGGTTGTACAACCCATTCTTCCAAATCGACAGCTATCCTCCACGTCTCGAAGCAACCTGGGTAATAACGACAAGGCCTGGGATAGCGCACTTCAAACTGCATACTGTGTCCCAAGAACCAATAGAGGCATTCGTATATCTCCCAGAGATGCTGCTTGTGCAAATTCGCAGGGCGTGCAAGCAAGGACCTCAATCGGGGTGGGAGATGCTGACAGTCCAGGACCCACCGGTCGGGATCATCGTCGTCACGCATGAGCACAACAGGACACTTTGGATATAGACGCAAGCAAAGAGACCATGCCAAGTATGCGCCAAAAGTGAAATCCGTAAAGATAACCCGATGTTCTTCGTTGAGGAAAACATCCTCATATTCTTCGGCCTTTGAGGTTTTCGTCAAGTGGGCAACAGACCATGAGCACTTTACTCACGAATGTCTTATCCATTTTTTGGACCCATTCCTGTCGGCCTAGATAATCCGCTACTGACTTTAAAACCATTCAATACAGCTTTATTACTTCGTCTAACGCCTATGCTTACCTTCAGATCGTGATACTGCAAAAGGTAATAAGCGAAGTGGATGAGGGTTGATAGCCGAACAATAACGTACAATTTGAATACTAAATAGAAGGGACTCTTTCGCAGTCGACAAGTCGCAATAATAGTCAAATACTCGTTGTCGCTTAGCGGTGCTACCTGTCAATAAATAAGCTATATCACGCTAGCCTAAAATCAGGAGATTTCTTACCATGAAAGATGAGAGCCGGACAGCTCGGTGTTGTGCATACCCCGAAAAGCTGTACAAAATTAGGGTGTCTGAAATGGGTGTGAGTGTAAGTATACGCATGGTCGAATGCTCTTAGCACCTCAGATAAAGTCTTCGGTCCACGTCTCCGTAGAATCTCTGCAAAGGTTTAGAAAAGGTATGAGAGGGAAAAGGCAACGGAACGTACTCGCATCAATCGTTCTTCCTGACCGGCTTGGACTCGATAGACACGAACAATCTTGGGATAGTCGTGGTTTTCAATGCTGGCATCATATTCATCAAAATCAAAATCCTGAACAGATTGACCTTTCGATATTTCGGTACATTCCTTGAGATTGATGTCGCCCCAAAGGATCTCTCGGACCTGGACATGTTTAAATATGAAAGCAGAATTGCTTGTCCTGAAGAAAGTGCTTACAACTCCCTTATAATTATGCTGCTCCTTCGAAGCCTGGACTGCGGCGAAAAGCCTGTCCACTTTCTCGCTTTGTGAAACTCCCCAGGTATGTATCTCCTCGTGCACGATGTCCGATCGGTTGTTAATGGCAGCTGTGACGTACTTCTGTGACTCTTCTATAGCACGGGTTACAGCCATGATACCAGTATCAACCTGATCTTGGACGTCTGAGAGACCCAGTCGTGTGCTGGTAGCTACGCGTATCTGAAAGACGTTCCAGAGCTAGTCATCATCATGGGTAAAGGAGAAGTCACTTACCAGAAACTCTTCCTTCACTGCATCTACTCGTTGTCGGTAGGTACCAATTTCATCAGCAATTTTCTTGGGCTTCAATAGTCGCCGAATCCCAGCGCAAGACCTACGATCGCTATTTAACTGCGACAATAAGTCACTCATATACCTGGACATAGATAGCATCAAAGAGGAGCCGCAGAAAACTGATACGGGACCGCTCACGTCTGAAATTCCAGACAGATGTTTTGAAAACGCAAGGAGCTAGTTGGTCCGTGTTCGATAACAGTGTCCCTCACTGCGACCAACGTATTCACAATACTCTCTGCTAACTCCTGTAGATCGTCCTTGTTCTTGGCCGCTTGCTGAAAATGTCGTTAGTGTAGAAGACGAAAGAAGTCAACGGCGTACATCGATAATCTCTAGCACTACTACTACGCACTGAGCTGCACCTTTAATGAAAGGGAATGGTGCCATCTCCCCCGCAGCGGCAGTGAGCCTTGCGACCTGGATGCATGCATCAATGTCAGGATAAAGAGGCATTGGAGTGGAGGGAGGAAGAGTGGGGACAAGCCTTGCACTGCATAATGCCAGGGACTGCATTTCCTCAGCGCTTATTTCAATCAGGGTCGCGAGCTGTAGAGCCCTCGTGAGACCTGTCATCAACAGCTTTGTACACAGGAGCATGATACGCCGCCTGTCTTACAACGCTAATAGCAAGCGGTGAGAGTAAGCAAACCGGTTCGCTTGTGCTCTTATCGCTCGAATGGTCAGCTTCCTTTTTCGACTCTGACCACTTGACGTACGATTTTTCCCAAGTACTGGTACTTCCGGTTGGTCCTTTTCTTGAATTCTAATTTTTAACTGACACCTATGGTTACAGACCGTTCTGCGGATTAAAGCCACGGAATTGCATTTCATTAGAGGGAGCTGTACGAACCTAGTAGGGGCAGACTGAGGAGAGTTTTCCGAGAAAGTACTTGTTATTAGGTTCAGTTTGAGCCTTACGTGGGAAAGATACACTTCGCACCTCTTCTCTATAACGGCATCTATGACATTGTCGTCGCAGATTCCAGCTTCCCCGTCTTCTTGCCACAACTGGAGTAGCGGGCGGATGAGAGTCATAGTGGGAGCAGAGAAAAAGGGAAAGCGATCCCGTCACGAATTTATGCCGATAGATTCGTTGCTTTGCAGCTGTTTTCATACTGGACATTGACAGTATAGAGCTCAAGGGATCGCCGTATAATGACGCAAATGACGCGCTTCGTCACAAGGATATCGTTATTAGTAGCTATAGGACCGATGGTGCATCCCCGGCGGGAAAAGCACCGGCCACATGGACCTACAGACATCCACATGCAGGTATTAGAAACGTTGCTGCAGTCTACGGAAACACTGCCTGGCCCTACTTGATACCGGCCCATACCAACAACGCTGTAGCTATGGTTTTTACACATCAGATAATTACTTTCCAGCAAAGATTTATCGCCAAACCTACAGTAGCTCAGCACGCAGAATGACGTGCTTCGATTGGCCCCAACTTATCAGTGCCTTGGGACCTCGCGACGTGATATAGCAAAGGTCGTTGATTGCGCGACGAGGTCTTGAGACATTGTATATCCTGCAAAGGTATGATAGTATGAGTAGACATTTCCCCGAACGATGCGCTCTGAAGGAGCGTACCAAATGATAGAGCATCTGAATGAAATTGCAGAGATCTTTGGTAAAATCTATGGCACGCCGAACCCTGACATTCAGTGAGAAAGTGAGACTCAATAATAGGCGGTTTGACGCACCTTCCACTACATCGACTTCATTGGCAGAAGCCAAACACCATCTCATATTCTCAGTTCCAGCTCGCAAGTGCCTTCTCGCTTCGACTTCACATTCCTAGCGCGGATAACCGTCCTTACGGGAGGGGCAATGACAATGCATCTGGATAGGAAATAGGCATTAGCCAGCCTCGAAAATAGACCGAAGCATGCCACTTATTACCCTTGAAACTCCTCGGTGTTGCAGAAGGAATCGCAATTAGGTATCCTACCATGGTGGTGGTTGGTTTAAGCAAGAATTGTGACTGTCACAGTGACATCCCGACGACCCGCTGTATCCGAAGGGGCGCGCTGACTCATCAGCGCCATGTTGTGCCATACTTTTTTCAAACTTCTTCAACTGGGTTAGTCTTGGGCGGCCTCCTCCAGAAATAAGGCCTATATAATCTGTATTCCATCTAGAGTGTAAGGGATGCGAATTTCTATGGACCAATAATTACATCATTCATTTATCTTTATTTACCTACTCCTTTGGATGACTACGTATGCGCCGTTTTTTGGCCTTTTTCACAACTTTATCTGGGATTTCTACCACCATGTCGTGTCTTTGACTCTATCTTCTTTGGCAATATACGCCCGAATCGTACTCAGTCTTGGGTTGAAGACCCGTCCCGTGGCAGATCCTTTACATAGAGGGAGCTCTGCACAATTTCCATCTATTTTCTGTTCCTAAAGGGAAGAATGGTTGGATCTCGTCTCTCAGCATCCAATCACAAAGCTTGCAGGATTCTCTATGACTATTTATTTGACATTACTGAGGCCGTATCTCTCAAAACCTGATGATCGACGCGAACAAGTTGCGAGGAACAGAGAGCTATGAATCTTTTGTCCGGGCAGAAAATTTTCTTTTGTTCCTCAGACGCGGTATCTGCTGACGATAATCCTCACCCTACTGCACTACTTTGAACCAAAATATATCAGAAGATATACTCCTCCATCTCGATGACTTGATATTTCCTCCAAACAAATTTCGACTTATTTCAATCGGGCGCTATGTTCTCTCGTCGCTACCTCCCTTCGGGTGCCACTCTCTACTACCCGGGTGGTCAAAGCACCGCCCAGTAATTACTCAAAATGGCTATTCTCGCCAATTGATACACGATTGACTACGACCAATAGCCATAAAAGCCACATCCTGTCAACCATTGTCCTCCCCATATACCCAACGAGTAAGTCTGTCCATAAAAGTCAATATCCCGACAACCAATTTATCGTCCCTCGAAAATCGTTATAAGGCGGGGCATCCCAGCATGTTTTCCCTCATCCTTCGCTGCCTCCCTTCTCCTTCACAGCCTATTAGTCCCTCGTCCCGTCCTTACATTGCCCATCCTCGACCAAGATGCCTCGCGTCTCCTCCCAGAAATCCAACGTGAGTACTTTTCCTTTCTATATCGGGCCTAATTGGCAGCCCAATTGTCCCAACGCTGATGTAATTTCCCCCCTTACCCAGAAGAGAGTCCAATGCAAAGTCTGCCTCAAACAATACGCGGACACGACTGGCCTTAGCCGCCACTCCAAGGTCCACCGCCCAGACGTAGAAAAGTATTTTTCTGTTCTCTCTCTCCAGCATGCTTTTACTTATCCTCGCATTCCTCAGCCTCATGTTCAGATGCACCGGCCCCGACTGTCACTATCGCACATTGCAAAAAGCCCGCTTCGAGGATCATATCCGTGCGAAGCAGTAAGTCTTCCCCATTCTCCACTCCTTTTCGCCTTCTCACTCTGTCCTTCCTTCAGTACAGGAGAAAAGCCATTCACATGCCCTGCTCCCGACTGCTCGTACGGTTCATCCAGTCCTGGGGGTCTCCATCGCCACCGAAAACAGTGCGAGAAGCTAAACGCTCCTCCCCAATCCATGCAACAGCCGCTTCCCCCCAAACAGCTCCTCCCCGCCATCGACGCCGGAATGCCACTCGAAGAGGTCATCACGTGCATGACATCCCCTCAATCGAACGTCGGATCTTGGTTGTCTGAGGATCTCGTGTCATCCTCGGCATTATTGCAATCCGACCTACAAGACATTCCGAGCTCCTTGACAATGTCCTCTTCGCATGCAAACCGCTCGCCTTCTCCCGAAATGGTCGCCTCAACGTCTGCCACAGACGATTCGTTGTTCGTGAATACCAACGCGGGCAGCTTCACGGACCCACTCAGCTTCTTCGACTCCTTCCCTGTGGCCTCACCTACATGGTCGGATCTCAGCTCATCGGTATCGTCGTCATCCTCCGGTAACGACGAGCGGCTTTCACCCTCCTTTGATTTCGATCAGTTCTCGATGTCTAACTTTTTGCGGGACAACTTGATTACTACATATTCAAGCCCGCTGAACTTTGATGTCACAGAGACACTATCCTTCTCTGATTCTCCCTTCTCATTGACATTTCCAAAAAATGAACCTGCCTTTTCGTTTGATTCGTCGATGGAGGATTTCTCCCTCTTTCCAATCGAGAAGCTCTCCACACCGCCCTTCTTCCAAGCGGAGCAATCACCATCATCACCACCGTCCACATTCGACTGGATGTTTTAAAGCTCGGAGCAGAGCCTGAACTCTTTCCCCTTTGTCTAACCTCCCTTGTACCACACGGACATACTCTGTTTCATCTTTCTTATTGTTTTCTATTCATCTAAATCATACCCTTCGCATTAATACCAGTTTTTTTATTGTTACTCGAAACAACATTTCTAAATTGTCCATAGAATATTGAAAAGGTATAAATTTCGCTCGAGCCTTGAAGAAGCGCCACTAGCATTTCGCAGGTGGGAATCAATCAGTACACTAGATCAAGGGTTCAGGAGTAACTCTGCAGCAACAGAGAGGTAGCCGCGGAGGAGAGGCTATAGCGGCCTGAGGTGTCGAGAGTTTCCATCTAGTTCTAAGTTCTAACGGTTATATGCGAAGCATGCTTTCGTTTGCACCCTTTGATGACAGAAGTGCGATTCATGTCGAGAGAAGTAACACAGCCAGGTCCGGTGGTGGCAGAGATTTTTCGGGACTAGAAAGGTTAATATTTGGTCACGTCTGTCATGACTCATGGGAGAAAGGTGTAGGCGGTAAGAAATAGTAACCATATATGATATATAAAGCCAACAAATCCAACAAGGAAATACTGCCGCGAGCCTTGTGCGCGACTATGGTGAAAAAAAAAGACTTAACCAAGTAGCACAAATATCAAAGTATTCTTCGACGCGTTTTTTTGTAGAAATACAAGGCAACATCGTGGTTTCGACTCACTGGCGTCCCCCGATGAACCGTATCGTGTAATCCTACCTATCTACGTATCTATGGACTTTTGATGGACGTCCTACCCAGATTATATCCAAACAATGATTGTACGTTCATGCAATTTTCTTCCTACACCATCTCATAAAACGCCGAAGAATCCCGCCATAAAATATTGGCCACCATCCGATTCCAAGCTGCACAAAACCACCGCGCCCAATGAATGCTCGGCGTGATAAAATACGCAGGAGGGAAAGTGTTTCCTCCATCCTCACGTACAGCGTAGAACGACGGTAACATAGTAACCTCGTTGGCTGCTGAACCCATTACCTCGCTGATGGTGGCGCGGACTTCAGCAGTCACGTCCTTGGTCCATGCGATGTCCTTGATGCCTACTTTCACTTGCCGTGGTGACGGTGAATTGTATCCGGTTCGTATGTGCTCAGCTGGTGGAAGTATGACTGACGGCTTCGGGTGCTCGGATATATCTGTGCTTTCGTTTTGAATTACTTCTACTGCAAACGTGCCGTTGGACGTGTAACTGGACGAAGCAGATGGAACATCAACGCTGGTGCGCCAGTGGCGAGGCAGAATCTTGCTGGTCGCTAGATTATTATCTGCAGGCCAATGAGCACACGAAAGTACAGTTAAATTCATTACATCAGTTACCAATGCCAGAGTTAGATTTGAATAAATTGAGGGTCTTGATACTGCTACTCGCTCGAACGTCATCTGGGTTCGATCGTAAGCTGGTAGAATTGGAACAATACTCGTATAGGATAGAACACTTGCCGGTAACATCCCCATTATATTCATCAAATATTTCCAAAGGAAACAAGCCGAAATAATCACACACATCTATCCCACCCAGAGCGGGGTCAAACCCACACATAGCTGCAGATTCACGTATGCGCACTGAAGCCCTTTCGATGGCCAGTGCTCTATACGATACCAACTGACCACTCATGTCGATTCTAACTGAGAGGATTTTTTCGGCTTCTTCGGGAGGTATAGGGACGCCATTTGCAACGAAGCTGAAAGGCAATGACATCTCGGGAGGTGATCGTGAAGTTATGAGAGGGGCATTGAATATCACCGATACGGAGAGGGCATCCAGGCCACGGTTCGGTAAGGAATTTATGTTTGGTTGGATACGAAGGTAGAAAGTCACGTCTAGATCCCATGAATCAGCCGAAAATAACATCCTGATAACATTTGCATTAACCTTCTCTCAAGTCTAGGATTGGATACGGCCCCTGCTCTCTCAGTAGTGCTTGCGCAAACCAGGAAAATGCAAGCCTTTGATAGTTCTTTCGATCACTAGGAAAGACCGAAAAGGAGTAGATCTGATTTGGAGATAATGACCAATGTACGGATGTCGTTTTGCTTGAAAAAAAGTTCGAGTAAACGCGGAGAAAATGACGAGATGCAACAAACTTAAAATGCCGAGAACTGCTTCGCTCCGAATCTCCGGTCCACTCTAAGGTCCACTCTTCTAAATCACCCACCACTCTCCCATAGCTAGCAAAACCTGGATATCCAGGACAGCTTTCGGGATAATGGAAGCATCGCCATGTGTTGCGTCCGAACAACAAGTGAATGCTCTCATAAATTTGCCAGAGACGGTCTTTCTGTAAACTCGTAGGACGTGAAATTACATGCTCCAGATCCGCCAGATCCCGATCATCACTTCCCTTTGTGCCCTCTTCGGTATACATAACCACTGACACTCGAGAGCACCCCAAATGTAAGACGAAAGATTTATAGAAGTAATCATTTAGAGTTAAATCATCGAGGATGACTCGCCCTTGTTCATCAAAGCAGTTGTAGGAGATCGGCATTCTCTGTGGCTACCATGAGTCGTACATTTATTTAGCGGAGAAGTGTATTTCACTCACTCCTTTGTCTTCCTGCTGTCGCACCCAATCTTGTCCGGCTAGGTAGTTTGCTATGGACTGAAACAGATTAATGCTTCAGCGGTCTAGAAAGATTGTTATACCTGCCAATCATTGTACTAGGTAGGCTAAGCCGCACAGAAAGGTCCGTAAATGAATGATTTCCCACCATTCCAATATAGAAAAGAAGCGCCTCCCTCACGCTCGATCTTGATCTACGTTCCATCATATCCCCATAATTGTACCGTTTTCTGTCATTGACGTTTCCTAGAAACATACAGCTGAATCAAGCTAGGCATGCTGCTAGTCAGGCGGAACCTCACGGTGGAACACAAGAGCCGGAAACGTTGGTACCACGCATACACCAAAAAGTTGGGTGATATTTGGATGCCTAGTTCAAGGTCGGAGTAAGTCTAGTGATAACGCGTTCATCGTACCTCAAATGAAGTCTTCGATCTACTTCTTTTTGAAATTGCTTGAAGGGATGAGACTATGTGTAAGCGGAGAGGAAGCTTAACGTACTTGTATCATTTGTTCTTTATGATCAGCCGGAACTCGATAAACACGAACAATTTTTGGGCAGTCATCGATGGTTGCACCATATTCATCAAAATTAGAGTTTTGTTGCCATGAGTCGCGTGGGACCGGTGCCCTGATGTATATATCTCCTGGAACGAGATCTCGGACCTGCAAAGGAGATATTAATAACCGAAACATGTAGCTAAAAAATCACGTACCACCCCCTTATAAACATTTCCTCGTTCACGGAAGGCCTGAAGTAATGTCATTCGAAGTTTTTCTATGTTTTCGCTCTGCGTGATGCCCAAGGTGAGCACCTCTGAGATATTGTCCTTGATGATTGACGTGACAGTCCTCTCTGATGTCTCCACGAGACCGGTCAGAGTGCTGAATTTCGTACTAACTTGATCCTGGACATCGGATAGGACCAGTCGTGTTGTGGTTGTCGTACGAATCTGCGAATTGTTCAAGAGCAATTGCAGTGATAATGACAATACACATACCAGGAAGTCTTCCTTAACCGTTTGTATCCGCTGTCTGTAAGTACTAATGTCATCAGAGATCTTCTTCGCTCTGAAAAACCGCCGGATTCCACGAGGCGACCTCTTTTCGCTGTTCAACTTGGAAAGAAGATCAGTCATGTATCTGTGTGTCGATGCATCAGGAGGTTCAGATTATAATTTTGGGTGAGCTCACGTCTGAAATTCTACACAGATTCTCTGGAAATGCGAAGCACTAGTCGGACCATGTTCGATTACAGCGTCCCTCACAGCAACCAACGTGTTCACAATACTCTCAGCTAACTCTCGTAGATCACTTCTATTGCTCGCGGCTTTCTGCAGGTCTCATTAGCGAAGAGGCAGGGAAAATAATCACAACATGCCTGGATAATCTCGAGGACGACTACCACGCTTAGGGCGGTACCCTTGATAAATGGAAAGGGAACCATTTCGCCCGCCGCAGCGATCAGTTTTGCGGCCTGGAGACATGAATCGATACCAGACATGGTGATAGAACGAGAAGACGTGGAGAGAAGTGCTGCACTGTATAAGTCTACTTGTGTTTTAGGTTCTGATCGGCGTCGCAAGATTTGGATTGTTGTGGTCTTTGACAGTTCGTTGCAAAGGGACATGGCCGTGATGATGCTCAGCCGATTGTTCGAATGCCGACGGCGTACGATGAATTTTATTGGGTCGCTGACGTCGGTAGACGAAGCACCATACGAGTTATGTCCCTGTGGAATAGCTGCCATCCTCAATGAGGACTATGAACCCATCGGCTGCACCATGGGTCAACGATTTCCCTGGTTTGGTTGCATCGCTCTCCGTAGTTGTAACAAAAACACGCTGTTGAGAACCAGGTAGGCAAACTGAATAAAGGCGTCTCTGTTGATATGGCTGTACCTCCGCAGCCTGTAAAAGGCGCAAGGATACGGAGCGACTCTGATTGATAAATCAGAGATGAGATCCACAGGCAGTACTGATATTCCGAGGACAGGGCTGTTGATACCGTCGGCCATTGCAGCGAGAATGTGGAGCATGTAGGGAGTGACAGGCGAACACGTCAGAAGGACTTGCCATTAAAAGAAAAAATTTACATCTGGGTAAGAAGCAAAAGGTTTCGCAGTTTGCACTACCAATGGTGGAAAGGTAAGGCGAGAAATTGGCAACGAGCTGGGAAACCTCCCCAGTGATCGTGGGTGGCCAAAGCGATGCATTATTTGAGCGCGCGCTACTATTACGAAAACGGGTAGCGCAGTACCTTGTATTGGAGCATAACAGACGTGCATTTCGTGAGTTCTCGAAGAGGAATCGTAAAGGAGTATGGTTCTCGCTACCCTCACAAGCGAGTTATCCCTTGTCAGTGGAATGACGCCTGTTATGTGGTTGCATGGAAGTCGCGTTCTGGGATTGACAAACAGTTTTTTCTGCGAGGGAATTTGATGTATGAAGTGCGTTAGAATCAGAAGGTCATCCGGGAGCTGCTCTTTGAGTGGTCGCTGGCAGTATATATTACAAGATGACCGTGAAGTGATAGCTGTTAGACTAACCAGGTAAAAAAATAGCACGAATGAGAGAAAACAATCACTCACAAGCTGGGTAGATATCACATACCTGTCACCTTTCCATGCCCCTTCCCACTGAATTAACCATCGAACGTTTTCCGTCATGCTATAGAACCAATGGCCACGGATTAAATTCTTTGGGAAGAGATAGAATTCTCAAATCTGCCACACAGGCCAGAATATCACTAGAGTCCAGTTGCTGAGGATAAGCCTGGTCCAAGAGCACCGTGAGGTGGGATATGTCAGAATATGTTGTCGTTGCTGTTAGTGTCGAGCTATTGCGATAGTGACATGTAAGCATCAAATAAGTAGAAGCTAGCGAATTCGCCGACCTGTGTATATGTAGTAAGAAAAACGGCGACTGAATTTTCGCTGTTCAATAGTGGATGTTGGGGGCCAGGGCTCAAGAGGGCAAGTACGGTAGACCGGTCCGAGTCGGTGAGTTCCAGCTGCCCTTTTGGGAGGACTCGCGATCTCTTCCTCCTTCCATGACTGTCGTCTCATTGGTTCATCCAAATTGTTCTCTTGTATTTAATCTCTCGGCTCTCTTATCCTCATTGTCGCCAAAATAATAGGCTACGACGCGTCACTTTCCAGGGCATGCTCTCCTCAATTGACCGTTGCCAAATAATCATGCTGGTCACCCTTCAGACGCTTCATCAGTACTTGTTCACCTGAGCGACGCAAATCTAGTGTAGGAAGATGTTATGAAATGGTGAATTGGGTTGGGCTTCAGGTACGTCGTGTTTCGTTTCCTTGGATGCATAAATTAACATGAAAGCTTATCGGCCTTTTTCTGCAGAAATTTGCTGCAATGTTTATGGCATTTTCTTGATTTTCTGGGAAAGCCATGAAAGCGTTCTGCACCTGTACGTTATATCTGCATCGAAATTACTCGATTTCCCTCCAACCTGGCGAGAAAACCATCTGGAACACTTGCGAGGTGAAATACCAGCATAGTAAGAAAGAGGAAGAGAAAGTCGAAGCCAGGAAGCGATCGTTTCCGAGTGTGTATATCCTTAACTTGTACCAAAACCGTTACCTGAACAATATCTATCTTCAGCATAAGTGAAAAAAAGGGCGCGACATTCGACCTCGACTGCATATATTGTACATTGGTGCGCCGCATGTTCTTCCAGCATTTACAGGGTAACCATGACGCCTCCCTCAGCACTCCTCCAAATAGCGTCGACAATGCTCTTGATCTGAACCGCATGCTGCAAGTCGGGATAATCTCCAGCGCCTTCGCCCTTCAAGTATTCCTCCCAGGTCCTACCCGCATTCGTCCTACCATCATCCTCAATTTTCACCTCATCATCATTCACCCAAAGTTGCGTCGGTTCGTACACCGCTACAAAAGCTGCGAAGGGATTGTCGCTCTCAATCCTTATGCTTCCTTTCGTCCCGTCGATAACCCATACAAGCGGAGTCGCCGCTTTCTCATTGGCAGGTTTCTCCATCCCCGTACGCCAGTGCAAGCTTATCACAGCACCGCTCTTTAGCGTGCCAGATACGGCTACCTGTGACGGACCGTCAATGGAGACAACATCACCAGTGGGTGTGCCATCAAAATTGAGCACTTGGGATGAGGGGTGCTGGACGACCACGGTAGCGAATACAGTATCAATCGGTCCAAGAATATATGTGAAGGCCTCAAGGAAATGGCCTCCAGCGATATCAAGAAGTGTCGCGCCGTTCTCCTTTTTCAAACAATATTCGCTTCCTTTAAACACTGTTGGTCCCCACGGCACATGCGGACCGGATACTCGTGATGTCTACCATCAGTGAGAGGGACGCTATGTGAGATCACCAAGGCCTACTCACCACGCTCGTGGACAAAACATCTCCAATTTCTCCTTCTTCGACCAACTTCTTCACCTTGCGAAACAACGGGCTCTGTCTGGCCTGAAGTCCAACGATCGTCCGGATCCCCTTCTCCTTCGCTAGGTCAGCGAGAAGCTTTGTTTCCCTCAATTCTCGCCCAGCCGGCCACTCGATGAAGAGATCTTTCCCAGCCTCAATGGCCTTTGTGGCATTCTCTACATGATTGGGTGTCTTCACTGACACGGCGATCAGATCGAGGTTGGGATCGGCAGCGATGGACTCGGGAGTATGATAGCCCTTCACCGCGGTCTCGGCAGTGGAATACTTCGCTGCACTTGCTTCGGCAGACGTAGGGTCCGATGTGGATACAGCGAGAAGCTTGTAATGCGAAGAGAGAGGTGGAGCCAGAAGGGGAGGTACAAGATTCGTGGACGCCCATCCTTTGGTCGATAGGCCAATAACTCCCACGCGAATCGGTTCTGTCATGGTGGTCGAGAGAAGAGAAGAGTAATCTCGTCTTTATGTTGCCATTTAATTTTCTGTGGAAAAGTCTTCGCGGAGATTTCGGTGGGTATTAGTGATCTCTTTGATATCCCGAGACTGACGGCATCCCGTTTAGTCATTCAGTCGGTATTGGATCGACAAACATTATCCTGAAGACTACACGACGGACAACGGCCAGAGCTACCCTCTGGTCGTCGTCGATGGAGTTCACAATAATCCATGCGCACGTTTGATTTCTCTCCAACGAACCTCCTTCATACGGCCAAGCATGCGAATTATGCGTCATGAGACTCCATTTGGATCTCAAATGCTTCTTTCTCTCACAGACAAACTGGGATGCCACTGTTCACCCATGGCGCTACCACAGCGCGTATTGCTCGAAGCACCGCATGAATCCTTTCCGTGTTACTCTTTTTCGGTCCGGCTGGCCTTCGTTCCGCTTCATATCTACCACCCAAGTCTGTTGATACCATACTGGCAGTCACTATGTGGCTCTTTTGCTACTTGCGACGCGTTTCGACTGGTCTTCGCACAGTGGGTACATTTTGTGATTACCACTGACATATCAACCTAAAATCAACCTAAAGTCGGCCCATACTACCCAGTATCATTTGACCTCTCTTTCACGAAGAGATAGTAAGCACAATCGGCCATTATCACCTCATTCGAAGCTCACTCTTGCCGTAGCCCAAGGGAGTTCGTGCATCCAGGACTGCTTCACACGGCCGGTATATTGTCCTCTTTCTCGCACCCCTGTCGTATTGCGACCGACCCTTAGCAGACAACTTCGCTCGTATCAAGAAATGCGTCTTCGAAGAGTCTGCCGGGCCACGGGTCTCTGCGTTTTCCAACTTTTTTTGCAAATCGCTTTGCACAAGCTGATTATACGATGGCTGGTCCGGCTTCGTATGTTCAGCGTGGGTCGCCGAGCTCGTTGTCCTGGACGTGGTGGCAGAATGGTCGGTGTCATTCTTTTAACTCCTTTACTCAGTCGCTGACCATGATACAGATGCTCGGGGAGAGTACTATGTAGGCTGATTTGCATGAAACTGCTGTTCTCGGCTAGTTGGACTGCTTTCAGAACGCGCCGATATGGGCAATCACCAATGAAGAAGCACACGCATGAAAGGGATCGAGATACTCACTAGATGGGCTAGCGTCCTCACTGTCGTGAACGGGACGGGTCCTCAGCTTGCTGCTGGCCTGCGGGGGCAGCGTTTCGTCAATGTATGCGCCCGTCGTATTCATTGTCATCAAGATTGACTGACATAGATGTAGCCTGTAGGTGGCGGAGATTCTGTGATACTTGGGACCAATAAATACAACGGATTATGCTGCAGTCACGGCGATGTTCTTTAAAGCTATCGCACCCGCTTTGGTTCCAGTTGGGCAAGCGAGTTATGGTGTTGCTGGTAGGAACGGCATGGTTGGCGAGTATGGTCAAGGTGAAATCGCTTCGTACTGAACTTGGGAATCGGGATATCAGTTCGCTAATTACTGTAGCACAGATAATCGAGAACCAAGGCTTGCCGAAGGTGTGGAACATGGTAGCAATCCTTCTTCTGAATGGTATAACTGCTCTCCTTTCCTCGACGCGTACCGATGAGTGTAGGGTACGTACAAATACTTGGCTCGGTATAATATGGCAGACGATACGACCTTAGCTAGGCTCGCTGTCAAACTGTTTTGGTTAATGGGCCATGGACCGAGATCTAAAATGCTTCGTGTGGAGTGCAAGACAGTATCTTTGAGTTGCCGTACGCGAATCTGCGGTGGAGATTGGGTGTGAAGATCTGTTTCTTCTCCTGGTATCGGGGAAGAGTCATGCTGATGATGCTATAGCTCTGTTGGTGACCAAGGCTGTGATGGCAAATGGGCCAGAGTAAGAATTCATCCGGTGATATACCAATCATCTCTTTGTACCATGTATACTCATATGTATAGTATATTCATGAGCTCTTCTCTCCTAATGATGTATTATCATTATGTTTTCAAAGATCATTGATTTGAAAATTGAAATGCTCAAGTCTCAGTTTGCTGGAAATCTGCCATTTGCTTTACACTTACAAGTGTTAACTTGTAAAATTTATAAGAAATAAGAGCACAGAGGTTTATTTATACTGAACATCTGTCTTACTGGAGTATGTAGCATTGTCCAACATCTTCTTTCATATATATGTACACACATAGGTTGATAGAAAGGCTCACTATAATAAGCCACAATAATAATTTGACCCATCTTCTTGTACCTGCATTGATAATCTCTGGCTTGATGTGTTTATCTGCTGCTAGTACTGTTTTATTCAATTGGATAGAGTTGTCAAGCAACTCTGGCTCCTGGACTGCTGCAGCATTATTTGGTGGGATGTCTCCTCCAGACAATCTGTGCTTATCCTCATTATTTGTATCATCCCTGCCTACTGCACTCTTGCAACTTGTATCCTTCTTACCATTGATTCCAACTGTATTATGCTCAATCTTTTCTTTCACATCATCCTTGACATGACCTATTTATTCATTCTCAGTGTCAGCAAAATCATCATAAAAATGATAAAGAAAGAAATCACCCCACATCCACTCATGACCTGACTCTATTGGAGAATCAAACACCTCCATGGGAAACAACTGGAAATATTCACAAACTTCCTCTGAACTCTGAAACCCACATATCCTGATCAACTCATTAATAGTAGAAAGTTTCCTCTGTGGCACACATGTCACAGGTGCATAAATCCTCATTCTAATATTAACACCAAATGTTTTCTCAGCATCTTCACGAGATAGATCTCCCATATCTGAGAAAAATGTGAAGGTGGGCCAGGGTAAAAGATGCTTTTGTGCATCAAAATGAGGAGGTATGATTGATAATGATAACATCTGTGATGTATCATCAGATACATTAATTAAGGACAATGGCTGTTGTTTTGATCTGTGGGTAATAAAGATAGAGAAACTGACATCTAAGTCGATTATTTCTTTTGATTAGTCTCTTATTTACTGAGAGTAAGAGAAACACCACCTACGTTCTTGCACAGTAAATGTACAGTCTTCATAGCAGCCTCTCTCATGAATAAGATGAGTGAGAGAGAGCAGCTGAGTAGCTTGAGCAAACCATGAGTGTCTTAATTGAGGCAGATTGTAGCTGTCAAATGGGACACAAAAGCAAGGCTGGAGTGTAACTCACTGAACATACTCCAATGGCAGAATAAAAGGGTTCTGTGTACTGTAGGGAGGTAAATTTCAATAAATATCTACTAAAGAATGAAGATCAGAGCCCACCTGATTCTTTGCTCATGTAATCCATCCTTGTCCCACCATACTATAATCCAATCTTTAAGATCAACCACTACTCTTCCTACAAGATAGTCTTGCTGTAGACTAGTAGATGGACTATGAAGAATAGTCCCTGGTATATATAGAAGATTGACTGGAAATTTATTTAAATCAAAAAAAGGATTTTCAAAAAAGAGAGAGCCAAAGTGTTATGGTTTATTCATTTTTCTTCGCTTTTACTCAGCTCGATTACTCATATGTGATCACCACGGACAGTTTCTCACAGTACTATTATTAGCGTACCTAAGTGTATTTAAGTAGAGCCTCAGCTGGCCTAAACCCCAGCTTCGGCTAAGGTTTAATCTACCTAACATCGAACTCCGTGTTTCGCGACTATCTCGTTCGCTCGCTGCCTTGATCTTGCCTTTGACCCACTAGTGTATCGACTACCAAAGTGCGAGTAGTGATCCTAGTCTGATCTAAGTCAAGTTGAGTTAGTGGCTAACATTTAGCCGAAGCTCGCTCTACGTTGCCCAGCGACACATACGCTGCCCAACATTTTTCCTTTCCTACTCCTTGCCGCGGTATTGGTTTGGGTGGTACCCTTCGTACTGCACGACCCAATCCTACTAGTCCTGATCACCATCCTACGAGTGTTCCTCTTCTGCTATTACGTTCCGGCACCGATTTTTGCAGCCTTACTCCTGGTGGCTTATGTCAGATTCCTTCATATCTAAAGAAGAAAACAAATCCCTTTCCCTTGTTCCTAAAGGCAGCATCATTACTGGCAGTTATTCTGCTAGTACTGACTGACCCATTCCCTGCTGACGATCTCAGCTTGATGACCGGTTCCACCTACGAAACCGACCTCAATCTGATAATCGCCATACTTGCCGCTATCACCATAATTGCTTTATCCATCGCATGGTCCGCCGTGGTCATCGGTCTTATCCCAAATTAAGCCCACGCATGGATGCCCTTATCCGACGTCATTCCCGCCATCTCTGCTGTTTTTATACTCTTTTTCTTGTCCATCTTCTTGTATCAGATTCACCGGTGCTGCCGCCAACAGAGAAGGGTTCGCGCGCAACTTCCCTTCCATTACGTACCGACCACGCCGGCTTACCCGCCGCAAATAATTGACATTCCCCCGGCCTCGCAACAAACTCTTCACGATGGCCGACCCATCACACCGAGAGGACCTGGAGAGTCCCTCTACGGATCGTCGCGATCCAGCTCAGGATCCTACGAGTTGAGCACCGACTCCTACAGAAGCACCTCCGCCGAGTCCATCGACATCACCGATACCCGGGGGGTACTCCTCGACAGAGGAGACTCGCCCATACCAGGCCTCTTCGCTCAGTCTCCAGTCGCAAGCGAGTCAGGAGAAGAAGGAAGGGATCTGGAGTCGGGCCAAGAAGAAGATGTCAATACCAACTTCGAAGGGGATGAGCTCACCGAGCTCGAAAGAGTCCGTCTCTCAGCCCTCCTCGACGGCCTCCTCACGGAAAACGAAGGCGATGAGGACGATTCCGGAGTCCGCCCCATCGACCGAGAAGGGGGATACTACGGTGGGAGCACCTGGGAGGAAGTACGAGGTAGGAGGATCGCCTCAGACGAGGCAAGAGATCGAGCAAGGCTCGCAGCGTCCAGGGGACGTTGAGACGACTTCGACGAGGATTCCGGAGAGCTTGCCCTTGGGGCCTCCACCGCAACTACCACCCGTCCAAATGGAGCAGGGACCGTTCCAACTTCTTGGCCTCCCAACCGCGGAGAGCCAGTCGCCTGGTACCCCAGTACCAGTTGGGTCTACACCGACCCCAGGGAAGAGGCTCCTATGGCCAGAGATTCAACAGCCAGGACCGGGGCAGAGCCCATCCCGCCAACGGCCGACGCGATCCCTCCCGCCATCCCTGCGAACAAGCAGGAGGATCGGGAGCTTTGGGGTGAGTTCCCAGTCTATGACGCTGAGGAACTTGGAACAATTGCCGGAGCCGGGGATCTCGCCGGAGTCCCCAATTTCACCCTGTCCATCTCAGCACGAGCCTTTGCCGACCCCGTCCCGATACTCCAGCGCCCATGGCCCCTTCTCTACCACATGCTCGTCGAGTCCCTCAGGCTCCCTCGAGCTGCCTGGCTCGCCCCAGAAATCCAGGCCCAAATGGACCGAGCAAGAGCGCACGATGCACGCATCCGTCGGGCCAAGATCGACGCCCTCCAGGGACCCAACAGACTTTGGGACCTCCCGCTCGAACCTGACGCCACTCCCGCCAAGGTCGAAAACAGAATCTGTACCGCTGCCCTCCGATACTCCGGAGCGGCCCAACGAGCCGGAACCGACTTGGAGGCCAGAAGAAGAGCCTGGAACTCCTACCAGGCCAAGATCAGCGATGAGGATTCTGACATCGGGTGGTGGAGAAGAAACAGGGAAATCAACCAACTCGCCAGAGAGAGGGAGGCGTCAAAGGATGCCAAGCCGACCCCCAAACAGCTCCCTAGAAGAGACGGTGATGGGGGCAGTAAGGACGATCCTCCTAAATAAATCAGCGACGGTCCCGGCCATTTTCGAAATACTCCTGTGGCATGGCCTATACGAAATTATGATGGAAGACATGGAGAAGGACCCGCAGTGGCTTTTTACCGAAGCGGGGGAAGACTACCGACACGCCAAGTACATGGGGGACGTGTACTTGATGAAGAATATACTGGAGGTGGAGACTTGGCACAGAGCGGCGCTCGTGTGGAACCAAGTCCACCCCGACAGCCAGCAGCCTGGGTGCGAACCTTATCGATGCCCTCAACCAATGCCCAACCCACTCGAGACCATGGTTTTTGCCGCCGGCACAGGAGGGGAAGATGACGAATATGAAGACGAAGGAGCCGGACCCTCATGCCCGGATAAGGGAAAAGGGTCCACAGTGCCTCCAGTGCCGCCGTCGGGACCACCCACGGGTAGAAGGCCCTCCCCCCACTTCGGAGGTTACCCTCCTCCGGGGGACAACCCCCGACTCCGGTCCCTCCCACGACCACCCGGTCCACCAGTACCACCGGTGCCGCCACCGCCCCCGGACCCAATTCCCCCCTGGCAGCTAGCGCCCGGGGCAGCTAATAACCCGTGGAATGACGTGAAGCCCAAGCTGATCACTCAGCCAGAATACTTCACCGGGGAGTCGTTGGACATTAACCGATTCCTCCATCACTGCGAGGTATATTTTCAGGTATTCCCCATGTATTACACGATGAACGACGAGGGGCAGAACCCCTATCGTATCACCTTCGCCATGGGCTACCTCCGAGGCAAGGCCAAACAGTGGTGGGGTGACCAGTACTACCGCTACCGGGATCCGCGGGGGCACTGGAGATTCCCGACGTGGGAGGAATTCTCGCATGACCTCACTGTGCAATTCTGAGAAGTAGCCGAATTGACAATTTGGAAGCAAGAATGGAAGAAGGTGTGACAGTCAGACTTCAAGTCAGCCGTAGAGTTCTTCGCGAAGTTCGAGAGGTTGGCCCACAAGTGCGAGGAGTTCAGAGACGAGAAGCAGATGTTCGAAGCCGTGGAAGCCGCGATACGCCCCACGGTTCGAAATACGGTTATGCATGGGGACAATGAGCACCCCACAACCTACGCAGAGTGGAAGGCACGAGTACTGTGCATTGACGCGAACTATCGGTATGGAGCCGCCCAAGGACTGGGCAATAAGTCCTCCTCGAACCAAGGAAGTGGTTCGGGTCGAGGCAATCAATCGTCACAGAAGGGAGGCGGGCAGGGTTCTAGCGGCGATAAGAAGGATGCCACGGGAACCACCTATGGAGGTGCCAGGCAGCCGATGGAGATCGACAAGCTCAGAAGCGATAAGCGGTGCTTCAAGTGCGGAAATACCAAATGGAGCCGGGACCATAAATGCCCCACGGACAAGTCGAAGTGGCTTCCCGTCAAACTCCCCCCTCGCAAGAAGATACCCACCCAACGCCTATGCCAGTTGCTCGCAGAAGCCGAGAAAGAAGAGAACGGAAAGGATACGAAGATCGAGGAGGTCAAGGAGGAGAAGTCGTCAAAAGACGAGCCGGCGTCGAAATAAGCGATTCGACGGTGTCGGCAAAGGACTCAGTTTCGGATGGTGTGCGCTCATGTACTTTTAGTCGGACTTATACTACATATGTAGGTACTCCGTATGAACAATATACCAACTTTTTCGCCGCGTTACCTATCGAAGAGACTGAAGAAACTGAATCGCAAACTACTGATGGCGTAGGAGGGGATTTCCGCTGCTCTACGCAGCCAGCATCCAGCACTGAACCCCAAGGGGCCGTCTGAGCTCAGGAACCCCCGCTCGACCATATAGGGAAAGCCCCTCAAGGGCAGAGCCCCCTAGGTACGAGTCCGACTGCACCTCAGATGTGGGGAGGTCACCCCGGAGAGGGAGAAAGGCCGGCAACCCAGCCCGTTGAGCCTGCGGCTACACCGTCTGTTTTAACGGGAAGCAATGGAAAAGCAGCTGAGGCCGTGAACCTGGGGGACCACCCTCACCCAGTAGCCATCTCGTTGGCAAACAGTGAGGACCTTTCAGGCGAGCTAATATGTGTGCCCCCACGAAGGGTTACCTGAAGTACCGCCGGGGGTAAGAAGAGCCGTAAGAACGGATTGACCATAGGGGTTACAACGCCGAGCACAAGCGCCCGTGGCCAGGGCCGAACAAAGGGCAGCGCGCCCTCCCCTACCAACTCGACGCAAGGTGACCAAGTGCCGCTGAGGGGTCCTCTTCGGCCTGGTGACCAACTGCCACCTCGAGGCAAGATCTCTTCGGTTTCGCTGGAAGAAGTAGAAGACGAAGAAGCCCACCTACGGTCCGACATACCGATCACACCACCCAAGGGGACATCTCATGTGACCCCCAAGGAAGTCGACCAGGAGATATCTCTGCAGGGGGACGGCACACCGCGTTATACTATTCGGGACATGTATTACGAACCTCATGGCATCTTGTGGACCTGATGAGCACTACGAATAGCAAAGAGGGACTCTGCGGCTCGTGCCGTCCTTAACGGATGGGTACATCCCCGGCGCCTAGGGGAGATCACCGACTGACTGTGTCACCAGCTGGAGGAACAAACAGAGACGGCCGCTCAGGCTAGGGAAAAATGGCAGTGGATGGAAGACTTACAGAAACCTCCCATGTACATACGCGGACGGAAGGGGCGCAATGTTTCAATAAAAATGCAGTTGGAGACCCTAGACACTTGGGAGATCCATGCCATAAGTGCCCTCGTAGACAGCGGCGCAACGGGAAGTTCTATCGACCGCGCCTGGGCCCAAGAACACCACCTTAACCTCAAACAGGTGGCGCGTCCCGTCCCGGTCTATAATGCCGACAGCACCAGAAACAAGGGGGGGGACATTACGGAATATGCCGAAGTGAGGCTACGTATTGGGGACCACATGGAACGGATCGACCTAGCCGTAGTCGACTTAGGCTCGACCCCTCTATTCTTGGGACACGACTGGCTTCAACAGCATAACCCGCTCATAGACTGGAACACCGGAGCAGTCACCCTAGCCCGATGTACATGCCGAAAAATCCCCTTCTCCCTGCCTGACACTGATCCCTCAGCACGATGGGAGGAGTACAAAGAGGGAGATACTATCCTGGTCATCGACTTCGAAGAGGCCTTTCACATGCGAGCCATGGGAACCAAGGCCAACGAGCTGGTGGCCCAAGCAAACGCAAAAAAGGCCACCAAATCCTTCAAAGAAATTGTGCCCCAGGAATACCGAGAGTTCAAAGATGTATTCGACAAGGAAAGTTTCGATGAACTACCCCCGCGTAAACCCTGGGACCATGCCATCGAACTCATCCCCAACGCTAATGCCAACCTAGACTGCAAAGTCTACCCTCTCAATCCGACGGAGCAGGAAGAGCTGGATAGGTTCCTGGACGAGAATCTATCGACTGGTTGAATTCAAGCGTCGAAGTCCCCTATGGCTTCACCCTTCTTCTTCGTTAAAAAGAAAGACGGGAAACTTTGCCCGGTACAGGACTATCGAAAGCTCAATGAAATGACCATCAAAAACCGTTACCCGTTGCCACTCATTGGAGAACTAATGAACCGGCTGAAGAAAGCCAAATACTTCACCAAGTTGGATGTGCGTTGGGGGTATAACAACGTGAGGATTAAAAAGGGGGACGAATGGAAGGCCGCGTTCAGAACTAATCACGGGCTCTACGAACCATTAGTAATGTTCTTTGGACTCACCAATTCCCCTGCGACATTTCAATGGATGATGAACGATATCTTCAAGGACTTAATAGCTGCTGGGGAGGTGTCGGTCTACCTCGACGACATTCTCATCGCCTCCAAAACAAAGGCAGAACACAAGAAGGTTGTGCGGAAGGTGCTGCAGATCCTTCGCGAAAACAACCTGTTCCTCAAGGCTGAGAAATGCGAGTTCGAGGTGGAAGAGACAGAGTACTTGGGGGTGATCATAAGCGAGGGGAAGATTCGCATGGACCCCGTCAAGATTGCCGGACTACTGGACTGGCTGACTCCTCAGAAGAAGCAGGAACTCCAATCTTTCCTGGGTTTCTGCAACTTCTATCGGCGGTTTATTCGAGACTATAGTAAACACGTCAAGCCGCTTACTCTCCTTACCGGAAAACAGGAGTGGAAATGGGGAGAGGCTCAGCAGAAAGCATTTGAAAGGCTCAAAGAACTATTTCGCGAAGATGTAGTGCTCGCCATCCCGCTAGACAAGGGACGGTTTCATGTAGAGGTGGATTCTAGTGAGGGAGCTATAGGGGCGGTATTGTCTCAATGGCAGGATGAGAAGTGGCGACCGGTGGCATTCCTCTCCAAGGCCCTCTCGGTCACGGAACGCAATTATGAAATTTACGACAAAGAGCTCCTAGCCATTATGATCACCCTTGAGGAGTGGCGTCAATACCTCATGGGGGCCAGGGAGGATTTCAAAATCTGGACGGATCATTCTAATCTCCAATACTTCCATAAACCCCAGAAACTCAATCGACGACAGGCCCGACAGGTAACCGAATTGGCAGAATACCAATTCACACTGCACCATAAACCAGGGGCACAGAATCGCAAAGTGGACCTTTTGTCGCGGCGAGCGGACCATGATCAGGGGAAGGAGGATAATCGGGACCTAGTTGTCCTCAAGGCGGAACATTTCAGAGCTCTAATAATGCCTACAGCCGAGGAATTGCACGAGAGGATCAAGGTCGTGACGCATGACCCCCGACGGTGGGACAGGGGGGTCTCCGACTCCCTCAACCATGAAAAGGGGATATCCTGGGATCAGGGTCTGTTGTGGTATGACGGACGCATCTATATACCAATGGATCACAACCTCCATGGGGAAATTATAGCCCTCAAACATGACCATGTTACCGCTGGGCACCCAGGCATCGAGAAGACCAAAGAGTTGGTACTTTGCGACTACTGGTGGCTGCGGATGCGGCGAGACGTGGAAGCATACGTAAAAGGATGCGACATTTGCCAACGAACTAAAGTCGACCGTCGTCCAAAAAGAGCTCCTCTCCATCCCAATGAAATCCTGAACCGTCCCTGGACGCATATCTCCGTTGATATGATCACCAAGCTCCAGGATTCCAAGGGGTTTGATTCGATCCTGGTCATTGTGGATCGATTTTCGAAAGCTATCATCCCCATCCCTTGTACCGAAGAGCTCACCTCGTTGGGCTTCGCCAAGATCCTAAGGGACTACATCTACGTACCGTACGGAGTGATGCCGGAAAAGGTTATCTCCGACCGAGGGTCAGTCTTCGTTTCAAAGTTCATGAAGGAATTCTACACCCTCCTCCGAGTCACCGGCAACCCCTCGACCGCATATCATCCTCAGACTGACGGACAAACGGAGCGAGTCAATCAGGAGATAGAGAAATACCTAAAGATGTTTGTCAGCGACAGGCAGGACGACTGGAGCGAGTGGTTATCCCTGGCCGCGTTCACGCACAACAATCGCCAACACTCTGCCACGGGATACTCTCCCTATAAAGTCATCTTTGGAAGAGATGGACAGGTCGTCACTATGGCTCAGAAGACGAGCACAGTTCCAGTGGCAGCAAAACTGGTGGCAGAGATAGAAAAGGCACAGGCGGAGGCAAAGACTTCCTTGGAAAAGGCGGCCGAGGTGATGAAGAACACTTATGATAAACACAAGGAGGCGGCGGTTGAATATCATGTCAGCGACCAAGTATGGCTGGACACGACCAACCTTCACTTACCCAGGCTGACCAAGAAACTAGCTGATAGACGAGTAGGCCCCTTCAAGATCACAGCAAAGAAAGGGGCCTTGGCCTATGAACTAAAGTTACCGGCAGCCTGGAAAATCCACAATCGCTTCAACGAATCCCTCTTGACCCCATACGCGCCTCCCATGTTCCCAAGTCAACCACACCCCAAACGACCACCCCCAGAGTTAATTGACGATGAGGAAGAATATGAAATTGAAGAGATCGTAGAGCAAAGGGACAAAGCCATCGGGCACGGTCGCAACCGTCGAACGATAACCGAGTACCTTGTTAAATGGAAAGGGTATCCGATGGAGGAAAACTCCTGGGTAAAATGTTCAAACATGGCCAATGCAGAAGAGCTGGTCACAGAATACGAGGCAAAAATCCAACGAATAAAAGGGAAGATAACAAGAGCCAACGATGGGTTGTCGTACGACGATGACACCCAATCAGACTCTTACTCCTCTCCCTTCTCTGCCCAATCTGTCACCACAAACGAGGCAAATGGGGTACCCGAGGTCGAAGCAGACGAAAACAAAGAAGAATCTGAAGTCAACCTAGAAAACCTACAACGAATCCACGAAAATTGGGATTGGGGTAGTAATCAGGATGACGACGACAGTGCAACCACCACATACACCGAATCCGCATCAGAAGGAGAAAGCTCAGGCTCTTATGAAACAAATGAGTCCTAGAAGGGGAAAACATATTTATGGTGTAGAAGGGGATTACCACTGCTCCACGCAAGCAATGAACCCTTAGGGACAGGGAGTCCCGACAGACAGCGAGAGACCTAACCGGCACAAGGTGGTCCTGGATATCCACGGATACCAGGATCCAGGTGAGGCTAGGGATGAGGCCGACGGCAGTACTCGAGGCCCAGCGGACCCAATGCCGAACTGTTCTAAAGCAGAAGGGAGACTCTCTCGCTCGCTCATGAGGAAGGAAGGAGACACATTCTCATTCAGGACGAATGAGTCTTAAGGAGGGGGTGATGTTACGGTTTATTCATTTTTCTTCGCTTTTACTCAGCTCGATTACTCATATGCGATCACCACGGACAGTTTCTCACAGTACTATTATTAGCATACCTAAGTGTATTTAAGTAGAGCCTCAGCTGGCCTAAACCCCAGCTTTGGCTAAGGTTTAATCTACCTAACATCGAACTCCGTGTTTCGCGACTATCTCGTTCGCTCGCTGCCTTGATCTTGCCTTTGACCCACTAGTGTATCGACTACCGAAGTGCGAGTAGCGATCCTAGTCTGATCTAAGTCAAGTTGAGTTAGTGGCTAACACAAAGACAAAATATAACACTAATAAATTCTCTTTCTTTTTTGAAAATCCAGTTGGATGATGTGTTAGCTGATAGATGACAGTTAACATATCTCTATTCATGTCATCAGTCCAGTTAACTGTGGCAATACTAGATTTTTTGCTTTTAACAGTAACCTGAGAGGGGGTGCTGGATGTGCTAATAGCACAATGATTGTCTCGGAGTATAAAAATGGATCCAAGAAAGTACTTCAAGGTAAAATGAGTAATCACAGCCCAACTTTGTTCATTGACATAAACAGAACTGGGGCTGTCTTCTCCTGATAGAAAAGAGTTGTAAATAGACATGAATAAGTATGAAATTTATTTACCTTCTGCTATAGAATCCTCAGATACTACTATGCAATTTTTATCCAAATAAGAAAATATAGACTGCAAGACCTGATTAGAACAAGTACTAAGAAATGGTAGAGCAGAATCATACCTTAAAATCAAAATACTTAGGAAGGATATTAGCAACAGACATTATAAAAGGGAGACACAAATACATACAGCTTGAGCATAGAAGATCATCACCTCTTGGGAGGTTGATTTGGCAAAGTAGTCATCAACTGATATCCTTGTATCTCCTGCAGACACATATCAATTCAGGTCAGCAAATGAAATCAAGTAATACTTACCATGGAAAACAATAGCAAGAAACTCTGCTGTTGTGCACACACCATATATTTGCATGACATTTGGATGCCTAATCACCAAGGTAAATATATGACTGGTTTATGAGGTGAGCTCACTGTACTTCAGACAGAGGAGTGAATCCAGATCTTTATGAAACCACTATGCACAAGAAATCAGCAGTGATGAAGAGATCAGAAATCAAGAAATCAAACATACTTGAAGGGCCTGCTTATCACCTTTGCAGTACTGGCAAACAATACTCTGAGTACCATGTGGCATAATGATAGCTTGAAAATCCTGAAAACTCTCATAATCAGAGAATTTTCCAAAAGATTCCACAGGCTTTTCAAGGTAGATATTGCTAGGAATGAACTCTGAGACCTACAAACTACATTAGTGTTCATAAAAGATGCACTGAATGGATTGACACACATGCCCTTGATATTTTGAAGGTATTGCAGTAGTGTAAAGCTGACCATCTCTTTCACCCTGTCTCACACCTAGTGTGTGGATTTCTTCATATATTCCATCTGTATGTGTTTTGATAGTGGATATAATAGTTTGCTCTGATTTCTTGACTGCACCAGAGACAGCCTTGATATTTGTGTTTAGTTCCTCTGTAGCAACAGAAAGTGCAAGACGAGAGTCCATAGCAACATTCATCTAAAGAATAATAGAACCCAATTATTTCTGGTGTGTATTGGATAGAATGCTCACCCTAAAATTGGCCTTGGCATTGTTGACTCGCTCCTTGTACTCATTAATAGCATCAGAAACCTTCTTTGTCTTGAAGAAGCGCCTGATTCTTTCAGAATTTAGTCTGTTCTGAGTGGTGTGCAGCTCAGTAAGTAGAGTCCCTAGGTACCTGGATACAGAATTTAATCAGCAGAGGATGTATATACAATCCTGGATCTCTCTCTTACATCTCAAGCTCTGTGCATATGTTCTGAAAATGCAGGGCACTGGTCTCTCCAGGATATGCTGCAAGCATCTTCTGAACAGTTTCAATGGTTTCTGTGATGTTCCCCCGCAACATTAACAAGGTCTTCATCATTCTGAGCGGCCTTCTAAAGATAGTTTTAATGAGGCTCAGAGGTACCGCATGGAATGAAGGAATTACACACTTGGATCACCTCCAAGAAGACTACAACACATCCTGCCATGCCTTTCAGATATGGAAATGATGCTATTTCACCCGCAGCTGCGGCCAGCTTGGCTATCTGGATACATGCATCAATGTTGAAATTATGAGGCATAGCAGTGGTGCAATTGTGGTGGTAGCAATGAGAGCGAGAAAGCTGTGATATGTTCACACAGTTGTGCCTGCTATCTATTTTCAGCATCCATCGCAGGTTTGATTCTTCCATGTCACTGCTTGCAGTAATCAAAGGCTCCTTGTTGGTTGACAAAAAAAGCCTCCACATCACCTGTCAGAGAAGGTTCTCATGTGGGGAATGTAGCTATTGGAAGGAAGAAGTCTTTATCTGTCGTCGGGACTCAGGAGGCTGCGAACGAAGACAGAGGCTATAGCAAGTGACATTGCACACAGCGCAGCTCCTGGATGTGACAAAAAAAACCCTCAACATAACACCCCAGAGGAGGTTCTCATGTAGGGAAGATAGCCATTGAAAGAAATCAGTTTTTATCTGTTGCACATACCTCCGGAATCTGGACGAGCAAAAATGTAGCTGGATTCGATGATGCATTGTCTGGCAGGCTGGAGGGAGCCAGGGATTGATTTCGGTGTTACCATTGAAAGTTAACAATAAGGTAACGAGCAACGCATTTTTTATCCCGCCCGCAATGCTGTACACCGCCGAAATTTACAGATACCGCCACTCATATCGGACAAGGACCACGGAATCAGACTGATGAAAAGGCGCGGACTCCAAGATTGGTTGTCAAGCCGGGTTTCTTTGATGATCGGCAAGAAAGGTTCCTGTTTTTCCAACGGCAACGAGCAAGACAAGAGAATATGGTGCCAAATTTCTTCATAGTAGTTAGGGTAAGAAAATTGATGATAAAAGCTAGGTTTAGTTACGCGGATTTCGACTCACTTTAAGAAAGTTTCCTGCTGCAACAAGGATTCCATCAGCTGTCAGCTGTGTATCGGATATTATGGGCAGTTTGAACAGGAAGAGAGAATTAACGTCAATGCCTTCGTCCAATGTGCACCGGGGGGCACCCAGGATCCTGACATGATGGGGGAGATGCTGAAAGACCGCCGTATTGAGAGCCTTGAAGAAGGCTGCGGTGGTGACTGGTGAAGTTTTGAAGCCTTTCCCACGATAGATTGTTGACAATTGGGTATGTGAGATAGCCGAGGTATGGGTTGAAGGAGTTGCGGGAATTACTTGCTGCACACGACGCCTGCCTATAGCTAGCAAGTATATCGTAGGTTTAGGAATGTATAGAGAGTTGTAGCAATGCACAGGAGCCTGTGAACACTGGAGTGGAAATCATGCCTCAGCGTTGTCATCTTTGATCATCTAAGCGATGCGTTTATCTTGCGGTTTGTACCAGGTCAACATTAAATTTCTGAGATCCCGGTCTGTCAAAAAAGCAAAACTCGCTGACTGTTATAGTGTGTTGTTGTTGAAGAATGTAGGACTTGATTAGAGCATGTCGGAAGATGAGAGTAACTTGCTCTCAATTTGCAAAATTAATTGAGACACGTTGGCCCGATCACCCGTTGTGTGCTCTTCACTTCCTACCACACCAACACCACCATCATGGATGTGACTACCCTCTTTTTCTGGGAATGCTCTCTTTCGCCTACCCTCTTATGTCAACAACGAACCAAGATTTCTGCATATTACCCCCTGTCTATCGCCCATACTTGTAACCCTCAAGTAGTGGATTAAAGAGCGTGGAAAGATTGTTTGGACTTTCGGCATCAGGTGCGTTCCTTAGCAGAACGTACATATCATGAAAAGCTGACTATTTTCTTCTGTAGAGATCTCTTTGATATTCTTCGCTCAACTCGAAGACGTGGATTGGAAGACAATTTTACGACAGTATTTAAGAAAGCGAAGTAAAGCACAAGTGGAGGACCGTCTTCCTTCCTCACGATGTAGCCTTCGTCAATGTTGGTCTATGCGCTGACCGTATGAGTGAACGTTGTGGCTTGTGGGGATGCCTTGGTGCGTTTTTTATCACCATAAAACTGTTCCAAGCTCTGATTGCTGTCTTTACAAAGAATAGTATTATGAACAAGTGCTCAACATGAACTATGAAGTGACGTTGCTAGCTTTCACTTGTATACCCGATTATATGACATCACTGGATTTAGCCTGGGTGCCACGGCCACCAAGGTTATCCCTGTCCATGAGACGTGTCGTGCCGTTGATGAGCCTCCAGGCTCTGTACACTCAGAATTCGCGGATTTTACCAGATATTTAATTCCCCAGCCACCACACAAACCTACTATTTCAATCCTGGCAATATTGCTTAATGCCGCCAATTATCCTTCCCCACTTGTACCCCACATCAATTACGTGCCCCTTTCATTAATTCTGCCAGTCTTCTTTCATTAATTCCGCCAGGCACCTGATTGTCGATCTCACGGAATTAGAATCCCATCTGATTGCCTAGCACAGCCGCAATTCCGCAGCACAGCCACAATTCCGCAGCTCAAATAGCAATTCCGTGGCATTAGCTCTAATGCCGTGACCTCTCCTCAGTCTTTACTAAGGCTGTTATACCGCCAAGAGATTGCCGCAAGCATCTACTTCAGTACACTTGCTTCAATGTACTTTGCCGCAGCAACACAGCAGCTCAAAATTCCGGAGATCGGTGGCATTCTTGCTAATCACTTCATCTATATGCGGTAAAGCCATATGGGTGCTGTTACTTTCGAACCACAGTACACAGTAAAACTGTGTGGGTGCTGTCACTTTAGAACTCTGGGAGCACGTGTTTTGTATCATTTCTTACCAATCTATGTACTACAGACTTACTAAGGACTCGCTTCAAGTATTCTAAATTTATTCTGGACTTGTAGTATAAAAGCTAGTATACACCACGGAAAATAGGGAGTTGCGAGACACAAGTTACTGGACACTAGCCATCATCCACGTTATCGACCACCGTTATCGCTTGTACTCGCTAGGAGATAGACAATAACAACATAGTCACTCCAAGTTATACTCTCTGTCACGGCTTTTCTTCTAACGGTATTGGTGTACGCTCATATTGCGCCAATACACGGAATTTGGTGTCCACAACTCGCTTTTATCTTTTAATCCGCCAGCATCGTTTCACTTTCACCAGCCAGCATCATTTTCATCAGTTTTCACCTTCTACGTCGCCATCGTTTTACCCAGTTCAGTTCAGGATCGTTACGTCCCCGTGCGGACTCAGATTAGGATCGTTATTGCCGCCAGCAGCATCTGTCACGGAATTTCGGTCAACAGCTTCAGTATAGGATCATCAGTCACGGTATTTGGTATCTTGCTGTCAGTTTCAGTATAGGATAGTCTCCGTGTAGACTCAGGATTAGTATCAGTTTCGTTTTGCCGTCGTTAACCTCAGTATAGTTTCAGTTTCAGTCCAGCCCAGTCCCAGCCATCGTTTTGCCGTCACTAGTTCCCCTTCATATCATCGCCAGTGCGTCTTATCTTCGTTTTACCGCCAGTTTCTCGTTTCTCGACTACAGTCTTCGTCTCTTGCCGTCACGGTATTTGTTATCTTGCCAATGGTATTGCTCTTTGATGGCATTTTCTCTAATTTCGTCAACATCGCCCACGGCTTTTACTAGTTAAATTGCCATCACTTTGTTCATGGTTTGCCGGTATTCCCAGTTATACCGGATTCCATTCCTTCTCGACTATCGAGACCCTTCCCAGCTTACAGTCAACGTTTTCTAGTACTCGATCGTTAAGGGTACTACTTCGCTGACTGAAAAGTCGCAGTGTATACTTGCGTTCTTGAGGAATTCATCACATGGAGGTGCACCGAAACACTCGCACAACAACAAAGCCTTTATTGCTGCTACGCGCCATTTGCCGTGAACTCCTCTAGAGTTTTGGTTTTTGCCATTGCCACGGAAGTTTAGGCTCATCACCGTCAAGGATTACATTTTTCTTCTACATCCTCTTCAGCAAAGAAAATTTGGGTTATGGCAGCCAACGTGGGCATAGCACATATGGCATTCCTATCCTATTCCTCTCCTGGCACAATCAATCTCAGCTCTCGATGGGAGGCGACTCTGTAACTCTTTCCTTGGCAAGATGGCAGACCTAAGCTCTCCACCACAGCTTTCACGATCCTTCGACCAGTTTCTTCACCTTACGAAATAATGGGCTCTGCCTGGCTTGAAGCCCAACTATCATCCGGATCCCCTTCTCCTTTGCCAGGTCCGCGAGGAGCTTCGTCTCCTTTAATCCCCTCCCAGCCGGCCATTCAATGAAGAGATCTTTCCCAGTCTCAATGGCCTTTGTGGCATTCTCTTCATGATTAGGTGTCTTCACTGACACGGCGATCAGGTCGAGGTTCGGATCTGCAGCGATGGACTCGGGAGCATGATACCCCTTCACCACGGTTTCTGGAGTGGAATACTTCACCGCACTTGCTTCGGCAGACGTGGAGTTCATCGTGGACACGGCGAGAAGCTTGTAATGCGAGGAGAGAGGCGGAGCAAGAAGGAGGTACAAGATTCATGGACGCCCATCCTTTGGTTGATAGGCTGATAACTCCCAAGCGAATCGGTTCTGTCATGATGGTCAAGAGAAGAGGAGAGTAATCTCTCGTCTTTACATTACCATCTCTAGGGAACTCTTCGCAGAGATTTCGGTGGGTATCAGTGATCTGTTTGGTATCCCGAGACTGACAGCATCCCATTTAGCCATTCGGCCGGTGGATTGACAATCGTTATCCTGAGGACTGCACGACGGTTAACGGCCAACGGCCAAAGCCACCCTCTAGTTATCGTTGATCTATTTCACAATAATCCATGCGCATGTTTTATTTCTCTCAAACGACCCCCTTTCATATGGCCAAGCATGCGAATTATGCGTCATGCGACTCCATTTGAATCTCAAATGCTTCTGTCTCTCACCGACAAACTGGGATGCCACTGTTCATCCATGCCACCACTACAACGCATATTCCCATCATTCATTTCCATGTTACTCTTTTTCGGTCCTGCCGGCCCTCGTTCTGCCTCATGTATACCACACAAGTCTCTTCCTTCCACCGTATCAGTCGCTATACAGCCCTTATTGTTAGCTGTGCTTCGATGCGCATGTCGACTGGTCTTGGCACAGTGCATACACTTTGTGATTACCTATACTTTGTGCTGACAACAACATAGAGTCGGCCTGTACTACCCAGTATCATTTGACCTCCCTTTCACGAAGAGGTAGCCAGCACCATTGGCCAATATCACCCCATTCGAAGCTCATTCTTGCCGTAGCCCCAGGGAGTTCGTACAATCAGGACCATTCCGCACGGCCAGTATACTGTCCTCATTCTCGCACCCCTGTTGCATCACGGGCGACCCTCAACAGCCGACTTCACTCGTATCAAGAGATACATCTTTGAAGAGCCTACCTGGCCATGGGTCTCTGCGTTTGCCAATTTTTCGGCAAATAGGTTTGTCCAATCATTATACGATGGCTGGTCCGGCTTCGTATGTTCAGCATGGGTTACTGAGCTCGTCGTCCTGGACATGGTAGCGCAATGGTCAGTGTTATTGTTATAATTCCTCTAAATCAGTCACTGACTGAGATACAGAGGCTCGGGGAGTGTATTATGTAGGCTGATATCCATTAAACTGTCATTCTCTCAGTCTCACTGCATAGGCGCTAGGATGTATTAACCTGGGCAGGCACATGCACAGAAGGATCTCGAGATACTCACTAGGTGGGCTACCATCCTCGCTGTTGTGAATGGGACGGATTCTCAGCTTGCTGCTGGCCTGCAGGGACAGCTTTTCATCAATGTATGCATGCCATCGTTTTCATTGTCGTCAAGATTGACTGACATAGATGTAGGCAGCAGAGATTCTGCGATATCTCGGACCTATGAATACCACTGATTACGTGTCCATTGCGGCGATGTTCTTTAGAGCTGTCGCACCCGCTTTGGTTCCAGTTGAGCAAGCGAGTTATGGCGTTGCTGGTAGGAGCAGCATGGTTGGCGAGTATGGTCAAGGTGAAATCGCTTCGTACTGAACTTGGGAATCGGGATATCAGTTCGCTAATTACTGTAGCACAGATAATCGAGAACCAAGGCTTGCCGAAGGTGTGGAACATGGTAGCAATCCTTCTTCTGAATGGTATAGCTGCTCTCCTTTCCTCGACGCGTACTGATGAGTGTAGGATACGTACAAATACTTGGCTCGGTATAATATGGCAGACGATACGACCTTAGCTGGGCTCGCTGTCAAACTGTTTTGGCTAACGGGCCATGGACTGAGATCTCAAATGCTTCATGTGGAGTGCAAGGCGGTATCTTTGAGCTGCCGTACGTGAATCTGGGGTGGAGATTGGGCGTGAAGGTCTGTTTATTCTCCTGGTATCGAGGAAGAGTCGTGCTGATGATGCTATAGCTCTGTTGGTGACCACAGCTGTGATGGCAAATGGGCCAGAGTAAGAATTTATCTGGTGATACACCAATCATCTCTTTGTACTCGTATACTCATATGTATAGTATATTCACGAGCTCTTCTCTCCTAATGTCGTCTTATGTTTTCGAAGATCATCGACTCGAAATGCTCAAGTCTCAGTTTGCCGCAAGTCTGCTGTTTGCTTTACACTTATTTATTCGGGTTTCATCTCTTGAGACCTCAAGAAACGCCCTCAAACACATATTCCCCCCTCACAACCCCCATGGCCCAAATTCAAGCCTCCATCACACTTTGTAGAAACTGCGGCCACTCATTTAATACCCAAGTCTCTTCTCTGCCTCTCGATGTCAATGCATATCTACGATCTGGAAGACAGATTATTCCAAAATTGGAAGAAGCATATTTGCAAACCCTCTCAGAACTACGCAAGAAGATATCCGAGTACAATTCGCACATATCCGACTTGAAATGCAATGTGGAGATCCTCGAAACTGGGTGCCAGTTGATCAGGAAGTCAGTTAGGGAAGTTCGATCTCTCGTTGCACCCATTTGAACACTGCCCCTAGAGGTCCTTTCCATCATCTTCAAATATGTCTGCATTTCCGTACTGCACTATGACGGTGGCGATGAGAGGCGAGTCGCATGCAAAGGACCGTTTTGTCTCTCCGCTGTCTGTGCATATTGGCGTGACATATGTCTCTCTTCACCTCAACTTTGGACATCCATATTTGCCAACGTGGACAACTCAGACCTATTGCCGTGTTTGAAAAACCTGTCAAAAATAGTCGAAGAGCGTTCCTGCGAGCTCTCATTATCTCTTGATGTATCAGCACGGTATCCACCGCCGGACCTATACCTTAGCATTCTGCAGACCGACTATCACTGTTTGGATTCGTTGTTCTATGGTGGCAGCGCCATTAATTTGCACCGCCTGAAGAATATCTCCCTAGATTTGAATTTCAAGTTCGATAACATAGCGCTAGAAGATAGCCGCATTGAATTTCCGGAACTGGAACATCTCGAGCTCTGCGGAATGTTAAAAGCATTCTCTAATGAGGTGGTCATCGGTCTATTTGCGCATGCTCCGAAATTGCATACTCTTTCTTTGGGCAATTACCTTAATATCGCACATTTCCGCTTGCCAGACGATCCACTATTCTGGTTATCAATCGCGGAACATCGACCCTTTGCAGCGCCATAAGAGGTTCCCCAATGTTGCCACAGCTACCTTTTATGCTGCAATTTGGATTTGCTCAACACAAGCGACCTTCCCTTCCGACAGTTACTTCTCCAAGATGTGCTGCTAGACAATGTCAGAGATTATGTTTCACAAATGACAATCCCATACCTCACTTCCCTAGAGCTGGCCAGCACTGATCAGGAAGTGTACCATAATGCTTACAAGGCAGAGGTATTTCGCAACCTCGTGAAATGCGTCTCCCAGTCTCTCATGGAGCTCACGTTCACCACCGTTGACTTTCCTTCCACCAATGCACTTTCCATCTTTCACATGGCACAGAACCTCCTGAGGTTATCCATCGTGGAGCAAAACAGGGTGCAAATGCGTCTCATTACTCCCAATTTCATACAGGGGCTTTATGATCCAAGGATGCTTCCAGCGTTGCAGCATTTGCAGCTTGTCTGGTTGGAAAGTGCGGATGAGGCTGCTGTTATGGATCTGGTTGAGCATCGGGCATTCGAGTCTGTTGTGATAGGTGTGAGGATGGGAGGCGGGCTCAGAGGGGATACTTTGTCTAGAGTCGACGCTCTTCAAAAACGAGGTACAATGATTACACTCTGGTAGAGACAAGCTCGGGGATGTGTATTCACGTACGAGTTAACATTGTGATTGCTGTGATAATGAACATGGATTCACCAGGGATGAGATGCAGGCTCTACCGTCTCGTACAACACTGAATGAGCAACATCTGAGTTAGTTAATTTTGAGTTCATTGAACCGGTGTACTAGATGTTTCTTGCAGTTCATCGTATTCAACATTGAATTTAAGAATATAGTGTGTCACATGGCATGAGAGCATGAGGGCAGAGACGTGTCAGCCTGAACACCCGGTTGCAGGCTCTTTACTTCCTACCACCATCATCGACGCGACTCCCCTCTTTTTCTGGGAGCATTACTCTCTTCCTGCCTTCTGCTTTCCATAGTGAACCAATAGTTCTGTCTACTCTCCCTGTCTATTGCCAAGATATCTCGATCTCAAGGACATGGCAGAACCATTGTTTGGATTTTGTTTATCAGGTCAGTTCTTTCATGGGATGTATGTATCGTGCATGAAATCTGATCGTCTTCTTTCTGCAGAGGATCCTTTGAAATTTTTGTGAACAAGATGGCTCTTATGAATTCAACACTGCCTATCGCCATTGTACAGATTCTCTTTGCTCAACTTGAGGACATGGATCGAACAACGATTGTGCAGCAGTGCTTTAAATAGGGAAGAAAAATACAAGCGGAGGCCGTCCTCTTTCCTGATGACGTAGCCTTCACCGATTCTGGTCTGTGTGCTGGCTTTATGCGTGAACGTTGGCATTTGTTGGGCCGCCTTGGTGCGTTTTTTTAGCATCATGAAACAGCTCTGAGATCTGATTACTATCTTTAGGAAGATCTTGGGGGCAGTACTTACTATGAGCAAGTGCTCGACGTGAACTCAATGCGACCACCATCGTCCAGCAATCACCCCATTTAGTCTTGATGATTCCGCTCTCCATCACCACAGCCACCAAGGCTATCCTTGCTATTGTGATGGGCACCATTTGATGCAACATCGACCCTCGTCCAGGTCGTTATGCTACCGAGCCTCGTTGCCAGACTCATTCCCCTCGAGCAATGGAACTACAACTTGTAGTTGCTTCTTTCTGTCAAGCGTCGTTGGAGCTTCTACCGAAGACAATGGGGACTGAACTGGCCAACAGTTACGAGCTCATTTTGCAGGGCCATTCCGCTGTTTGTGCCACTATCTACTGTTTCGTGATGAAAACTGACTGCAGGATTTTTGGACATTTGCAGGGGTGTATGATACTGTTCATCCTGCTGCCAAGGATCGCGTTTCATGTCCACATCTTCTCCAGGAAGAATCTCCATCGCTACGACAACCGACGTGGGTACTACGCATATTGCTCAGGCTAATCTCTCCCTTTTCCGGGGCTATCAGTCCCAGTTCTCGACGTAGGGAACACCGTTACCCTTATTTGGGCACCTGAGCCTCAAACTGCAGCCTTTGCAGTCGTTGGGAGGTGGGCCTACAGCTCTTACGTAGGATTAAGAGGCTTCTCGGGAACTTTATCTTACATACCTCTGGTCAGTCATATCATACGGTCCGAAGGCAGCTTTGTAACCAGCGCCTGGCCTTGTCTTGCGATATATATGGGAATCATACCTGCTGATTACCTCAAATATCGTATCAACTGTAAGGACATCTTTCACGATCATAGAAACCTACTAATACATGTTCTAGGTATCTACCACAAAACGTACAAATTTTCCATGCGTATACACCCATAATCAGCATGCCAGCTTATCGCTACTACCAGGAACCCCCTCCACGCATCAAAACATGTTTCCCACCTAATCACCGCTCTTCCTTTGATAACACGTCCGGATCTTTCTCTCCATTGGTTCTTTTGGTGGTCATGCTTCTTCCACGTCGGGTGCACAGGGATTCGTGACGAAGGATCCATAAGAGTGGAAGTCGGTAAAATGTCGGTTACGACGTGTCTTTACGGGGACAATCAATAGCGAACCCGATTCCCTCTGCAACAGAAACATTCTTCAAGACCGAGCAACTTGGCTGCAATCACCCACATCCGAACATGGTCCGATATCAACTCCTGGAAGGCAGGTTGTTTGTAATTGTACCAACCCTTCGCATCTCTTACCGCAACCACGATGTCTGTTGTTCTTCCTTGCATCTGCTTCGCTTGGTATCATGAGGCCTGATACAACCTGTGCGCTTACTTTCCTGAAACTCTGACTCGATGATTTATACTTCAGCTCAGCGGTTCTGCACAGGCAAGGAGGTGTGTATATCCCTACATGCTGTCCTTGTCAGTCATTGATTCATTCGTCAAAGCAAGGCGGTCGTTTTGTCATTTTCCATTGTACTGGGATGTGTATACCTATCATACGAAACTCCTTATTTGTTTGCTATCACCAGGCTAATTGTTGTATCAAATGTGGCGTGCTGTCATGATCTGAGTGAACAAGCCATTCAACCCTTTGACGACCACACAATATTCGAATTGCTGCGGATCATTCCTCTGTCGTAGAACTTTTCTAACCCAATAATTTCTAAGTTTTTCAAGGGACGGACATCCTGCTTGCGCTTCTCGATAGATATATCTTCCCTAGGCCTGTGACACGATCCACAGTAAGAAGATTGTACTGCTGTATGGTCTTGATAGGCGATGAGATATAAATTAGGTCTAGGGCTATTACATATGCCTCGTCCTTTCTTTCTTCCCTACAACGTCAAACACAATTGCTCGGGGAAACAATGAAAAAAAATCGTCCATTTTCGAAACTGAAGCAGCACCGTAGTTTCAAGTTTGCATAAAGAGAAACAAAAGGAACTCGTCATCTCTGGCAATCTCCCTAGATCTCCTTGCTTATGTGCCCATCTCGTGTCTCCACCTTTGTTTTGCAAGTTAGCTCTCGCTTTGGCGAACAAGGATACCTATCAACCAAAGCAGTAGAAGCCGAATTCGTAGGCATATGATGGCAAAATTAGCGAGACCTTGTCGTGCAGTCAATAGGGTGGAAGGAAGCAAAAGAGATTACGTGGTTGTGCGGGACTGACCGGCGACCCTTCCATTTCCATTTCCGACTTTCATAATTAAATACCACCATCGTTTGTGCTTTCTCGGACATTTTATAATGGCTACCCATTTGTGGCGTGCCAAGAAGACGATAGATGTTAGACTGCAAACGCATCATTGAATGTGTAACTGGTCAAAGTGATTGGAACACCAGGGCTGCGATGTGAGGAGTCGTGAGACAAGATTGCGCTAGTCACTGGATCATTATCTGCAGACTAATGAGCACACGGAAGCACAGTGAAATTCATTATATCAGTTACCAATGTCAGGGTCAGACTTAGGGCTGCGCACCATCCATAACCGTCCATAAATTGTATGGTCAAGGATGTTGATGGCTTTGGACCATACAATTATGGCCGTATTCATGGCTACTGGGAATGCTTCTAGAACTGACTTAATTTTGGGGCTGAATGTGATGAAAATCAATGTACCATGCACTTCAATCACACCGGGAATATAGAAATTTAAACTCATTTTATTGTTATGTATATACTCAAGTTTTCGATCTACAAATACAATTTACTTCAATTACTTATTGAACCAAAGGCTTAAGAGTGCTTTAAATTGGGTCTTAAATGGAACGAATATGACTCAACTCCACCATGCTTGAAATGAGGCCCAAATACAGTAGCCTAAGTTTATCCAAAATCCACACCGAAACCATACGTTCAATGTGGGATTCCGGGAAGGGCCAAGCCTGAGATATGAAGTCCTCCGAAACTGCGGGCCAAATTTCTGGTTACGAGATGAATTCTGGTTACACGAAAATTAATGGTTAGGGGCCTGATTTCAACATGTGCCAAACACACCTAGAAATTGATGATTTGGGTATGTATTGAACGTAGCAGTGAAGAGGCTGACTGTGGGCACCTGTGGAATAGTGAGCAGGCTAAAAGGTGAAACTCAAAAACCCACACACACACTCACACAACTACACAAACTACAAACACCCTCGTAAGTTCTAGGGGGAGCGATTATTCCTAATGTGATCTGACTATACTTCAATATCTTAAAGAGTTTCTCTTATTCTCAGCACTCTTAGCGAAGCTAAGCTTTCTCTAATGAATCCCTAAGTCTAGGAACTTTTACAGGAAGGTCATTCACTGGCCCAATGCAACATTCAAGGCAGATTTGAGTTAAAATACACAAGGGACACTGATCCCAACAGAAACAGAGGCAATACCCACTGAAACTTTAGTGAGCTCACTGAAAGAACACCACAGGCAAGCACTGACTTAGCCCACTTGCTACACAACTGTATGTAGGGATTCTCCAAATAACTTCAACAGATGCTCTCAACTCAATAACACTTCAGAAGTGCTTGGAAACAGATTCAGAAAACGGAAACTCGAAACAGAACTGATGCAGAACAGACTGAACAGAAACAGAACAGAACAGACAGAACAGAACAGAACAGATCTCGCTTTTCCTCTTCAGAACATACTCCAAACGGACTTATCAACACTCAATGGAACAGAACAGCTTCACTGATTCTTATTCTCTCAGAACTAAGTGCACAAAAGTCTTTTCTCAAGGGTATCTCATATTTCTCTGAGTGAGCTCGCTAATTCTATGCAAAGCTTGAAGTCACAAACTGATCCTTTGTTACAGTACCACCTTCAATGCATGCATGGGAACTCGGGGGCTCAAAACTTGGCTTCTACCTACTGTAACCAGCCTACTTATACTACAGGGGAATTAGAATTACAAACATCATGCAGTACCCAGACTCCTATATGCGTAGCATGTTGCCACTGCCACCTTACTGAGCATCCGAGTCAGACTTCCCAGTTTTAGTCTCATTTCTATAGTGAGCTCACTAAATGCATGCCAAGAGATGCTCTCCCAACACCTGCGGGCTTGTTCTCTAGCGACTGACAGGTCTAGGCATACGGAACTATCAGTCCTGGCATATGTTGTTCAAGACTTCTTTCTTGGATTCACAGAGGCTTCTTGTAGACATGGCAACAAGTG